AAATCACAGCCAGATCTTGCTGGGCATCTGAAGGCGGGTCACGAATGGGGGATTTTCTTGGATTGCTGCCCTACGGCCTGCCCTGCGCCAGTGAGTGCTTGCTTTCTGCCCCTCCAGCGTCTCGGACCCGATGCCCGACCGGCCAGATTCCAGGGGCCAGGGCATGTCGTGCGTGTGTGGCATTGCATCATCTGACTGATAGCTGCCACAGCTTTGCCTTGTCGCAATGACCTCCCCTCAGATGCTTCGGCACGCCTCCCTGATAAGTGAAGGTTCACCAGCACACACCGAGACGAATTTGTCAATATCAGTACCGTGCAGCACCGCCTCGACGGTAGCTTCGCATGGCGCCAAATGTCAGCCTCAAAGGGGTAATCTCCGTGGAATAATGCGCATCCTTGCCCATGGCAACGACAAATAAGAGGACGTTCATCCAATGCCATTTGGCAGCGACAATGCCAGCCACCGACAGGAGAGCTGCTGGCCCAGTCCAGTGGAGTCTTCTCTGAATCGAGACCCCCCGGCTCAGACAGACAGCCCCTTTGCGTCAATTGTCAGACTTCACTAGCCCTGGCAGCCACGAGCAATTGCAGGATTGCTGACAATGTTCACCGGGCTTCAGGTTGTCAGAAGATCGTGCACTGTATTTGGAATGCCCATTGACTTCTGAGCCGTTGTGCAGGAGTAGCCAATGTTGCTGACGCTGTGATATTTACACAGCGGTGGGTAGGTGGACTTGCTACCTACCTGAGGTGCTCCGTCTATTTCAAGATACAGCCAGAAGCATCCAATCAGCTTGTCAACCTACCAACCCTCGATCTGGCTCTATCTTGCTCAACGTCCGGACTTCCCTCGGGCCCCAACAGAGGAATTTTTCCCACCGCGTGCCCGGCCACGAACGAGTCAGCAAACTTTGCGCTGCTTGGTGCACTATCGAAATATTCCAACTTTTTATGACACTAAGGAAAAAGATGTCGCCGGTCAATGCTGAGGTGACAGGCAGACCACAATATGCCCCCGAACTACAGTGGCTTTCAAGGGCCTGATGATTCAGAAAAGAATTGAAACGGACGTGTAGTCAAAAATCACGAGCTTGTTAAGCAATGGAGGGGTTCAGATCGCCCAAAAAATCCCCGCGACGCCAACAAGACGCGATGGTCCCGGATCGACGTGGATCCCAGTCAAATGCTGCTTGGGCCGTCCAATGGTATCTGCTCCAATTTGCTGAAAATTACTGGCCCTATAGCTACCACAACGAAGATGCTCGTTAGCAGGTGTGCCTGACGTTTCCAGATGACCAAGACCAAATTCGATGCGAGTCATATTGCCGAAGGTTCACGATGATTTGCTCTCGAAAAGCATGGGGATGCGTCAAACTTTTCCTCGGTGCATCTTTCCAACCGGTTTTTCTGTCACATCATCTCGGACGTGCAGGGCTTGAAGCTCCACGGACGAGGTGCCAGTTGACGCAGCGCGATTCATCTCGATCTTCGCCGATTGCCGGCTTGTCTGAGCTCCTGCACTGTGCTGTCGTGGCCTTCAGCGAACGACAGAAAAAAATCCGGCCAGATGGTCACACAGATGCTCAAATCCGATGAACGGTTTCAGCGTTACTGCATCTGCGAAGCCGGCGTCTTGCCGTCACCAGGCCGAACCCATCCCCGTGCCGGAGGATCCGGCGGGTAAGCGGACCAAAATGTGGGATCGACCTCGGTCCGGCGCAAATTGATCTCACCCAAGGCTGCTAAGGCAGGCTCTTCAGGGACCGCCCAGGCACATTTCTGAACGAGGGTCACCAAGCGACATCTGTTTAATTAAGGTTGTTTAGACGGTTCTGAGGATCGCTTGTATCACAGGCGCTGCTAGTTGCTCCAAGACATCGTGAAACTTGTCCAGCGCACCCCAGCCACATCGGAGCTCTCCATGCCAAAACACTATTCTGGCATTCGCCAAAAGCAGCGTCGTACTGGGAAAGGAACCACCCTTCCCAAAAGATCATTTGCCCCTGCATGCTGCAATCTGCACAGTGATCCTCCAGCTGCACGTGCTGCAAGTCGCACCGTGGATCTCTGCCCTTGTCCGGGCTGGTGTGTGCGGCAGTCGGCCAACCTTGATCAGGCCCCAAAATCATCGAGAGCTTCGTCGAGGTCTCGCAGAGCAATCCCGGGTGTTTCAGAGAGGACCTGCCTCAATTACATATGATCCGCAGTATAACGCAAAGCTGGCAACAACACGTGGCAGTTCGAGGGACCATTATAATTTTCCTATCCAAACCTCTCCATGCGCTTGCGCCCGTCGATTGCGCGTACACCGTTGTCTTGCGCGCACAGGGGCCTTCCTCGCTCTAAATTTGCCCGCAGGCAAACACGGATTGTCGGGCGCATCACCGTCCCATTGATGCGCTGTCTGATGGTTCAAGCGCCTGCTTCTGGCGATGTTAACTTATTCCAGGTCACGACTGCGGACACCGCGAGCTCCCCGGCTGGCCTCGGCCTCAGCAGCCCTGGCAGGTCACCCCCACAGTCACGCCCGGATCGAAGGCTCGACAGGCCGGAGCGCTCGAGACTCCCCGTACCCGAGTCTGGCTGTTCTGGCAACAGGGCGCGGGCGGTGCAGGTTTCCATTTTGCACACTGCCACCGTCGTATCCCAAGGGGCAGTTTCATCCAGCCCTTCGCCCTGTTTGGCGACAGCTGGCCATCTGGTCTCTTCAGCGCTGAGCGACATCCTGGCGCCCCTCGTCCCCTCGTCCGCTCGCCCCAGGGGACATCGCGGCGGTGCAACCTCGTCAACATATCATCATCGTTACGTAGCACGAGCAAACGGTTCCTTCGGATCCCACTACGACCGAAGCCTGGCCCAAAAGAGGTTGTCTCGGCCGGCCGTGGTAAGCTCCATGTACATAGACCAGACGATCCTTTTGGATGGCAGACCTAGATCTAATTGCCAATGGATTTGCCTCTGCATCTCGCAGGAATAGCAGCAAGTGGCTCACATGCTTAGGCGTGCAGGCAAAAAGTCTAGACCCAGACCTTGCCTGTCTAGCGCGACAGGCCGTCCGAAGCTTAACGCGCCCTTGCGCGCCCACATGCAGCATGCGAGACATCCACTCTATCTGATGCCCTCGCGCTGTCGACTAACGCTCGTAGGGCTCACCTGCAATGAATGAATATTAATGCTAGACAAGTGGAATGACAATGCTGGTCCCGATGGGCCCACAGTCCCTCGGTGCGGGTCAGCTCTGATAGCGGAGGTTCCACGCCGATCGAGGGGGGCTGCACTGGCAGACTGGCTGCGATGGATTGGGAAACGACCGGCGATGTGATCTGGCTTGTCCCTAGATGTGGGTGGGTGTCGTACACTCCTATGATGAGGCATTACTTGATTGTCTCAAGGCCTCACGGTGATGTTTGATCTCGGTAAGTGCCGGTGACAGTGATGATGCGGACACTGGGACGAGGTCACGATCTAGGCAACTGCCCACGAATTGAGATGAAGATGGGAAAGTGGTACGGCTGTTCCCAAGAAGGCTCGGAGAGGAAGCATCAAGGGGAGCTCTTGAGAGAATTAGCCCATGCCAAAAAGATGCAACAGTTTTTGGAATTATCTATGCCTAGCTTACCTGTGCCGTCCCTCAGTCCCCGTGCAGGCTTGGGCATACAACACATATAGATAGGAGTACAGGATGGGGGCACCGCATGGCTTGTGGCTTTTAAATGTGCGCCATTCCGCTGTCTTTAACGGATTTTCTTCGGAATGCTTTGAGCATGACCAAATTCGTCCAGAACTAACTGGCAAATTGTGTGTCGATGGTCCCTGATTTGCACAGCGAGCATGAAGCTTGAGCAACTGGTGCCACCCAGCATCCTGACATGTAATGCGTTCTCCTCTTCCCTCGAGAGTAGAGTCGGCCTCGCTCCTTGTGCCACGGCGTGGTGACTGTGCCAACCCTTCTTCCCTCTGAGCTATGTATAAACCATTCCTCTGGATGTGGTAAGCCTGAATAGAAACTCCGGCAAAGGACAAATAATATCGATCGTTGTTCCATAAATTGAGTTACTTTCGAGGGCAGGGGAATCAGAGGAAGCCAAAGCCTGTAAATCAGATGTGGGTCACAATAATTATCTAACTCCTCGGGCTAGTGATTTGAGGTCTACGGCTGTCATATGACAAGCCTTAAGTTTTATTTTGGCTAATAGCAAACGGTAGACACAAAATATGGCAATTGGAGCTTCCCTAGAGTCTCTACAATTTAGGAGCAATATTTGAAAATTTGCCAATAATCCCAACATGTCAGCTGCGTGATCAACGCTTATGCAAAGCTCCAGAGTCGAGCCCATCGGAATTCATTCCTACCCCATTCAGGCTCGGTACGGTCCCAAGAGACGAAGAGATTTTGGTCAAGTCCTCCGCCCTTCTCACCTGCTTCATCCTCAAACATTGAGCCTGATGAGCCGATGTGACGAAGACTATTCACTACAGACACTCGAATAGACCCAGTAGAGGTCATCTCTATCATGGAACTTTGACTTGCGAGTCACCCATTCATGGCAGCGTGAACGTTGTCGATGCCAGTACATATCAGCATCCTGCGATGTTTGCAACATGCTCTTTCACGATTCCTACAGCAGTCACATCATGTCAGCCGTAATCATATTCGCTGTGTCGAACACAATCAGGATCAGCCTTGATCAGTCGGAAGGGCAAGAAAATCCAGTTTTCGTGGAAGTTAAATCACCAGAGTCCGGATGAGATATGTTGGGTACAACTGAATTTCATGAATGAGCTAAAGAAACCTCTGAACAGAAAACTTAAACCTGATACATCTTTTGTCATCGTGAAAGCAAGAGAAATCGCCTCCGCCAGACACGGCTTACAACTTAGCAGATATGCCCCTTACAGAGCCTAAAGCCATGTCGGCTCAATTGTACAAAAGCTATCGATCTCTCAGGGTGCTCTCTAGCCATACTATTGCGCTTGATGTGTATCAAGCGCCGTAGCTTATTTCTCCTCCTCCATACCAGCATTGCCATGAGCTGAGTGGGCAGATTGAGTGACCTTTTGCGGGTAAGCATGCAGATCAAAGCTAGAATCACTGAAAATGATATTCGGCTCAGCTACACGATCAGGACTCACAATCACTGAATCCGCTGCAGAGCCGCTTGGTCCAAGAGGCTGGTCAATACCAACTATGTGACGCCAATCGATCGTTTCAAAGGGGTCATCATGACGAATTGGCGGTGGTGAGCTTGCCACAGCGCGAAGAGGCTGTTGGAAGTCGTCATCAGCCTGAAGAACAGCGCTGTCACTATGAATGGAACCGTCTGATGCGTTGGCCGTGGTTGACCACGAAGGAGAGTTTGCGGGCCTGGCATTGAACCATGGTTCGTTTTGCAAGGTCTGTTGTTGAGGGCCGACTGAAACAGCATGAGGACCATTGTGCCACTTCTGACTAGACTTCTGTAGATGAGGTGTCGCCATACTCGTAGCCTTCGGCTCTGTGGGCACCCTGCGGAGCGCTTTCGGTTCAGTGGGAACTTGGCAAGAAACCTGCTTGAGCGCTCCCGAAGCTTCGAAGGCACCACTCTCGTCGGCTGATCGAACTACATATTTAGATATCAGCGTGGCTACCTCATTTAAGAGCTTCTTTCTCGCTCTTCTGACAGAGTTTATGATTTGATGAGACGCATTTCGAATAACTTACGAGATTGAACGTCATCCAGGCGCTCCGTTTCACGAGCCTTCTCCTTTTCCACTTCGGGGCGTTCCATCTGCTCTCCCAGCTTGGCGTCGTTTACGGCAGCGTCCGTGAGACGTTGTGCTTCGGCCGTCGCTTTCGTGGCCTCATTTTCGGCTTGCTTTCTGGCCTTGGGCTTTGCCTGCTCAACTTCACGGCGTCTGTCCTCCTCTTCCATTTCTCTGATCATCCTTTCCATGTACTCATCCTCAGTCTCGATTGGCTTCTCATCAGCCTTCACAGCATCGGTATTTGTCTGTTTCTTGACCTGCTTCTTGGCCTGCTTCTTGACCATAATCCTTAGCTGCTCCTCTTCCCGGCGTCTGTCTTCCGCTTCCATTTCCTTAATCATCCTATCCATGTACTCATCCTCATTCTCGATTGGCTTCTCATTAGGCTTGGCAGTATTGGTCTTCATCTGTTCCTCGGCCTTGAGCTTTCCCTTTCCCTCCAGCGCTGCACTTCCGCTCGGTCGCTTCAATGTCATTGTGGTGTCCGGGGAGTCCTTTGATTCCGTAAAAAGCGGCTTGGAGCTTTCCAAAGAAGGTGCGTCCTGGCTAGAGACACCAAACGATACTGCGAGTGCTTCGTGGCTCTGGTAATGGCCGTCTTGTTGCTGTGCCTCGATCTGATGCTGGGCTTCGAGGATATTTTCGAATCGCCGCACCTTGTTTCGCAACTTTTCAATCTTCTCGATCTGGCCTCCGACAGTGCTCTCTTCGAGTCGACCGTCACTGTCCTGGAGATGCTTCTCAATTTTTTCGAGCTGTTTCCGAAGCTGGTGAAGTTCCCTGGCGGTAAATGCACTGGGCGGCGGGAGTGGGCCAAAAGCGGCAACAGAAACTCGCTTGCTCGAGGGTGGCGACTCAGCCGCGATGATTGTAGATGGCGAGACCAGATGCTTTTCTCGATCGGTAGTATTTGTTTCCTCGTCGTTCTTCAGCAGCTGGGCATCCAATTTACGCTCAAAACGGCTGATTTGGGCCTTTTGGTGCGTGATCTTCGCCTCCAGATCCTTCACATCAGCATGGTGCTTTGCGGATTCTAAGGTGTCCTGAAGTTGCTTTAGACCAGACCTGAGTCTGCCAAGGTGTTTCCGAGTAATCTCTCTGGCCCTCGTGGAGGGTCCCAGTTGAGCATCAGACGAGCCGTCAAGTGCCAAGTTATCCGAGGTATTGTGGGATAGCTGCCCGCCAACCCTAGTGGAAGGCTCAGGAGCTAAAAGCTTCGGTCTCTTCGCTAAACATAAACGATCCTCGTGATTGACTTCAGGCAGGTCATGTTTCTCTCGGCGGCCAAAAGCAACACTCTTCGGATGCCCGTCAAGCATAATTAGATCACTGCCTTCGCTACCATCCGAGTGGATGTCAATGATCTCTTGCTTGCTGAGCTCCACGGGCAGTACACTTGCCTCCATACGAAGTGCTAGATGTCGACTGATTACAGGTGTATCACGTTCCATTGCAGGCGAGAGAGAGCGCACTTCTCCGGGCTCTCCTCCCATTGCCAGCCAATCACGCTGAGTCTGAGATGGAGGGGAAATTCGGCGAAAGCCTTCCTCCAGGTGCTTCAGTCCATGACTAAGGGCAAGTGTCCGCTGGAACAGTAACGCTGGAGGTGATTCCACTCTCTTAGGTTGACTCGTGAGTGCATCAAAAGTTGAGCCAAGAGTGTTGGCAGTATTTCTAGGTGGGTTTTGGTACATGCTATGCCTTTGAAAGGTGCCTTGCTGGTCTTTTCCTTGGCTTGGGTCGCTTATTCTCGAATCATGGAACCCTTTCAGGATACCAACTGTGAAGCTGAAACGAAGCAATTGGGCAATTTGGTCGAGTGTGGTCCTGTCTTCAAACAGAATGATATCTTTTTCTATACTTATGTCAGTATTGAGTCACAAACTTCGAGGATATCTAAAGGAATTAAGGGTTGTAAGGATTTTAAGCTTGCTTACTACCACCCAGACTAGTTGTGCGCATATCACTTCCTACATCAAAGAAGTCAGCGGCATAGATTCTGCCGCCCTTGTCGAAGCAGGGTCGCCCGATCAACAAGTTGCGTCGAACTTGGTGAATCTGAGAAACATGTCTTTGAAGAGCAGCCTGCCCCTTCCCCTGCTTCTTCGAGATGATCAACTGAGAGATTTGCGTTTCTGCAGGCTTGGCCGAGAAATATTTGTAGAAACGCTCTGCGTTCCCGGGTCCAATCCCGAGGTCGGTAGTGGGAATGACCTGCAGAAAGCAATGATCCCTCCTATCTTTGAGGTAGCAGAACGCTTTCCCAAGGATCGTAACATTTTCTGGGGACAACTCAATGAAAATACAATGCTTGTGCGCGAAATTAGTCAAGATTGTATGAATTGCCATAAGCGGGCGGTACTCAGGGTCACCGTGCTCGTCCGTCGTCCTGAATATGAGCTGTTCGCGCGTGTGCACTTTTGCAACTTTTTGGAAATCCATGCGTAAGGGCCGGAATCTGGAATCAAGACCCCTTTTGTCGTGAATCCATTCTTGGCATTTGACTTGTGATTCCGAGCGAGCAAGCTCCGAGAGCTTGACATCGACGCACATTGCTCTTGCACCCGAATCAGACTCCTCTTTGAGTGCGTCTCGGGGCACCTCTCGGGGCACCATGTGAAACTCTGGATTGAAACCACGTCCAGTCTCCTGTGGACCAGGCCAATGCAAAATCTCTTGCTGATCTTGGTCGATTTCAAATTTTCCGTTTCTGACGGCGGTCCAGATTTCCTTGGTGGCATCCCGCCAGCTTCGAGTGTATTCCTCCAGCTCCAGCAAGCGCTGATTGTACGCGTGCTCCAGCTTCTGTTTGTGCTCCTCGACGCGAGTGATGCAAGCATTCTGGAACAGTCTGGCGACGGTTTCGTTCTTCATCAGCAGCAGCTCAAGAGCTTGGTCATCGTCGAGCTTGTCCAGGTCGATCGATGGCCGAGGGCGAGGCGGTGGCGAAAGGACCTTTGGGTCACTACCCACGCCGCGAGCTTGGAGGCGCGTGAAAGGAGACTGGCTGGTTGTGGCTTTGAAGTTGGGTGTGGACGAGACGGGCAACTTGCGGCTGATACAAGAAAGGGATCAGTCAATGTAATGTCAGGTGGACAATTGCATTGGGCATACTTACCTCGTCTGAGATGATGGCTGTCCAAAGATAGGCGCGTGTACCGAGTTGTTCCTCGCGAGCATCCAGGCTGGTATGCTAGGTTGGGTTGGGGTCTGGAAGGGGTTCGCGTAAGTCGAAGACTGGGGATCAGTCTGACCGGTGGCACCGTCGTCGTGGTCCTGGTTTTCATCCATGATAGGCTGTGGTTGACTGCGGTCGCGAGAAGGTTGGGCTTGGAGAGGCTGGGGGGGGGGGGGGGATATCGCAGAGGCGCCAAAACAAAGGCTACCAAGGTAGGTAGATGGGCGGGACAGAAGATTGGGTTGGACTGCACTTTACAGCGAGCTCAGGAAACAATTCGACCTGCTATGCTGCGCGCCACGAAGGGAAGGAACACCGACTTCTAAGGGGCTGGGGGAGGAGCAATCTAGAGCCTGTGCAGTTTGGATGTGTGAAGGTAGAAAGGAAGGTACCCACCAGGAAAGACTGTGAGCTGGAAATGGTGGGGGACAGACCATAGGCATCGAATGCACTCTGGAAAAGTTTTATGTATCCGAGCTGGAAGGCTGACTGACCTTGGGGGGCAAACACTGGTTTTCTGTTTTCTCGCTCTTGTTGGTAGACGTATGGCTCAAGTCTTCGAACTGCTGCATAGAGCGGAGGCGTGGCGAAGAGTACGAAAGGCATCGCAGCATCTGTGATAGGTATCGCCCTGTCTATACGATCTAGCTTCCTGAGAGAAGGTATGCTGAGGAAGAAACATGTGTGAACATCACGGGATAACCTCAAGTTCGGAGCCATAACACACTAAGGCGGGGCGTATCAAGATATATATCTTTCATTCTCAAAGCTTCATCAAGACTTGACCAAGGACACAGGCAGCGGCAGGTCACCTCGACGACAGCTAATCCCCCCTATTAAGGTAGCCTCCGACCACCACCTCGCAGTGCCAGAGAGAAGGCAGCTACCTATCTTGTACCCCGAAGAAAGAAAGCCCGTCAACCGAAAACCAGCACCAAAACATGTACCTTGGACCTCAAAAACTCCAAACGCCATGCTGCATAACCAGATCAACAGACAAGAGGACACTGATGCCGCCATCCACCTCAAGCACGGGGCTTGCCGTCCGCACCGAAGTCGAAGTTGCCGTAACGAGGCCGAGCGTGCTGACGAGGAGACTGCACCTGCTCATCACCGTGCCGAGGGCTGGCGGGAGAGCCGTCCAGGAACCAATCAGGCCCACCAACAGGGACGGGGCGACCGGCTTCCTGAAGAGGTGCGCTGGCAGGCCCGCTCTCGACATGGGCAGCCTGGGGACCAGTGGCCTCAGCAACGCTGACGAAGGCGCCTCCGGAATGACGACCCTCCAAGACAGCCTCATGATAGGCAGATCCGCGGTTGAGCGCTTGCTCGATTGCGGCGAGACGGGCGGCGCGGGCGCGATCTGTCGCGTCGTCGTAGAGCTGACCACGGCGGCGGAACTCGTTGGCATCGCTGGCCGCAGTGGAGGTAGCAGCAGCTGAAGCGTCGACATGGGAAGAGGGCGTGTCGAGACGAGCAATGCTGCCCACAACGGCGGGCAGGTTGTTGCTGGCAGTGTCCGAGACATGCTGGCCAACGGCCGCATCTGCAGAGGTGCCCAGCTGGGAGGCCGCGAACTGCTCGGTGGTGGGGGACTCGGCGGTATGGGTCGATTCGTTCTGGGAGGGCTGGCCGAAGATCTCCCACTCGAGGTCGGCAATTGACGACTCGGAAGGCATCTGGCTGCGGGTCGCGTGACCAGAGGCTGTGGCCTTCTGAGCACCGCGCTTGACAGCGGTGAATCTAGAGTCTACAACGTTGGATGCAGGCTCCCAAGAGTCGTCAGCCTTGCTGGTGGTGCTGCTGGTGTTGGCAGCTCCCTGGGTGAAGGCCTTGGCCGCGGGGTTCTGGTGGGAGACGAACTTCGATCAGTACCAGGTAACAAAATTCATTTCCCTTCACAGGGCGGCTCAAGTGATCATGGGGAAGAAGACATACCGGGGGAGTGACACCACAAGGCTGGCGGGGAGGGCTGGGCGGTCCATACAGCTCCTCCTCGCGTTTGCGATCGTCCTCGGCCACCTTGGTGGAGGTGAATGCAGGTCCGACTCCCGCGGCGGTGGCAGCGGTGGCAGCGGCCGCGGCAGCGCAGGCCTCCTCACGCTCCTGCGCAAAGCTCTATAGGGAGATATTCAGCATGCAGAGCCCACGATTTGGGGGAAGTTGTCCAAACGTGATGGTGCGGTGAAAATCACCATCGCTGTTTGGAGGGCTGGGGAGTTGCTAAGGAAAATCAACTCACCTTGAGGCTATTCTGAGTGGCGGCATGAAGGGCATTCATCTCGATGAGAGAGATGTCCTCGTCTTCAGAGCTCTCCTCATCAAGGTAATCCTCATCAAGGTAATCCTCATCACGAATGTTGTTTCGAGACATTTTCTGCCGATTCCACACATTTAGCGATACTGTTCCATGGCTGGCGTGTGTGAGTGGTGGACTGGGTGATGGTACTTACGATGATGGGACAATGGATCGAAAGAAGTAGTGATGCTCAAGGTAAGATTCAGCTTCAAGAGGAGTGATGGAGACAGTGGGGAGGAACAGAGAATGGTAAAATCAGAGGAAGGTAGAAGGGAGACCGAATTTAAGTATTTCAGTCAGCACTCAACTCAGTGTTGTGATTTTTGAATTTTTTCCGTCCGAACCCCAACCTCCAGTATTGTTCTGCTGTTGAAGCGTTTGTTTCTCTTTCTTAGCGCAACATATGCACCACTATGGAAACGAGCAACAGAGGAGGCGGTGCAGCTTCAAGCTTGGCCTCCTGGCCTTCTCACATCAAGGGTCTAGCTCGGTAGACACTATCATAACATCGTGAATGTTACAGGCTACAGGGAGCGTAGGCATGAGGAACACAGAGCGTATGGACATCGGTGACACTATTATGGCATGTATATAGGAGTAGACCATTGAGGTTCGAGTGAGAGGGCTGACGGCTAAGTGCTATATTAAAGGATAACACGCCGGTGAAGAAATGATTGCCAGACAAAGAGCACCGCCTCTATGAATTCCTTGCGGCATCTAGGCTGTTTTGGAGCTGGATAATGGGAGGACCGCACAAAGAGCTCTATACACTTGAATTTGGTGATATGATCATGGGAAGAATTCATCCGATGAACAAATGACGGTAAATGACAGCCATCCATGCAGAGCAAACAAAGCCTCACCAGCTAGTGTGAGGACTTGGCTGCGTCGACGTGCAGGCAAACTGCCCGTCTCCCATCATCTTCTGGGTAGCTTGGCTGCATTTCCAGAATCATATTGCCTGATGTGCTGGCATACACCCTTGAAAAGAGAGTGTCTTCAGCCCAGGAGAACAATGTTGTTGAGGATAATGCCACCATAGTTCCACGTATGTGCTGATCGCGATCGAAATATATATATGAGACGTGAGGAGTCACGAACCAAACAGAGAGAGTTACGAACCAAACAGAGAGAGTCACGAACCAAACAGAGAGAGTCACGAATCAAACAGAGGAGACAAGCTAGGGGGGAGCACGAGGAAAGGTCGAATCAGGAGAATAATTGAGGGTATCTTTGACATTGAAAGGAAGCAAGTAGTAAGCCAACATCCGATGACCATCTGAACGCCAAACCATGCAGAAGAAATATGAGCCATGATGTCGTGGAAGGATCGCAGGGGGCAATCAGAACTGCGCCCGCCGTTTCCTTCCAGTATACTTAGAGGTGGCCTTGACGATCTTGCCCTTGCGCTCCATCTGCTCCTTTTTCTTGACGATCCAAGCCTTGCTGCCCTTCTTCAAGTCACCCTTCCCGCTCTTGCCCTGCCTCCTTGAGTCATGGACGTCCACGCCGTCCATACCCTTGACAACTCCAGTGATGTCGCCGCCGACGCCGCCGACCGTAAGCACCAAGTACAGCTTAACGTTCTTGGTTTCTGGGTCGTCCTCGAGGAGACCGGCGCCGAAGCCCGCCTTGACCGCAGCCTGGGTGATCATTTGTTTCTGCTTGTCGTTCTTGGGATAGAACTGGCACACAGCCTTGCCGCCCCTCTTCAGACTGGCGTAGAGGCCGTTGAAGAACCTCGAAAGCCTGCCTTCGGGGCTTGTCTCGCTGCTCTCCGCATTGCAGAGCCACTGGATAGCGCTGATGCTGATCGCCGCGTCGAATGTGCCCGCGCGGAAAGGCACGCCCTGCCCTATGTCGGCTAGCAGGAGGTCGCCCTCGACATCACGCTGGAGCGCTACGTCCAGCATTGAGGCTGAGACGTCCATGCCGACCCAGATGTGTGGGCCGCCTTGGTCTTCGGGCTCGGAGGACAGGATCTCGCCAGACAGCCCGCTGCCGCAGCCGACGTCGAGGATGAAGGAGGGTTCTTCCAGGTCAAGGAGCTCCAGGGCTCGGCGCGTCATGGAAGCTTGGATGTTTTGGATACGACTGCTCGTGGTGTATTTGCGGGCCTCGGTGTCGTTATAGTGGACATCGGCCGCGCTATAGATCAGAGAAGACCAGTGTCAGTGACATTGTGTCTGGTAGTCGTTGGGAGGGGCAGAAGGGAACTCACAGCGTATCCTCGGGCCGAGACATGGTGGGCAAGTGATCACAGATGCGAAAGTATTGCTCTGTTGTGTATGGAGGGAGACTTTGCTCTTCAGGGAATAATATTGCCCGTTTCAATGCTTCAATTACTTCTTGTCACCGTTCCACCGACAGCGTCTCGTTGCCGTTGAAATTTCAGTGGGCTGTTTCGTTATCGCTATCGATAAGGCGTTATCGCCAGCCGAGCGTTCCTGGCTCCCTTGGACGTTTTGCGGTCCGTCGTCATCGGAGCTCGGGCCACATGCGGCAGGGAAGGGAGCAGTTGAGCTCGACGCGATTTGCCAGCCAGGAGATTGAGAACACGGTTGTAATGAGACGGGTGGCCAACGTCACTCGCCTTTTCTACCCAAACAACAGACTCAGATACTGTTAATGATTGTTTTCACCAGACCACCAAGATGTGGATCCTACCTCTAGTCGGCATACTCGGCTCCATCGTGGGCTTCTGCTTCCTGACGCTGGCCATCGGCAAGTCCCCCTCCTCCCGGAGCTTGGGCGCTGGCTGTGGTCTCGTGATGCTAACTGTGGACGGTCTCTGCAGCATCGGGACTCTACTATCTTTCCGAGCTCGTCGAAGAACACACTGTGATTTCAAAGCGACTCTTGACTCAACTGATATACGGCATCATCGGCCTTCAATTATTGCTATGCGTCGTGGACAGATTCCCCTTCTGGCTGACCCTGTTCGGAATCGTCTCCCATGTCGTCTACTTGGGTAACATGCGGAGGTTCCCCTTCGTCACACTGACGGATCCTCTATTCATTTCCTCATGCGGTACGAGCCAACAAAGTCGCGATCTCTCGCAGTCCACAGGCTGACCATGACCATCTGACAGTTCTCGTCCTGATCAACCACTTTGTCTGGTACAAGCATTTCTCCGCCCGACAGAAGAACGCCTACCAGAACATGTCCTCATACTACGAAACCCCTGATGACATGCCCACGTTTACCGAAATTGCTTCGTACTTTGGGATCTGTGTGTGGCTGGTTCCCTTTGCGCTCTTCGTTAGCCTCAGTGCCAGCGACAACGTCCTACCTTTCGAGAACCCGGCTGCGGCTGCGGCTGCGAGCGGCGACGGCAGTAAGAGGAAAGCGCAGGGCATGGCTAAGGCTCTAGTAGATGGAGTACGCAATAGCTTAAGCCAGGCTGGAGACTTGGCAGGTCTGAAGAAACAAGACAAAAGCTTCTGAAGCCCGGGAGCCGTTTGGTCCCCGAAAATATACCAGCTGTGATGGACTGGTTTGTCGGGTCCCTTGGCCCTGACAGCTAGCGAAATGGTGAGTACGAGAAAATCTTGCGCCTTTTATTCTGCTGTCGAACTGTGCTATGACGTTCAGGATTCTTTCCTAAGATAGTATTTGAAGAGCAAATTGCTCCATGCTATGAGCCTTTGACCTGATGGTACCCCCTTCGATTGATGGTCTCGTTATCGTGCGAAACATGATGGGCCATAACGCTGACATTGAGTCAGATAAGATACCCTCATAAATGCATTCACTGATCCTTCCAAGAATGTGCCCGTTTCAATCCTCAGTCGCAATACTGATGACCATCAGCGGTCCTCCGTGTGCCCTGATATGCAAGCAGTGCCCCTGCGTATGAACCTCTCGACTTGTCAGCGCCGCTCCAAAGCTTTCGACATCAGACGTAAATGCTGATTGGACTGACATCCATCACATGAAGCCTGCTGCTTATACTCCTTAGCAAAGCAATGCTAGACTGCATCCCCGCCAACTATGAACCGGACCTACTCAATGGCATTCAGCTCATCAGTGCGCTGTCATACTTCGCCTCGCTTGCGATGTTCCTGGCGGTTCTTGGCCACCGCCTGCCTCATTAAGGCCCTTTTCTTGTCTGACATCTTCCCGGGTCCAGATGCAGGCAGTCGCTTCGAATGCATCTCGACATAAGGCAGCCGTGCGGGCTTGGGAAGCTAGCTTGTACTGTGCCTGAGCGGATGATGGCGGGATTCTTGTCCTCGAGGTGACCCATTAGCAGGCGACGCATTTCTCGCCTTCTTCGCCAAGTGTTCACGTTACCTTCTCCATGGCGGCGGCAAGTAGTAGACAATTTCGATCGTTCGAGGTATTCACCGGATGGAGATGAGTCTGAACGTTTGGCTTGGCCAGGAGTCTGCAGATCTGGGAGCTTTCAATAGCTTTAACCTGCGGGTTCTGCACCGCGCTGGGTCTGGACTCTTGCTGTTGCCTAACTCCGGAACAGCCCCCACGAGCAGAAATTTAAGGATATGCTATCGGACATGTGCATCAGGTTGCACGAACACATGGCGAACAATTTAAACTCGTCTCCACAAGTGAGCTGCTTCGGTCTTGCGATCATGAAGTTAATGGCAAGCGAGACCAATGAAGTCGGGGTTCTATACAAGCTTGTTCGCTCTCCTGCAGGATCTGTGTGACGAATCCCACTGCAACAAGTGAAGTGGCACAACGTCCCATCTGTTAATGACGGCGCTTCGTCGTCTGGAGCAGCGGAGGAGCTCTTCAACAGCCACACCGCTCCTTACGACCGCGGCGAATCAGGGGTCCTCCGCACCGACAGAGTTCATGCAGTCTCGGTGAGACGCCGCCATCCGCAACCACACCCTCAATAAAAGCTTGCTATTCTAAACGCCGGCTGCGTTCCGTTTGGCAATTCGTCTCGAGTGTGTGTACAGATTTGGGCCATTTACTGTTATCTACTTGAGCGACACACCGCGAAGCAGGGCGGACGCTGTGCTTCAATGCCCTGTATGTTCGGAAATGACGGGCCTTTTTGAATTTTCCGCGTATAGCAAGGTCTTGGCATCGACCTATTCACTACACTATCCTGCTTCATAACCCCAAGACGAAGCGCATCTGAGGGACGGCCGATCAGCACCACCCTGGCACTGAGCTGCATTCGCTATCGTTTCGACGGTCTAGACCCAATGATACTAGACATTGCGACTCTTGATGAGCTTATCTTGATTGCCGTCAATGCAAAAGGAACCACAGCGACAAGCTTGGAAACTTGAGGCTACTGTACTACACCGATCTGGGAAACCGATGCGACTCTCAAGTCCTGGTCTTTGGCACGACATGCCGATGTGTGCTCATGTATATTGCACCATATCAAATCCATCTCAAGACACCGAGGAGGTATGTCAAGGAGGACAAACAGCCTCTGCTTGTACAAGTCGGGATAAGAGTCGCACGAAGATCAAATCCTCCGCTCCTGTCTGCACTACAACTGCCATGTGCGCCACATATTCCCGCCCAGCCGGCATGCTCAGAACCTGTTATTGACAGCATGGGTTGGATTACGGACAGATGGCCACGCAGATCATCGGCAGAGGCTGCAGGACCCGTGTGGACCTGCGGGAGACAGAATCCGGTTGCCAGCTGTCTCACATGTGGTGCTGTCGACTCTCAGCGAGTTTACCACAACGTGGATGCAACATGCCGTCAGTTCCACGCCATTACCGGCTTACGAGCTATAACAGCAACGTGCCTTGTTATTATAGCGACGAGTGACGAATGTTCCCGCATGTTTGTTGGACTAGGGCAAGGGGAGGCCTCTGTCGATGTTCGATCTCACAGGCCGGCTTGCCACTTGTTATACTGACGATCAAGACTGTCGGACGAAGAAGAGAAAGAGAAGGGGTCGCAACACGGCCATGTCGAGGCTAATGTTGAGCAATACTGCTTCAGATGGCTTGCTTCGGACAGCGAGACACTACTGGTCCCTTGGAATACCTTCTGGTCCCTGTACCCGAGACAACGACAACCTCAGTCGCAACCATCTTGACCTCAGCATGGGCCAACAAAACTCCCCGACATTGTTCTGGACGGCCGCAGGATCTTGTGCTACTGTACACAACATGAGGGTCCAATTGGACAATAAGCCCTGCGTCTCAGGAGCTTGACGGCACGGCGACCATTGCATGACAGTCACCCAATAGAATCGGCGAAGACCGTTGAAGCGAACGCATGCATGCTGCGGGTAATCATACAGGAAGCAGATCCCCCTCAGAAGGAGGCCGGTTGAAGTTGCCTCCCTCTCACCATGTTGTGAAGTGGCCTATACCATCTCATGGGACAACGGCCTCACTCGTCTACCTACGCATGCCTGGTGAATGAGGGGGCACAGGGGTTTCGGCGCGCGCCGGCTTCATCTGGACCAACGAATTGATGCCGATCATCGATCCACTGCCCTGAAAAGACGGAGGGGAGTGAGTCGATGGCTCGTTGACAAGCTCGCGGCCGCGGACAATCACCCACGATCGCCTCATCTTGGAGTATCACTGGCAATGTGGTGGCGACATCGAGATTCGGGGAATCCTGTTCTCAACCGATCGGCAATATCGGCGCTCGGCTCTGGACTGGAGCTGGCAAACGAACATACACATCATCATCTCAAGCTCCTTTGACCGGGTGGACCCGTGGCATGGCACAACAATGCAGGTCCGAGACATACACCATAACGGCAAAAGTCACTGGTGCATTTGGTTTCCCGGTCGCATGCCATCGTAACAGAAAAAAACCAGGACTCGGCTGGACTGTTCTCTGATGTCCAAGGACTTAAAAGAAGCGCCTTCAATTCTTCGATATAAGGACTATGGAGACTGATGGTACATTTGAGAGGAAGGTTCCACCCATCAGCAGACAACATTTCACCAGGTTTACATACAACAACCCTAAAACATTGATTCTCAGGCTTTGCCTCGATGTCTCACCCAAATTCCTGCTGCACATCTGATCGTTGCGGCAACCTCAATCGATCCGCCTCTTTTTCGCTGAAAACGAGCCTTCAGACAACCAACTCGATCTGTCAGTGAGTGTACAAGCAGCTTGGATGACCCGCATCCAACTTAATTGAAACACCGAATTGTACAAAAGAATTTCGAGACGGCTGCGCGGATGTGGTGCCACAGCATTACCGAAGTGTGGCTCAATGGACCTCGGTGCGCTTCTCTTCCCCTCCCGTCGTCGCGCCCGTGCAACTGAGCACGGCAGGCCACTGCCTGAGAGGGGTCAGATTATTTTGCCCCGAGGAGGCCGGTGCTGCAAGACCGTGCCACGGCCCGGCGCGTGGAAGCTCTCGGAGCCAGCGGGTCATCGGGTCGGGACCGAATTCCGGCGACGTGATCGACTCTCCGGCCTTCTGTCCAGGTGTGAGAAACTGGGGGAGCATCAGGAAGGCAGAAGTGCTGCTTTGCTTCGCAGCCGGGCCGTTTGCCTGCATACACATCTCGAAGTGTTTCGAAGTGAGGGCTTCACATTGAGAGAGACATTGACGGAGAACAGATTGATGGTCGAAAAAGCAATGCCAGACTAAGTTGTTGGGTAGTCTTATGCACTGTCACGTGCTGGTGAAGGCGATGATGCTGCTGCGTCTCGCCCTGGCCGAGAGGCGGGCTTCCGCACGAGAAGCTGGCTCTTTATACTCATGAATGCCTCCTGCGACTATACTGGATTCCCAACAATCCGGCCAGCACCTTCCACGATGTCAGACTTTGGCTGACAGCGCCGGACGCCTTTGAAACAGATCTTGAGAGATGTAATCATGCGGTATTACGCCTAGTCCCAAAACTTGACAGCTGCCGTGCGCCGGAGTGCACAATCCACTCAGCAGTTCATGTTCCTTACCGAGCTCGTCAGAGATAAGGGCTTTCCAAACAAACCGCTGCTGTGCAACAGCAGTGCCCAGCTGTTGATCCACTCGAACTTACCACTACCTGCCTCGTCAATCGCTTCTAAGATCTGCCAAGCTTTAGCCAGCATCCACAGGAAGACCGCTTGGCTGGTCACATGATGGATCTCGCGACTTACACATAGTTCATGCTGTATAGTGTCGATACTGCCAGGACTAATGGAGACTTGTCACGAGCGGGGTTTCCATGAGCTTTCCACAATGACCATGGAGAGGTCGGGAAATCCGCCAATCATGGAGTACACCCCTCGAGAGAACCGAGATGGAACGCGTAGACAAGAAGTGACTAGGACTCATTGGCTACTTGTGCCAATCGCCCTGTCACATCACAGTTGTGCCACAATCCACGGACGGAGGATTATGCCATGTAAGGAACGATGTTCAGACAAGCCAGCCGGTCAAACGTCGTGTGGCGGACTACCTGATGCTTTATATCAGGGTCGAACCGGGACGGTGGCCACCAACAGTGCAAAACACGCGAGGACCGGCCCGGCGGCTGCCGATAACATCCAAGACATGTCCGATAGGCTCACACATGGCTGCCGTCGGACTCTGCCCGAGGAGACACGGAAGGGGTCTGAAGGGTGGTCAAGACCACGCACGGACGGGCGCGTGTCACGCACGTGGTGCGCAAAGCAGTGGCTATCCGCGTCCCATTATTTTGTGCTTCTCAGCGTCAAGCTCGGTCGGGCAACTATCTGCGAGTGTAGCAGCACACTGAGGAACTCGGCGCTTCAGGGAGAAGGCCAAGCGGCGAGCCTCGTTCGTGGCAGAAAACACTATCTCGTCGGGAGGCCTCATATGCTACGTAGGACGTCGCCGACTACCTGAATTCTCAGACGAAGTATGTGTCACTGGTGCTACCTATCATCACTTACATGCCATTGGATGGACGACTGTGTTCAGCAAGGCACCGTTACGGACTGGAATATTTGTACACAATACAATTGTCTTCTTATGTCCTCAACTAAAACAAGATATTTACACTGAAAAGACGTTTCCTCGTCCCAGATTCCACGCTATGCAAGACCAAATCGTACACAGAAACTTTTGAACGGCTACCGTTCCTCTCCTCTATTTACAAGACGCTAGCTGCAAGCTGCTTACAGCTTCCTGGCAGCGCGTCTCCTCTTGCAGTTGGAGCCAGAGCTGCCGGTGGAGGGGCTGGAGCTGCTAGAAGAGGAGGCAGAGCTGCCAGTCGAGGTGGACGAGCCGGAGCTGGCGTTGGTGGAGGTGGAGGCGCCGGTGGTGTCGGCGAGGATGGCCTTGGCGGCGTGCTCGGCGGCGACCATGACGATGGCCTGTGTGTTGCCGGTGGGCAGGTCGGGGTGCATGGAGGCGTCGACGACGTAGATGTTGTCGGTGCCCCAGACCTTGGTGTTGGTGTCGACGACCGAGTTGCCGTCGTTGGTGGCGCCCATGCGGGCGGTGCCGACGAAGTGCGAGCCCGTCGTCATGTTGTCCTCGGCGATGAGCGCCGCGGCCGTCGAGTTGAGCGTGAAGGGCGAGTCGGCCGTGTTGACCATCGTGATGAGCTGGTTCATGAAGTTGGTGATGGCGCTCTTGTCGCCGGTCGTGGTCAGGTAGGGCTGCGTGGTGATCTCAGTCGCGCCCGACGAGGTGACGCCGAGGACACCGGTGGAGGTGATGCCGTGCGTCAGGTAGACCTTGACCTTGACGGTGTTGGCGGAGGGGGCGTTGATGGTGCCCTGGACGTAGTAGGTCTCCTTGTCGTCAGACTCAACGGTGGTCCAGATGTTGATACGCTGGCCAGCCTGAGCGAGAAGACCAGCAGACTTGTCGTTGAACTCAGTGACGGTAGTGTCGTTGGGGGAAGTGAAGGCAGTGGTCGGCAGAGCAGTCAGACCGTCCTTGACGTGGAGGCTGACGGTGAAGATGGGGTGGTCCTGCAGGTTCTCACCGACGGGCAGCTCGATCCAGTCAGCCTCGTCGGGCAGGGTAACCTTGACGGAGCCGCTCTTGACGGTCTGGATCTGCGCCTTGGGGCCGATGCCAGAGTTGATGAGCATACGGGGAGTGGACAGAGCACCACCAGCCAGGACGACCTTGCCGCCGGAGGTAAGGTTGATGATCTGGCGGTTGCCGTTGGACAGCTCAACCTCGACACCGGTGGCAGCGGAGCCCTCGCGGATGACACGGACTAGCTTGGTGTTCAGGGACAGCTTGAAGTTGTTCTTGGCCTGGGCAAGGGGAAGGTACGAGCGGATAGGGCCGCCACGGAGACCGTCTTGAATCAACCAGGGAGGGTGAGAGAAGACTTGCTCCTTGTCGTTGGGGCTCTCGAGTGCGTTGGTCTGCGACCAGCCCTGCTTCTCGAGGAAGCTGCTCATGACAGTCCAGGCGCCCTGGTCGACACCAGTGCCGTTCTCAAGAATGTATCCGGGGGAGCGCTCGTAGAAGGAATCAGCGGACGATGAGACGTCGGACCACTTCCAGCCCGTGGGCCACTTGTCGTCGAAGTCGTGTGCCGCGGGCTTCACGAACATCAAGGCGTTGATCATGGTGGAACCACCGAGAATGCAGCCGGCCATGGAGCCGGTATCAAGGCAGTACTCAGAGGTGTCACTGGCAGTGCTGAGGTAGTAAGCCATGGCGGGAACATCGTACTGGGTGATGGTATCGTTGTAGGAGACGGTAGCGTCACCACCGGTCGAGTAGGTAGAGGCTCCACCGCGCTCAAGGAGGAGGACAGAGGCGCCAGACTCAACCAGACGCTGGGAAACAACCAGACCGGCAGCACCGCCACCGGCAACAATGTAGTCGTATGTGGCGTTGCTGGTGGTTGTGGTGACGTTCTGAGCGCTGCCGCCTGTGGTGGAGTTGCTCGCACCGCCAGTTGTTGAACCGCTTGCGGTCGTGGAGGCCAGAGCAGCCCAGGTCGCGTAGTCGGCAGACTTGGCGTCAGTCAGGCTGTGGCTGTACTCACCGAACGCAGCACCGTGGTAGTTGAGGGTTGCGGCAGAGTCGCTGGTGTCGGTCAGGGCAGTCTTTGACAGAGCGTAACCGAAGACATCGGCCTCCTCATCGATGGTGAAGGAGGCAGTGTCGTTGGTGATACAGCCCTTGCAAAGGAAGGTGTATTGCCAGCCTGTGGAGTTGATGGCGGTACCCGTGGAGATCTCGTACATTCCCATGGAGGAGTCTGTGACAGGGCTGGGGTTGGTGTAACCTGTAGCCTTGCGCAGCGAGCCAACCATCTTGTCGCCATCGGCCCACGCGCACACGAGCAGGGAGTTGGCCATGGGTCCACCCAGGGAGACAGCAGCATAGCCATCGAGGGTGTTGGACTGCAGGATACCGATGAAGTCGCCGCCGGCCTCAGGGTTCTCGGGAAGAGCCAGACCGAAACCCCAGCCAGTCTTCTCGTAGTATGAGAACTTGATGCCGGAGCTCGCATCGGTGTATGTGGTGGATTGCTGACCCAGAACGCCAGCGACCATAGCGGCCGTGGCCAGGAGTGTTCGTGGAACCATTTTGTTATGTGTATCTGTGAAGGCTTGGATCCTAACTATTCTGTTTGTTTCCTGCTTTGATTTTTTCTCGATTCCAAGGCTTCAAGCTTCTCGGATATCGCTTTGGTGAACGGTTTGAGGAAGGAAGGAAGGTTGAAGGAATGAATGTGGCGCTGCCACTGGAAAGAATGTCTTCGAAGAAAAGAATGACTTCGAGGGGAAAAGAATGTGGTGGTTCAACCAAGCAAAGGAAGCTTGAGAAGGAGAATGAGAAGATGGACAGGAAGGAAAGTCTTGGCAGAAAGTCGACGACGGCCTGCGTTTCCTTTATTCTTCTTGCGTCTACCCCCTGATCCGAGCAGTCGGGCCCGGGTCCCGGCAGTGGATGGGGGAGAAGGAGGCGAGCATCCAGAAGGAGTGGCATCGTCGGCATTCTGCAACGGGTCAGGTCGGCCCACTTCACCAACCCTTCATCACAAATGATGGCGGCTGTCCTTGGTGACTAGAGACCCTTGACCATGAGGCTCCGGCCGACATGACCAAGTTGAGGTCCTTGCCTTCGAGGATGAACCCGAAGGGTGGATGGATCTACGAAGGGAAAACAAACATGCTGATGTTCCCAGGCCAATAGGGTGTTGTAGATTTGGGGGGAAGAGACCGAATGCGGTAAGAGAAGGCTGAGAACGACCCACAAGAGGATCGCCCACAGGGAATCTAGGCTTTTTCGGAACACAATTAATATGCAGTACCATTAGCAGAGCACCCGAGTAAGCACTGATCAGGCGCTGGAGGAGCCGAAGTGATTTTTGAAAGCGCCGAGCAAGCCCCGCCGAATTCTGGGTCTGGCGAGCCCCTGGAAACAACGTGCCAACATGACTCGTCGGCCAAGCTCCGAATAGTAATCGCGGCACCGTCAATTGGCCATGTGGCGCTTGGTGAACCCACTCCGGCGGCCATGTGGACGCAGCGCCTCGTCGCGTTTAAATTGAGCATTGGTCTTTTGTTTCAGGCGACTCTAGCTGGGGCCACCCCTTTCCCTTTCCGCCCATAGGCATCGCCCGGATGAACATTCTCGCCAGGCTCGCTCGCATGAACTGTTTCGAAACTTCGCCAACAGTGTGGGGTGCTGCAAAACAATCTATCAAGTCGAGAACCCATTGGCAAGGACAGAAAGGGGTAAGGGGCCGACGGGCGTTTCCTTTTGAGAGCGCAAGCTGGGTTCCTACCCTGGCTTGCTTGTTTGTCCAAATTGGAAGACGTCAGCATCTCCGAGAGGCCCTCAGTTCCCTATTAGCCGATGGGCCATTCCGACCAGATACGATCATAATGTCCCCATCGTGATTCGCTTCCGTGCTCGGACGGGGGTGGTTGGACTGGATCACCACTGTCAGGTCTGCAGGGCGGATGACACTCCTGTCGATCAGCCGCAACCTTGCTGGTCGACGCTCGGTTAAATGAAGATTGAGAAGTTTTAGCCTCGGTGATGAAGACTCGGTCCTTGCCGGATCGCCTGTTGTGTCTGTGGTCCCGACCCGAGGACATGGTGCTTCAGGGGTGAGGCTTACGTATGTCCATGGAGGTGTCTTCCAAAGAAACCCAAAGCAACGCAGGCAGATGCAGATACGCTTTTAGAATCAGGTCAACGAGTCGAGTCCCAGTCTATCTGGTACCGGCCCTACAGCTGCCGTCGGTTCCGGGCTCGCGGGTAAAATGCAACCATTAGGAGACAGTATTAATTTCCCACAATTCTCCTGGGTTTCGCTAGGAAGATAAGTCGTCATTTGACAACCTCCAAGGCCCGCTGCGAGCCGGCTTGTTAAAATCACGGTGCTCCCATTGCCTAGTTGCGAGGCACGACTGCAGATGCACGCTTCGAAGAGCCCAAAAAGTAGACCATTGGTGGTCCGAAGCCCTGTCATCAGTACTGTGCCCCGCGCCTGCTTTGGGCCTCTAGCTCGATCCGGCAACACTCGTCGGCAGCGGCGGCAGGATCTCGCAGATTCGTCTTGGGCCGACCACTGTAGGATCAGCAACAGGATCACTGCGGGGAGCTTCGGACCACAAAGCAACCCCAACCTGGATGAGAGACATGAGAGAACGTAGGATACAAGACTGAAGCCTTGACTTTTTCCCACCGATGATATCGTGAGATCACAAGCAACAGACTATTCACAATGCAGGCATTCAAGGCGACTCTTCTTAACGGCGCAACTGTATCAGGCCACTACTCCCGCCCGGAGACTTCGAGTCCGCCCCATGCGGCCTTAGACGACAGCAGGCGACCCTTATTCGTGGCCATTCATGGTGGTACCTATTGCTCAACCTACTTTGATGCCGATTCGAAACATTCAGCTGTCTTGTGCAGCAACGGCCTCGGGGTCCCAGTGGTTGCAATTGATCGCCCTCTGTACCAAGAAACAACGTCATTCTATCCGATTCCAGAGGGTAAGACTTACCACGAGGGGCTCGCTGTCCACCTTCACAAGTACATCCTCCCCACATTATGGAAAGAATATGGCAAAGGATGCGGCAGCATGGTACTCCATTGTCACAGTCTCGCTACGCCCAGCGCCGTTATCCTCGCGGGGTGGTACGCCCAGGAACAGGCAAAGGGGGAGACACCGGGGTATCCCCTCTCCGGCCTGACCATTTCAGGGTTTGGCAGCCAGAATAGGTCTACTATCGTCGAGGGCGGCAAAGAGACCCCAGACCCACTCCCAGAGTACATCGACATCCCTCTCGACGTCAAGGATAACCGCATGTTTGAAAAGGGAACCGCTGACCCGGCAATCTACGGGCAAACCAAGAGGCTGCACAACCGTATGCCTTACGCGGAGCTGGGTGACTACTTTGCGGTCTGGGCTGGTGACAAATGGCGAAAGCTCTGCGGCGCGGTTGAGGTCCCTGTCATGATCGGAATGGCAGAGAAGGATTCCCTATGGTTTGGCACTGAGGAGCACGTCAGGGAGTTTGCCGGCGGTTTTAGCAGCAGTGAGAGGGTCGATGCAAGCGTAGTCAAGGGCGCGCCGCATTGCATCGAGTTGAGCTACTGGGCCCAGGGCTGGTATGCGAGGTGTTTTGGCTGGGCTCTGGAGTGTGCCGCTGCGTACGCTGCGAAGGAGAGAAAGAATGAGGGTGCGTGATGTTGTGATTATGATGCTTTGTGAATTCCCTGTCGTATCTCAGTCCTCCGGGACTTGTTTCAGCCCGTAGCAAAGTCGCCTCTCCGTCAACCTTTGTGTGTTCGCATCCCGGAAATGCCAGGAGTCCTTACTGATTGATGTAATCAAGACCTCAGAGAGCCCCGAGAAAATCATATTGGATGTGGGAACAATGTTCTGTCTTTGTTGAACACTTCGCTCAATTGCCAAAAAGACCAGCACACGCCCAAGTTTAGACCTCTTTCCAGAGCATCTGCAGAATGTGCACTTACGCCGAGTCGAACGGCTCAATCCAAATCCAGTTTCCAGCCGAGTATCACCTCACTAGACTGCCTCTATTACGATTTCCCCCGGAAGATTGTGACACTTAAACCATAGCAGCGCGTGATGTTTGTTGGATAGATCAATTAACAAAGGGCAGGCGGCAAACTTTCTTTGTTCTTGCAGTTGTTCGGGTGCCCAGCTTGCTCCTGGAGTCCTTTACAATGCCTTTGTGTAGGGGTTGGTAGCACACATAAAGCAGTGCTGGCTGTAGAGCTCTACCTCTATTTAATGAGACCATCAGTTCGTTCCAGGGAAGACGTCATACCAACTGTGCCATTCCGTCGACAATATCTCATCGAGACCTCTATTGGTTATTTTCACCAGGTGTCTGAATAGAGACATCATGTCAATCGTCTTTGAGCATCTGCTGAGCTGCGGAAGCTGCAACAAGGCCCTTCTCGTGGCAGACTTGCGATCGAGCCGGACAAGGGACAAGGATATGGTTGGCCTGACAGTTCGGCACGACTTCAAATGGTCTGGCGGTAGTCTAGGAAATAGTTACTCCCAACTTGCAGTCGTTGTTGATGACGAGCTGTTGGAGGCACCGCCTGAGGCAGAGGCAGAGTCAACCACTTCTCGTCAGGTGCTCTATATCGAGGACTGTGCGACCCCGGAATCTCGTCGAAAGTTTTCTCAAGATTGGGGTTTACGTTGGCTGGCGTTCGAACAGCATTTCGAAACTATTGCCTCTTGGTCAGGCAGCAGCGTGGGTAAGTGTTGGTGCGACTGTCATCATGCTGAGGTTGCCGGTGTTACGGACGGCGGACCAGGATCTGCGGTCGATGCTTGTTCTTCAGCAGATAGTACGCTCGGTCTTATCGGCTTTCAACGCGGTTCTTCTTCCACAGAAATTAGAGGTCGAAAGCTTGGGAGCGGTATCTATAACCCTAGTGGGCGCCCCAGTGAGAGAGGTGGACGCACTCGAGGTGCGGATGTCTCGCTGATCGAACAGAACATTCTGTCTTGGAGAGAGCAGTGTCAGCGAGAAGGCCAATGAGTGGAAGCTGTGAAACTGTCTGATGATTGCGCACGTGTAAATCCTAAGTTTTAGATGGAAAAGTGCTATTGATAAAACAAACTGTTGAATGTTGTCCTGAGCTACTGTTGTGTTGATGGGCGCCTGGAGGGGCGGCGACGGACGCATTTCCACAAAAGGTGCAAAGATTCAACAAGTAACTTCAGGATCATTTGAATTATTTTGATTTTGTATTGCGGACTATTCAAAGCTTCCGAGGCAATGGCAGCTCTCACAGTTCTATTTTAAACGTACAGACAACAACGCTCAACACGCTACGGCAGCTGCCTAGGCCTTCTTATAATATCCGCTCCCCGTTGCCTGAGTCTTTGCTGGTCCAACATATTTAGTGATATAAGTCTGCCACTGCTTGGTAGCGTCGCTGCCCGTAGCATCGGGGAAATTGACACTACACCCTAGAGCCTTATACCCAGGTGCAAGCAACCCCGACACAGCATTCACCACCGTCTGAATCACGATGACTGAATTATACAGCTCCGAAGGAAAGTTGGCATAAATGGCGTTGTAAAGGAAGCAAGAAAGCCCCTGAGCGTTAGTCGGCACGTCAAGCGGGCCCACGACCCAGCTCTGGTCTGCACCAGAGCCACCCAGGGCGGGCAGAGCGTACAGATAGACATCGAGAATGCCGCCCACGGCCTCAAGGACCGTCATCGGCGTAGCCCGGCGGTACCAGTTATCTGGGATGCGCTCCGGCACGTGCGTGTAGGTGAGCTGGGGGTCGTCCCATGCGTTCGCGCGGCTAGGCTTGGCGCCGTAAAAGGAAGTGATGGAGGCCTCGTTGGCAACGCCACCGGCGCCGATGGTCCCGTTTGAGAAGAATCCCGGGACAAAATAGTACGCGCCCATTACGACTCCGGCGCTGGGCAAGTTGAAGTAGAACTGGCTGTTGGCGGCCTTGGACGCCGCGTAGCGGTTCTTGAAGTGCTCCTTGATGGCATCCACGTTGTATGTGCCGTTGCCCTTTGCGAGTGCTTGCTGGTGCAGCTGCTTGAAGAGTTCAGGCTGGAATGAGATATTGTCGCCGGTCAGGTAAAAGTCGTTGCGTGTGGCTGATGCATCTCCTTCGTTGAATTTGCCTTTCCGTTGTTAGTCTGGATTTACTCGCCAGGTCCCACGAGGGTTCATCTTACCGTGTCCGGCAATTCCTGATGGCGTGCCAAATATGCCATTCAGTGCTCCATTCAAAAGACCGACACGATTATCTGGCCCGCCAATGCTCATCTTTTGCGACAGAATGTCACCGCCGTCGAGAGCACCTCCGGTGGCCAACAGAGTCGATAAGTCGGCGCCCATATTGAAGACCCGAGCTGTGGCAGCATTAATCTGGCCGATGGTGGCAATACCGGTTCGGGGAATGTATCCATGATTCGCAAGGGTATTCAACCCGGGGCAAGGACCGCGCTGATCAGTAGAACCAGGTGCCTGGAAAGGGTAGTTGGCTGTGGATATGTCAATACAGAGTATCTGACGGCACAAATAATGAGAGGATTGGTAGAGCATACCCTCGGGAAAACGTTTCAAGCCGTTGACCGACTCAGAGGTAGGAATGAGACCAAGAACGTTGTCAAGAATTGCCCCAAGCGTCCCGCCAAGTAAGCTACCGACGCCACCCACCACTCCAGTACCCAGCTGGCGGGCTTCGTGATCCTCTGTTTGCTCAGGTACTCGGCGTTCCAGTTCTTTCAATCGTCGGTCAATTTCCTGGCGGGCCTCCGGGTGGTTGAGAAGAGTGTTCATCCCCTCCGGAGTCATCCATGGAAAAGCAATGGCAGGAGACGCGCACAGCGCAGCGTAGAACAGAGATGACCGCATAATGGCAAATGTAGAAACAAGGCACGCTTAGTGAATCTGAAGGGCGGAGTCCTCTGGCAATATTCGCGTTGATCCCGATTTTCCCAGATGAGGGTCTGGCGCGTGTATTTATACGGCTTTCATCGACATCTTTTAGTCGTGCCTGCGTCATAACGTACTAGACAGGCTATACGAACCCAGCAAGATGGAGTCTCCGAAGCAATCTTATTACTCCAGCCTGGTCTCTGTGCCCTCTGTGTTAAAGAAATAGTGCGTTGTCATCCTCGCTTTGCTATTGGCCGGTCTCCACCCGGGAAGTTGCTCTCCCGCCAGTAGTCTTTGGCCCGCATGGGATCGACGTAACAATAGCTAGGGTGGCTTATAGTGGCGGCGAGGCGGCGTGGGATCTGCAGTGCATCCCTTTCTCGGTATATACCGCGACAAGCCTCATTCCGCAGTGTAAATACGTTTTATTGTGTGGTGGAATGCAGTAAAGCTGCCTCGGTAGATGCGAGTCCTCATTACGCTGTGTTGACCTCAGCTCACTCCTGATAGCTGAACTTAGCTGAGAAACAAGATGTGGCTAGGTTCCTATTGTTCATTACCATGCATTTTCGAGCTGAAAGCAGACCCACCACAACCGAAAGTGGAGGCATTGGATCATCGAACACACAGCGGATTAGATTTGTCTCCGAAGCCAACCGCATTCGATCAAACATCAACTAGCACGCTCTTGACAGAGCGATGGAGCAATATGGGACAGGGTGTCGATCCGGTTTATGCAACCGATCGTCACAAGCCATGAGAAAAGCTTGATATAAGCAAGTCACCATTGGTTGGAATTATATTGAACGGAATGCTTTCAGCTCCGCACTTGCAATCTGAGTATCCATTCTAGCCTAACACTTCATAGCGACCTGTCTGATGACGAGGCTACTTTACATATCTTCCGTTTTGTCTTTCCAGAAGGTCTAGAATCAAGACACAGTGACCGGCTTGGCTGGCGCCTCAGGCTTGTCCGAGTACTGCAGTTTCGCCCGAAGCTTTCTGTAGTCATCTTGCAGGACTGGCGGATACTTTGGTGGGTTTTGTCCGCTAGCGCAGGCAGGGAGACACTCTATGATGGACGTTGGGTCTGGGCTGACGAAATAAGGGATTGAGTAGCGAGCTCTCGTCAGACCTTTGCCTCCTTCGGGCTGCTCTTTCATCAACGGTGGCAAAGTTACTCGGTGGAGTGTTGACTTAAGGTAGTCTGTTGGGGAAGTTCAGCCGAATTCACAGCAAGATTCAGTATTATGCTTCAATAACTCACCGTTACTCCAGCGCATGAGAAGGTCTCCAACGTTCATAATAAGAGCGCCCTTCATAGGTGTGGCGTCCACAAATTCGCCTGGCCGCTTCGGATGCTCAACTTGCAGTCCTCCACAGTCGTCCTGAAACAGCATCGTAATTGAGCCCCAGTCGGAATGTGCCGGCATCCTTGCCATGGCATTACTGGAGAGCTTCTCTGTCTCAACAGGCGGATAGTGCAGCAGCCGCAGCTGGTTATTCTCGCCGCTGTGGAATCTCAACAGGTAGTCCGGGTCATCAAGTCCTATGCCCATAGCCATTGCACGCAGAAGCTCTTTTGCGGTGTCGAAGCATGACCAGTAGAACCCCGTCATGAATTTCCGGAAACCAGGGAGGACTTCTTCAGGAAGCCACTGGTTGGGCTGCTGGGCAAAAGTTTCGCTGCCTATCTCATACGATTCTTTGCAGTCCTGCACTTTGCGGAGCTCGGCATCCTCGTTGTCTGAATCTTGGTCATCTTGGTGGATGTACTGAGAGACTTTCTCCAGGCCTGGCCAGGAGTAGCCGCGATGGACATTGGGGCCTAGAAGCAAGTGATTAAATAAACATGGTTCCAAAATGACCTACTTCGTAGCTATTGCGTACCTGGAGGGTGGGGTGCGAGCATCTTCTTCTCCTCCGGCAGATCAAACAGCTTCTTCGACCACCCGAAGGCTTCATCGAGAAGCTCGGGAGTAACGCCATGGTTGACGATATAAACAAAGCCAACACCCCGACAAGCTTCAGCTAGATCCTTGGCCACCCTTTTCTTCTCCTCCGGTGAGCCCTTCAGCCATATGCTGAAATCAATCACTGGCAGTGATGCAGCCATGTTTCATGCTCCGGTAAGCTCGGCAATAGTGCGGTATGCCGTGATTGTGCGTACTTCGGGTGTGTGTACTCTTTGCAACAGTATATAAAGACTCGCTATCTTGCGCGCTCTATCCTATCGGGGCTGCACACCTGTGTGTAGGTATATTGTAGCCCGAAACGCGAAGTGAGGAGTGGACTGACTGTCTTACGTGATGCTAGAATGGAGCTTGGCACTGATAGGGCGCGGGGACAGGGTGATTCCAAATGGTTGGCCGCCATCTCGCGTTGCCGATCTTGGAGATTGTCGGGCGTTCCCGACTGAGGATGTTATCTACGGGCAACATAGAGTAGACATATCGCCGCCATCTACGAGTCTTGGTCGCGGGCTTATCAATCGGCACGCAAATTATAGGAACATAGAAGGCCATCTGTTTCGGGCCGTTTGATTACCCAGGGCATGGGTGGTGCTGAGGATATTGGATGGCATTGCCAGTACATAAGCGCGACTGCCGGGCTCGCATGTTCTCTGTTACATCGGAGGTAATAAAGTGACGTTTCCCCAAACCTTCTGTTCTCCTAACTGTCGCTGGTGACAAAACACTCGCGATGACCGTTGGAACAAAGTCCCGCGCATCGTACTGGGCCAAGCGACTCGAATGCCCTGTCGACGAGAATGCCAACTACCGCAACACGTTTTGGTGCAACCGCGACTTGATCCCGATCCCTGAAGATAGGAGAACCTGGACGTGGCAAGGTTTCGCTGGATACTGGGTGATCTGCGGGTATGTAAGCCAGATCGGTCTCCTAAAGCATAATTATGCAGCGCGCTCAGGCTCACTGATCGAGTACAGCATCAACACGACAGCATGGACGGCCGGCTCAACACTGTTATCGCTGGGCTTAAGCGCACCTCAAGCCATAGGTTGCATGGTTGGAGTGGCCTTGATATCCGCTCTCGTCGCTGTCCTTGCAGGATGGCCGGGAAGCCACCTCTACTTAGGATTCACCGTTCTCTCCCGGGCGTCGTGGGGAATGAGAGGTGGTTTCTGGCCAGTCCTTAACCGTATTGTGACAGCATGCGTCTGGATGGGCATACAGGCGTACTGGGGTGGACAAGGTAAGCTCCTGAAAGTACGCAATTGGATCTTCAAGAACAAACTTGTCTGATGCTTTTCCAGCGGTCAAAATCATCCTCAGGGCCATCATCGGACACAAGTTCCGCGACTTACCAAACACACTCCCGGTGTCATCCAACACCGACACAGCCAGCCTGATTTCCTTCTTCGTCTTCATCATCATCTTCCTGCCCCTCCCCTTGATCCCGCCTGAGAAGCTGCAGCTACCCTTTCGGATTGTTTTCGTTATGATCACAGTGACAATGTTTGGCATGGTAGGCTGGTCCGTCCACGCCGCCGGCGGCGCCGGAATCTTGATGTCGACGCCAGCGACAGGCTCCGGCTCCGCGCTCAGCTGGGCTGCTGTCTTTGGCCTCCAATCTATTGTCGGGTCGCAGGCCAGCGGCTGCCTAGGCCAGTCCGATTGGACCCGTTATGCCAAGACACCCAACGCTGCGTTATTCGGGCAATTCATCTGCGCGCCAATCTTCATCGTGGTGACGTCTGTGTGCGGGATTATCATCACGAGCGCTGCGGCTACCATCTATGGGGAGTACATCTGGAACCCATTTGAGCTGCTCTTAACGGTGCAGGAGCACTCGATGACACCGGCAGCTAGGGCAGGGACGTTCTTTGCCGGTCTCGGATTCTTGGTTGACCAGCTTGCCCTGTGCCAAATGTTGAACGGCATTTCAACGGGTATGGATATGGCGGCCCTTTGTCCGAAGTGGATCAACATCCGGCGAGGATGTTACATCCTGACAGTGATTGCAATCGCGATCTGTCCTTGGAACTATGTGACCAATCCAGGGACTTTCATCACCGTGCTTAGTGGTTGGAGCGTGTTTCTCAGCCCTATGACTGGGATCGTTATCTCTGACTATTTTCTTGTTCGACGAGGTCAATACCACATCGGCGATATGTACATGGGGAACAGCCGTAGCGCGTACTGGTATGATTACGGATTTAATTGGAGGTGTTTCGTAGCTTGGATACTGGGCATGGCTCCACTACTGCGTAAGTGCGGATCTCAAGCTTTCCTTTCCCTCAGATTCACAGAGCATGACCCATTCTTCAATTGGTGAGGTACTTCATATTAACATCCCACTCAGCTGGCTTCGCACGCGCAGTACAAGGCGTCTCATCTGGTAGTGGATGGGACCATCTGTACCAAATATCGTATTTCTACGGGTTTTGTGTTGCCTTGACTATGCACTGGCTGCTTCATGCCATATTCCCAACGGCAAGGCAGCGTGGCAGCTCGCCCTTCGTGCTGGAGGCACATGCGGAGATGTTGCATACTGCGGAAAGTGACGCGGTCACAGTGGATAGCTCAGAGGAGGAGAGAAAGGTGACCACTGCACGCCGAGAACGTGACCTGGAGGGGCAAGAAACTTGAGCTTTCGATACCACGGTCTCGATTAGAGGGTTGAAGATCTAATCTAAGGTTTAGTAAGTAATGAAAGAGCCAGACATCATGTCAAGTGTGTCTAAATGGGAGCTTGAATCAATGCACGAAACATTGCGGATGGTCTGCTCCAGATGTCTGGTGCCATGGTCTTCCGAAATTGGAGGTTTGTTGCAATGATTTCGCTATGGGAGAGGCAAAAAAGTGTCTCAAAGATTCGGAACGCCGAATGAAAGCCCCCATAGACAGATAGAGGAATCAATCAAATCGAGTTGAAGCAGTGAGAGCTAACACATCCAAACGTGCCAGGTAGCGATAATCCATTTATGTTCAAAATCAACATTGCGCGCCTGTAACATCGGTGCTACGTCATTTTATGCCGAGCACACCGATCATCAGCTCACGTTTCCCACTCATTCGCGCGCGCGATGGCTTTGAGCTGCACGATGTGGATACTGACGCAAGGATTGTAAAACAGGGTGCATTCAACAAGAATCGTAAAGAACACCGACCCGAGCCCATCATGAGTCGTCCGAGCCATGAATCTCGTTGCTTATCTCGACACACCAGACAGCAGCCAATTGCACACATTGCACCAAAACAGCCCACCTGACTGAGCACATCCCGCCAGACCAGCATAAACTGCACACAACATGCATACAGGACCATATCAAAACCTCGCCGACATGGTGGTCATGCACTACCATAACTCATCCCTCAACGGCGGAGAGAGCAAAGAACACCGCCCCCGATGCCTCGTCGCGGTAGCCGGCGGGCTAGGTAGCGGCAAGTCCACGATCGCAGGGGAGGTGCGCGACCGGGTGGAGGAGCAAGGGCTCAAGTGCCAGGTGATCACAGTCGAGGGCTTCCTGAAGCCGGAGGAGCAGCTGTCGGAGGAGCAGCTCAAGCAGCGCGGGGCGATCGACACGCTGGACGGCGACGCGGTGCTGCAGATGGTGCAGGACCTGCGCGACAGCCGCACGGGCGAGGACATATGCGTGCCCGGGTTCGACGAGCACGCGCGCGAGCCCGTGCCGGCCGGCCAGGTCATCCGCGCCAGCACGCAGGTCGTCATCATCAAGGGGACGTACGTGCTGGCGGACGCGCAGCCGTGGCGGAAGATCGGCGCGCTGGTCGACGAGAGGTGGTTCATCTACGTGCAGCCTGAGGTGGCGCGCGAGCGAGGCGCGGCGCTGTATCTCGACAAGGGCATCGTGGAGTCGAAGGAGGAGGCGTTCAGGAGGTATGATGAGCTGGGTGTGTACACCAACAAATATGTCAACAGGCATTCTTGTCGCGTCGATATTGTCATTGAGAATAATGATGATACTGTACCGCTGGCGGGGTAGTCCATTTCACATTCAAATTACAAGCTTCAATTTCTGGTCATAATACTGATGGCCGCCAGGAATGTATCGTCCATGGGTGATTTACATGTGTGCTGATCAGTTGAGCAATATCGAGACCGGTGTGCCCGCGGATTGTTCAAGTGCAGCGATACAGGTTGGTGGGAAGCACTGCAGGCTTTCAATGTCAGATGTCTACCAAAAACATAAATAATTTGTCATATTATTGTAGGTACGGATATTGAACCTCGTGCAGTACCCATTTCGGTCGAATTTCTTCGGATTATTGGGAACCGCAAGATTGGTCAATCAAACAAATAGGAAATTGTGCACGATATCTAGCAGATATCCCAAGTAGTCCTTCCGCCGCGACCATGATCGAGTCCAGCCGAGAAGAGGCCCTTGGCTCAGTGATAACTCTGAAACCTCAGAGCTTCTTTAGCCTCTGCTAAGCTTCCCACCTGGTTGGCGTCAGGAGCTCAGGGGCTGGCTGTGTTGGCCCGGCAATACTGACATCCTGCATGATGATATCCGAGTCTCTTGCCGAGTCGCAGCGATGCCTGTACATGTTGGCCCTCCACTCTGTGATGAACTCATCTGATCTGTGGAAGTGGTTGACTCGCTGTTCGAAATGCTCGCTAAAGCCCTGATCGAAATTGCCTGTCAGCATCTGGATGGCATCCTGAATTTTGTCCAAAAGATCAATCATGAGATGCAGTTGAGGAAAGCCCCTGGCCGGAGTTTCTGGGTTCGCGAGCGGAAGCAACAGTGGCCGGATCTCGTGGATACCAAACCTAAGCAGTACGCAGAAGACTATCGAGAGATCTTCCGGCGTCCACACCAGCTCTATCCTCTCTTCTGCGAGATTAGGGGATGGCTGGGGAGGAGGAGATGTCCATTGCTGGCGAGATATTTCTGCAGCGGTCACAGCCAGAGCAATGTCGAGGTTTGGCATTCCGTCTAAGCAGAACAAATTTGCCATTCTCATAGCATCAATAATGTCGTCAATCGCCACAGGGTGGCGCATTGGCGGCCGAGCCTCGCAAGATGGCCAGGTGGCACAATTGAGCTTAGCCCGTATGTCGGTCACCAACACAACTCGGTACGCTGGTCCGTCCACGCAGCCGTAGACGAGGTACTCGCAGGGAATATTCGGGCCAATGTCGGGCATGTGGAAGATACGGAAGGGCCTCTCTGCGTCTGACAGAAAAACAGCCGTATCAAGGACGGCAATGGCCCCAGGGGGACTTGCCAACCGCCCGCCCCCGTTGTCGTATCTGGTCGCAAAATCTACCGCTGTCTGGAGGTTCGCAGACCAAGAGCTGAAGGGGGTCTCGAATGATGTGGTCCTCATGCCTGAGACATGGGCTTGGGCGGCCAGAGTAAACGCAGACCAGTCCATAAACTTCACATTGTGCATCGATTCGGGTCGTGTGAAATTCTCCAGGAAAGCATGAGGGGTTATTGCAGTTGCATTGTTGACCAGTTCGTTAAATTCCTCACCGCCAGACTCGTGTGTGACGCCACGGAAAAGAAATCTGGGAAGCTTCCTCCCGGCTTCTGTATCAAAGAGAAATATTGTTAGTCACTACTGTTCATCGATTGTGTCAAGCTGCTGACCTCTAAGATAAGAAAGATTATGGTTGTCCATGGCTTCAATTCGTGATTGAGAGCTGGTACTGGTATTTTGTATCGCTTTTCGTTTGATCGAGTGGAAGCAGTCGTCCAGAGAGCACTTCTTTGAGAAACTGTGAATGTTGTCCGATGAAGAAAATTCGAATATTATGATTGTCCACGATAAAGACCTCTTTCGAGTTGATGAAGATGTGCAGCCATCTATATATCGGGGACAATCGTCTGCATATACTCAACTTTTTCCAAAGCCTACTTGTCAGTTTTCCAGAGTGTGTATACCATGTAAATTGATTCATCCTGGACGTTGTCTCAATCGAAGCTGGCAAGGATGCAATAGAATGGACCTGAAAATGATCTTTGTTCGGGCTATACCAGATCATTTTCAATATATGTGACAGATAGTAATCGCTTGTCTTTCCGAATCTCAAACAATGCTTCCCAGACGAGGCCAAAGAAATACAACAGCGGTTGAACGGAAGCGATCTATCATAGCTGAGTTCTCGTACAGATCTATTCTTGAACGTCTGCCTTAGAGCTTGAACACGGTAAGAAGCAAACGGCATGTCCTCGAAAAGGTCACCGATACATTGGGCCGGTGCCGAGAATCACCACGCCTTTGTAGCGGTGAAACTCAAAACAAGTTTGACAGGGTGACCTCGATCTCATATATCTGAGTAGTCTCATGGATAGGAGTAAGTGTGGTGGTGCAGATTTGCGAGCAAGAGTTGGTTTGACGTGGGCTGTTGAGGCTGAAATACGTGAGCCTGCATTGGTGAAGCCAAGTACATTTAGTGTCTACGACACAGTGGGAATGTAGATTCGGTCATGTTCTTCGGACTAAGAGATTAAATTAGGTTCATCAACCTCGCAAACTTTTTTGCAGCTCGGCACTGTGGCGGGCGGGGCGAAATGGATCAATCTCATTGAGAGGGAGGGCACCGTCACTCGGATTGGAAGCAGCTTCACGCCTTCCAAATAGGGAACATTTCTCTCTTCAACTGCGCTGCTATTTCATACCACAAAAACGAAAAGTCTGATATGTTTGATTGCATGTCTCGGTCGAAATCTTATTCAGCTTCGTTCTTCCCGTTCAGCCGGTGACGAGTGTTCAGAGACGTGTACAAGCTCCTTTCTGCACCTTCTGTGAATCCGTTGTCAAGCGTGCCTTCCACATTTGGGCAATGGCAGGTCCAGTTTTCAAGATGCTGCCAGTACATCAGTTCCTACCCCAACTGAGAGTATGGTTGCTAGGCAGCCATCAAACCTGTGCACACTGCCTGCTAAGAATGAATGCTCGAGGTGTCTCCTAACTTCTTCGATTTTGATCATTTCTCCTCATTCATTGAACGTCTGCATATTGCAGGAAACCCTTCTTGGCTGCTTCAATTGAAATCGTCCACCATCACCTTCCCATCTCAGCATCACCAGCCGGCATGCCGTCCAGGAGCGATCGCCCGCAGATGGAGGCCTTGCTCCAAGCACTCCAGCACCAGTACGGCACCACCAACGTGCTCGAGGTCATTGCAATGCAGCAGAACCCCAACAGCGACCTCCATGCCCCAAAATGGGTCTGAGGCCACAAGCTCCTTCGTGAGAACCCCAGCAAGTGGTTCAGAGGCAACCCCATTGACGACAGAGACCTCGCTCTCATCAACGCCACACCCGTGCCCTGGATCAATATCGGCCGACAGTCTTACTTGAAGCACATGGTACGTGGCACAACCTGGACATAAATCCAAATCACACTCGTGGTGCCAAAAATCTGACTCTCAATCCAGCACCATAAGGTCAAGGGCCAGCCCTTCCAGACAGTGAGTATCCCTTCCTCTGGTCCAGAGATATCTCCACCTTTTCTCACAACATTCCATTCCAGACCAAGTGGACCGTTGAGAATGATCAGCACCTTCGTGCTATGATCTCTGAAGTCGGCGCCGGATTCATCGGCTTCGCCAAGCCTCCCACCAATTTTCCTGCGCGCGACTGGGAGTCCATGATGGGTAAGCTCCTAATCCATTTTCTTTCAGGCTTGAGGAGTAGTATTAAGTCGCGTGTAACAGTCAACATCAGCATCTCCGGCAACATCGCCCCGGGTGGTCACATGGGGTCTGCTTTCGGGACGACCTTCCAAGGTTCGCATCCTGGCAGGACCCTGTGAGACCTGCAACAAGCATCCTTGGGACATCATGATCCTCCGAGACTTCCACACGAATACCTCGCGCCTCGATGACGTTGCTTCCATCGCCTCTCGTCAGTTTGACATCCTCCTGATGAAGATATGTGAGGATTTTGATCGTAAGTCAATTCTCACTACCCTCGCTCCGCAGGAGTGCAACTGATCCACGACTTCAGAACCCTGGGTCGTCCTCGCCGTCAAGGACTCCGGCCCCTTGAAGATGGAACCTTGCAGCTCCGATGGACAGTGCAACCACAACTGTCTAGGTTTCTAAAAAGCTTCGTGAAGAGACCATGTACCGGAAGAAGGAATCAAGTAACGTTGGAGCAGTCAGGCCGGCCATTCCGCTCAAATCATTTTCTTGGCCGTCAGTCATCTCGTGGATGGTAATGAGGGGAACTAGGAATCGATGCTTTGCTTTCAATATTTTGAGCTCTTAGGGATGATCGCATCGTGTTTTGGACCAACTACTTTCGCTTAACAGTCTATTGCTCAGTTACCCAGCATAAATTCATTTGTGACTTCATGAATCAAGTTTATTTGCATCAATCCTCAGCCATAGGACCCATATTTGGCCATATTTGGGGACAGAATTTGTTCTTCAAAGTCTCATCACCATTACCACCAGAGCTGCCGTCGTCATGCAGGACTTTGGTCCCAAGAGTGGCTCGAAAGCGATCACTTACTGCGAAGAGTGGACAGTGACCGGACAATCATCCCGCTCTTAACCCATAATAGCAAGAATATTTTCGTGCAAGACTATGTCTCTCGAATTGAGTTTGAGGTGTCTTTATTTGAATCGAGTCTGCATCCGGGGCTTGCTCGCCCTTTGCCTCTGTGATTATGCAGTCCACCCCTCTAGACAACCTGGCGTCTGGATTTCATGTCGATGACATGTCGATTCAATCTCCTTGGTTCTCTCAGCTCCCTCGTGCTGGTTGTTACAACAAGGTGAATCGATCATCGAGCCGAAAGATGAGCCCGGGCCTTCCCACTTCCACCACTTTCGCTGTCCTTTCAGTATACTTCTAATTCGATCTGGGGTATCTCTTCTAGCGCTGCTTCATGTAGTCTGTATGGTCACCTGTGACCTGTTGGTAGGTGCACCTGTGCATCCTTGCACGCCGGCTGTTGTGCGTTCATTAAGGCTTTGCGGTTCATGCCCTGCAAGTCGCAGCCATTATCGCTTTGGCTATGCGTATGAGTGGTCACAAAAGCCCAAGTCTTCGCAGCCTTTCTGACAAAATATGTCGTCGACCATGTGTGTATTCTTTGGCCGAGTAAGTCGTTCATTTGCTCTGTACTTTGATGGCATAGTACATGTATCCGCCGACGCCGAAGACGATCGTGAGGACTAAGCTAGGATTAGCCAATTTGGCCAGCACAAAGAGGCATGTTCGAAAGCCAGGACTTACCAACTGCGAGAGTCTCTAGGGCTCGATGATCTACAGATCTTGCCACAAAATAGTTGAGGTGCTCGCCCAGCTCCTGGCTGATGGCGCGAGTGTCGATGGCGATGGCAGGCATTATGGATTATTCGTGTAGGATTTTAGCTGTCTTGGCATACTAGATAAAGGTGTGTAGATTGACAGCAAGGTTGTCCAGCATATGCACGATTGGCGGGAGGAAAATAAAAAAGAATGGGTTCGCCGCCGATCAAATAATAAACGAAATCCCTTATCTCCTAGGGCTGCATCTTACAGAAGGGGGTAGAGGAAGCCCGGCCGCCAGGGAGAGAAAAATCCCAGGTCGCGCCCCCGTCGGCGGCGGAACTCGACTCATGATCAGCTGACGGCCAAGCAGCCAGTGTCAGAGACTGTTTCTGACACAGGCTGCGAGCGCCCAGGAATGAAGCCATATCAACCCATTTCGGGTTTCATGGCTTATGTGTATATGTTTCAGTCGCATCCTGCCGCCCCACCGGACTGCAACGCAGGCCCGGCCTCTCGGCTGCTTACTGGACGCGGCGCACGTGCAGGCAAACAAAATTGATACGCATGTAAGCGCGGCCCGCCCATTTTGAATATGTCGTCGCTAAAGCTCGCCGGGCTGGCCCGATGTCCAATGTTGGTATCTCACGATGTTCATGGGTCTGAGGGACAGCCCGCACCCCGAGGTTGACCCCGTTTGCCCCGTGAGACTTCAGATGGGTATGGGCGGCCCCAAGGGCCCCAAGGGGGAAAAGGATGGGGCAGGGGAGGCAGACCGGGGGTAACCAGCCCTGGCATCGTGGCTTGACTTGTCAGAAATCCCGTTGCAGGCGGTGCATCAGGGCTGTTCTGGGCAGGACCTCATGAAAAGCAATGCTGAATCCAAAAAAGCAATTCCAAGGGCCTACGTATGTTGGCGCACTTTTATAAATTCCGTCCGGGCCCTTCAACTATTTATGCTGCGCTGCTCACTGGTCGAACATGCTAGCAGACGGACAATTGGCTTTTGATGCAAATCTGTGACAGTCACATCTCAAGAGATGTGCGGCTCATCAAACGTAAATCGACACTGCAGCTCGTTAATCTCGCTGGCAGTTTTGATGCACTGATGCGAACCGAACGGCGGGAAAAAATTATCTAAAGGCTGCGGGCCGTGACATCGAAGCAACCCCACCACTTCCTTGGGCTCCTACCTCAAAAATGTGCAAGGTTACTTTTGTGGCACTAGGCATTCTTGACTGACCTTTTCAGTATAGATTGGAACTCCGTACCGATGAACATTGATCATGAGACCGATGCTGGCAGAAACGTAGTGTGGGATCCCGCTTCTTGTCGTACATGCCTACCACTAGAAGAGGCAGAGCCAAGTCCTATTCACGCCAACCGAGAACCCGCAGACATTTTCATACAGCTTGGTAAACTGCAAAGTTGGCGCCTCATTGCAAGTGCAAAGTGATGCCAGAAGCTCGGCTTGTTTCATTATGGCCATGAGATAGGGGCGATGTTGCCAACCGCCCTGGGGTGGTCTTGGAGTCTTGGTAGTCTCTTGTCCTACCAGCTTGGCGTGCAGACCATTCCCATCATCATAATTGTGGATCAAAATCCACGACCGTCCTTATGTCGCTCCATTGTCATGGAGCTTGTCAAAGCATACAGTCTCCAAAGATGGTGGCGTGTTTTAGTATCTTGCAAATATTTTACCTGGTAGGCATCCATGGGTGAGCATGCATGTATGTTCAACTTCAGAGGAAATGGGGAAACATCCCCCAATGGGAGCTTGTTCAACTCATTTGGGGCTGTGCCTTTTGTTACACGGCATAGCCCCTGGTGACGGATTACGTGATAGGGCTGCAGGTTGTGGCGGGGATTCACTGCAGTATGACGCGGGGCTCAAGTCTTGATTAGATTACCAAGCACTCAGCTAGCTGAAGCTGACGAGACGCAGCTGAGCGTGTAGGCAGAGAGCCTGTCAGTCTTGTTGTGTGTACTGGAGAGCATCAGCAAGCCAGTCCCAAATACGCGTGCTCAGAGAGTGTTTCTTTCTCAAGACCTTCGTGCTAGAACAGGCGCAGTCTGGCCCTGATCATGGATCCAGTCACTGCAATTGGGCTAGCATCGGCGATACTCACCTTCGTTGAGTTCTCCTGGAGCCTTGTGCGAGGAGCTGGTGATGTCTACAGGTCACCAACCGGTGCTAGCCAAGAGAACACATCGATTGGCACCATCATTGCTGACCTGGAGGACGTCGCAGACAACATCAACACCGACATACAGGGGCGAGGAAAGCACGAGAACGCCCTCACAGCTCTGGCCAAGGGATGCGAGGATCTATCAAAGGAGTTGCTTCAGGTCCTAGAGAAGCTAAAGAAGAGAAGCGACTCCAAACGGGAGGCATTGAAGGCGACCCTAAGAAGCATGAGGAAGGAGAAGGAAGTTGCTTCCATCGAGAAAAGACTTGGTGAATATCGCGCTGAAATTGTGTTGCGTCTGAATTTAGTGCTTTGGTGAGTTCAACATGGTCACTGCCACTATTTCGAAAACAAATTTACTCACGATAATCAATTAGCAACCAGCAATCTGCTATCAAAGAACAACTAGATGGGATACAATACGACAGCAGAAATTTCGCCAGTGAAACAATTAGGGCGATAGGAGATCTGCGATCAATGGTATCTGATACCATGGATCAGCTCAAATACGAGCACGGGAACCCATTGGTGGATCCAATGCTGTGGGAGGCGAAGATTGTCCAGTTGGGACAGGTCCTGCGCGAGTCTCTGCTGGCACTCAATACCAAACTACTAGCACTGCCCAAGGAGACGATAGTCCTCCGCAGGCTTTTCTTCGACACCATGTTCCGACGAGAAGACGACATCTCTGGCCCAGGATACGGGACTTTCGAGTGGGTCCTCGAAGATATTAGACTTGTGAAAGGAAGTCACATTCAACGGCTCAGTTCCAGCTATAGAAGCAAGCGCGATGAGCACCGTTTTGTGGTCGGGAAATCTAGCAGTGCATTCAAATACTATGGAAATACAGATGGCTGGGATTCAAACAGCGAGTTCGACATGTTCGATACCAACGGGACCAATAGTTCCCGAAAAGGAGAGAGTGAAGTCGGCTCCGACAGCAGGGTGAGCAATGACGGAGGTTCGAGCGACGAGCAACATCAAGTCAATAAGGATGATCAAAACAACAAAGACGACGAAAACACGATTGTCTTCGGGCAGACAGATGGACAACAGTTCGTAAAGTTTGTCGCATCCGAATCCGGCACAAATTCCGACCATAGCAGCGGAGATGAGTGGAGATATAGCGATCCCGAAGTTAAAAGGGAAAAAGATGACAGCGTTGGAACCCGAGAAAGCTATTCTTCAGATGAAGGTAGCTACTGTTCGTCAGACTCGGAGACGCATGGGGAAGAAGTGTCCAGCACCAGGAACAGAGGAAAACTGGATACTACCACGGAATCCACGAAGGATACGCCACCATTTGAAGTCCACGGAAATGAATCACCGTCAGCGCAGAGCCTCTCGAGTGGTTGGGCACCTCCACCTCATTCCGAGCATATCGCTTCTGGATCCACGAAGGATACCCCGACGATCAGACTGCACGGTGTTTATTACAGGAGCGGCCCGTCCATCTCGAAGATCCACGGCAGTGAACCATTGTCATGGTACAGTGGTTGGGCACCCCATCTCGAACATATCATGTCAGTCTCCGAGCGTGCGAAAAGACGACAAATATCCACGGCATTTGCATCATTCCTGAGGAAGTCCCAAGGAGTTTTCTTTTGTTGCGGCAAGGCAGGTTCAGGGAAGTCGACCTTCATGAAGTACATTTCTAGTCACCAAGAGATTCGCAGACAGCTGGAAAGCTGGTCAGGAGACAAAAGGCTGGTCATAATCAGTGTATTCTTCTGGAACTCGGGTGATGAACTTCAGATGTCCATGGAAGGCTTCTATCGATCTCTTTTGTTCCAAGTGGTGCAACAATGTCCAGAAGTACTACCAGCAATCTTTCCAGATCATAGTTTGCAAACGGATGACATTCATGAGGGCATTCGTGGACGATCACTTCCCTTCCGCTTCTCTGAGCTCCAGGATGCTATCCGGAGGCTTCTAGAGACGTCTGAAATTCCAAGCCACAGACTTTGCTTCTTCATCGACGGACTGGACGAGTACAAAGGAGACAGAAAGGAACACTTTTCACTGGCTCAATTGCTCAAAAACTGGGCAACGAAGGATGTCAAGATTATATGTTCTGCAAGACCGTATATCGAGTTCCTGGACACCTTCACTGACTCAGGCCGAACAATACAGCTGCACGAGTGGACCAAGGACGACATATATCGTTATGTCTTGTCGGAGTTACACACAGGTCTCGGCTCTGACAAGATGCCATCAGAAGCCATCACGAGACTTGTTGAACTTGTCTCTCGGAAAGCAGACGGCGTTTTCATATGGGCTCGACTTGTGGTGCAATCTCTCTTGGAAGGCATCGCTCACCGTGACTCAGTAAGAGCGTTGCACGGCAGGGTAGATCAAGCTCCCAGAGATCTTAACTCTCTGTACGAAAGAAGTCTTAGCAGCATCGACTCAACAATCCGCGAACGCGCGGATGATGCTCTCTCTCTTGTTGCTCGAAGCCCATTTGGCACACTCAACGCTTTGGCCTTCAGTTGGCTGGATGACCTGGAGGATGAAGACTTTCCGTTGAATCGTCCATTCCAGATATACACCAGAGAAGAGGCGGAAGACCGCGAGGAAACTGCAAAACGGCAAGTTGCCCTTTTGACAAAGGGCCTCGTGGAGATGCGTCGTGTCAAATATCCTGAGAACACTATCAGACTATCGCCTGAGCCACTGTTCAGGTACAAGCTCGACTACTATCACCTGACTGCTCATGAATTTTTGATGAATAGAGTGGCATCTGACCATGAAAGTATCTCTGAGACGCTCAGAGATCGATACGCGCGGCTGACTTTGGCGGAGATCAAGTTTTCTGGATTTCTGAGGAGTCGTTCATCCCAGTTTCGGACAATTTATGCAGCGGGCCAGCACAAGTTCCACGACGTTCCGGACAAGTATTTAGACGAACTCAGAGCGTGCTATCCGACTCGAGGCACATCTCAGAATGATTCACGGTGGGACACTCATGTTGGATTCTATGATGCACAATCACAAGGAAGTTTTCAGATCGGTCTTTGGGGGCGGGGAACCCCTTGGCGACCGGGCAACTCGATATGCCATTTAGTCTGGAAAGGCTCAGATCCAAATTTGATCATTTGCTACGCATTGTCGCTCCACCAAGCCGGCTACGTTTTGAGGAGACTGCAAAATGGCGTTGCTGACAAGCTCACTGAGGAAGAGCTAGCCGTTTGGCTTTTCGCAACCTGGACAATTTTCCCGGACCCCGCCATAACAGAATATGTCTTGTCTCATCGTGGGCTGCCAGAGCGACCCGTTGAGATTAGGAACTTTTTCGAAGGGAAGAATACGGACATATCTTGCTGGTTCGGGTTCCTCATGTCCTTCTCGCGCACCGTACTGACTCAGACAACCGTACATGGGATCAGACTGGGAATGGCAGAGAAGATTCAATCGTCGAATGGGTCCCGCGCTTGGGAAGAATATTGCGAGGGAACAGAGTGGCGCATGTGGATAGAGATGCAATGCCGCAATTTGGAGCATCTTTTGAAGCATGGCGTGGACAAAGATGTGATTTTCCTCCTCGGGGGCATGCCTGTCGATCAGGCTTTGCAACCAGATGAGCAAAGACACTCATGGGATGTTTGGGCGCATCAATGGGATGAGTGGATGCTGGACCAAGGGACCATATTCTATGTGGACCTTTTGACCATGCTTGACTTGATTCAACCACCACCCGCGAACTTGAACACGCTCCAAGGGCTTCTCAGGGCGTCTCCCGCAAGCTGTCTGCAAAGCACGTGCAGCAGCTTTGTAAGCCGTATGCGGGGTTATTTCTGCGAAAGGCCTCGTCACTCACTGCGCAGGGACACTTACAAGGCTCTGAAAGCGGAGGACTTGAAGAGAGGACAATTAAGAATCTACGCTATCGAATCGAAGAATGAGGTGCTCAGTGGCCCAATGACAATACTCGTTTACTAGCGAGTTGACGTTGGTATGACTCTCGAATCAGGAAGCCAAAAATCCTTGAGTGGACCTTTGCTGACGAGCTTTCGCCGTTCTGACAGGCAAGACCAAGCTTCTTAAGCTAGGTCCTGACTGGTTCTTGTAGAGCAAGGATGAGTACTGGTAGTTATGCTGAGGGGCCATCCCAAGAAGTATCACGAAACACTGTCTCTTTGAACAATTGCAGATGGCTTCATGATCTTGTAAGCCCGCCTGTCATTTGTAGAGGACAATCCGAATGACAACATATAATCCCGTCGACTTCGAGATACCGGGAAGGCTCGTCTGATTCCTTGCTGTGGAGCTCACCTGCGACCATTGTATCTAATGCACACGAAGTCATCCAGTACATAATGGCCTCATGATACATAGACTTCTTACAATTCGAGGCTCTTGCTACGTAGACAAGGTTCCCCAGAGACCTCGATTGAGTATCTAGGCTCCTGGTAATCTTCTTGGTGAAACATTTCTGTTGATTCTTCACATCAGGCATCCAGTCGGTGAAATGCTCTCTTAGGACAAATCACCAACCAGAACTCGAATTGAATTGGATCCGCACGGAGACATGAAACGACAATGAAGCCAGAAAAACGACACGTTGATAAGCGACCTGGACTGGCGGCGCCCGAGCCGGACAATAGCCGCGATGCGTTCGGTACGGAAATGGACACCACTGCGTTCTGAACTGGTGCAGAAGGGCGATCTGACGTCTGTAAACCCGTTGTAAAATGACGTGGAAGGCTATTAATATGCTGCCTGAACACGGAGGACGTGCTAGATTTGGATAGGTCAGAAACGCTGCTAATGCATTTTCGTCTCTATGTTTGATGGTGCACTGGCCCTGAATTCGATTGATTCTTCCATCTCATTACAGCGACGCAAAGACGGATAGTGGGCGGAGGATGTAAAGCCATTGAAAATGCTTCATGCCACACGAGTTGCTATGACGCAGGATGCCAGATGAACAACCGTTCCAGTAGATTTTGGATGGATGTTACCTTGACTATAGCTGAGCCTGGAGGCCTTACTTTGAGCCGGCATTGCCGAACTCGACAGGATCCGTGTGACAGGAATAACCAGAAGTCTGGTTGGACGAGGCGCAGACCTGATGCACACACTTTTGGTGGAGCGACTACTCTTCCTTTTGGATGGGAGTATGCTGATCTTAAGCTCTGATATGAACAATGCCGAGGACAAAGATCGTCGCCTTGCGAACTAATCTGTTGCCGGTTTCGAAGTTTCAGCGGCCAAGGCTCAAGGCAGACTGGACGACTATCATGTGCTTCTCAACTACGAAGGCATTCCGAGGCAATGCAACTAGGGCAATCTACGACGCCCAATGGGTGATGAAGTAGTGCACCTCACCGCATCCCAAGGTTTGGCAAGAGATTTTGTACGGACGATCGCGTCTGAGAGCGAGTAGCTTGAGACGAACGATGGTTGCAGTCGCTCCTTATCAACTCGGGCGCGAGATGGAAAACCGGCACCAAAAATCGCAGGCCTCCACTGTTTTTCCACGTGAGTGGCCGTCCCACTCGAAGCCGTGATCAGACGTCAGATGCTGTTGTCGTGTTTCAGATTCAGCCCAGCCCCTGGATCAGGGTTTCGGGACGGCCAAGAGCCGCACTTTATTGGCCCCTTGGCAGATTCCCGACGACGCCTCCACTAGTATGATCCACGCCATCCGGGCTTTTGATACTGACCCCGAGGTGTCAAAACAAGCTTGAATTCTTGGCCCTTTTCTGGCTGCCCTTCTGAGAGACGACGACATCTGCCTTAGGGCTGGCTGCTGGGACGGGGCCTCCAATGTGCCGGTGCTCTCCTTTCCTGCAGAACGAGGTCCCCCACATCCTTTCCGAACGCGGGATTGTGAAGCCAATCGTGTCTCCGATGTGTCCACCCCCATATGCCGTGCAAGTGGGCTGGGCTACGTGGTGGTGCACCAGAGGACTGCAAGGTTAGAGCTTACCTTGAGTCGACGCTGCCCCTGACGATCAGCCTCACACACACAACGGTCTAAATCCGGGGCGGAACACTTCTCCTGCCAAGTTCTGACGTGACTGTGGGCATGGAGAACGGTACAAGGCCACACTGTTGGCATGGCGGTGGCGGGACTTCGGCACTTGTACTGTGTATTTTGGGATTTCCACAGACATCATAGCAAGGTTGGTGTATCAGAATGAGCAGTGAAGAACCCCAGCCGCAATGCACGTTCCTGGAGCTAACTATGTCCAGCCACGGTCGTTCCACACTGTCGTCTATCAACCCAGAGGAGCAGTGAGCAGGGGTCTTGATCGACAGCTAAGAATATCAGGCTCTTTAACATGACACTAGGCGCCCGTCTTCTTGTACAAACCCAAAGTCATTTAATTTATATCTCGACTTCTTTCGATCTTCACTTCTCTACACCCCTCCCTGTGCAGCTGGTCTGTTTTCCCCTTATCTGTTTTAAAACATCTATACACAACAGTCTCCTGGCGAGTACCTAATCGACATCATGTCTGAGAATCAGAATGGAGGGCTTGTGGGTGGGCTGGTGAACGGGGTCGGTGGTCTCTTGGGGGGTGGCCAAAATGCGCGGCCACCACCACCACCACCAGACTCGGCTGACAACAACAACAACAACCAAGGAGATTCAGCCACAAACAACGCTTCAGAACCAGACAAGAATGACGGTCAGGGTCAGGGGAAAAATGGAAATGATGGTGACGGAAAGCAGAATGGCCAAGGAGGCAACAACGGCGGAAATGGAGCAGTCTCGTCGTCATCTTCGGCTTCAGCATCACCGTCGCCAACCTCGTCAACGCCTACTTCCGACGTCGCTCAGACGACGGCACCTGCAAAGAGCGATGCCGGCGGAAACCAGCAGCAATCTACTGCCCTTCCATCGACATCAGCGGCAGCAGTTAACACACCTACGGTCCCAGTGGTCCTCACCCCTACGCCTCCGGCATCTACCCCGTTGCTTGAGTCCATCTCATCCCTGATCTCGTCCACCGGCACCGCATCACTGCCGCCTGCCGCTGTGCCTACCCAACTCTCTTCATCAGCGATCCCGATAGTATCATCATCATCTGCGGCACTCAACCCCGAGACGCCGCTGCCAACCACGCTGATATCATCAACGTTGAGTAGCACGCCCTCAGCGAGCGATGCAGCGTCTACGCCCGTAGCCTCGGCAGCCAGCCTTCAGCAGGAGAGCAATGACGGCGCCATCCAGAAGAGTTCCGGCCAATCCAATGTCAAGACAACCGCCATCGCTGTCGCCGCGCCTGTGGGTGGAGTGATGGTGCTTGGCATCCTGTTCGTCATATTCAAGAAGAACAGAGGTTGCTTCCGGCGCAAGAAGGAGATCAACGGGAGTATACTGGACGATGAGGAGATTTCAAGTTGGAGGACTGTGCAGCACCATGACAAGTTTGATCCAGCAAGGAACTACTAGGGTCAACAGCCCTATTTTGCATGGTACAAACATCATCGGCACACCACGAGGTTATGTTTGCGAAGAGCAACTGTAAGAATCAGGGATGTGTGCACAAGGATAGAAACGGGGCATTAGTCAGTCGCCGACCAAAGGAGCAACTTAGATTGCACGCAATCATTATACATACACAAACACCTACGAGGATAATGATAGTTCATAGTCATGCATGCTACTCTGGGTGTCCTGCCTCGGCGTCCCCGGTGTCCGTGGACAGACCTTCCAGATGCCCGTCTTGTTTCTTCACCATGACCGCCTTCCTTAATGCTGCCCTCGGCGGCCATTTGGCCTCGAATACTGCGTCCAGCTCTTCGAGGGTGCGGCCGCGCGTCTCGACGCCGAATAGGAACCACACGAGACTGTAGATGAGGTTTAGCCCGACGAAGACTAGATAGTAGTGCCAATCGATCGCTTCGAGGGCCACGGCGGTGACGTAGGTGTTGTAGAGGTTCGCACAGTTGGACAGGATGACGTGCTGTGGGTTGTTAGATATCATTCACAGAATACATCACACTTTGTGCAGAGGCTCGGAAAAGCCAGAAGTAACTCACGATGCCCATTCCCTTTGCTCTCATAGGACTGTTCAACACCTCGGCGCAATACGTGGCAGTCAACGGTGTGTACACAAATGAGTATACACAGCCAAACAAGAATATGAACGCCACTCCACCATTGCTGAGCGCAGGTCCGGGATTTGCCTTATTCTCAAAGTGGCTTGAGAACCCAGTTACACCGGCGAAAAGGCCCGCCAGCACGATGCTGCCCACCCAGAGCTTGGTCCGCCTGCCGATGGCGTCGTTCGTCGCGGAGCCGGCAACGGCGCCCGCGCAGGACACAATCGAGTTCATAAAGGTCAATAGAAGTCGCCGCTCGGTGGAGGTAATCCCAAGGAGCGAATACATGGACGGCAGGTAATATGTCAGCACCGAGTTCCCCGAGAGCTGCGCGAACACGGACATGAAGCTCATCATCAGGAACCGCCAGCGGGCGTTGTGGGTGTTGACGAGAGGCCAGAAGTTGAAGATGCTGGAGGACTTCTGCCGCTCGATGCCCTGCTCGAACTCCTGCAGCTCGAGCTTGACCATCGGATGCTCTGGGTCGCCGCCGCCGTGGTATTTGGCTAGAATCTGAGCTGCCTTTTCTCGCTTCCCCCACATGGTCAGCCAACGGGGCGATTCCGGGATGAGGAAGCATCCTGTGATGATGAAGAATGGTGGGACGAGCTGCAATGCCAGTGGGAGGCGGAAGGCCTTCTCCCCTTCGGCTTTATTGCAGGCATATGCGACGCCTGTTGCGAGTATGGAACCGGTGTAGAAGACTCGAGGGCGTCAGCGCGCTGCATCACATCTGAAATACACTTCACTCACAGGTGTTATAATAGCCGACGACTCTGGCCCGCCATTGTGGGGGCGCAAGTTCAAGAGCGTAAGTCGGAGCTGCGCTCGTGCCGATAGAGACACCAAAGCCCAGGACAAAGCGACCGCCCAGTAGGTAGCCATCGTTTCTGGCTGCCGTTTGCACCGCTGCTCCGACCATGATGAGAAGCGAACCGACGCCCATGCCTGCTCGTCTGCCAAACCAGTCGCATATGGGGCCGGTGAACAAAGAGCCAACCATATTTCCGATAGTATAGATCATGAAGATGCTGCGACCATTGTTAGAAGGCAAGTTTCTGGGCTCGATATCTCCCCCCGGCCAGACTTGGTCGCCATACGCACATTCCTGTGCTCGATCCGAGCTCCGTGTGATGGAAGTATGTCTGATATTGCTTCATGGCGTTGATGGAGCTGAAGATTGACTAGACTGTTTGTCAGCCAGAAGTTGAACACAAGAGGACGGAAACATCTTACACCATCGAAGCCTGACGTCGTCGCATTGAGCGCGGCAACAAGGAGTATCAGGTAGAGTTGGATGCTGGTCTTGGACGACGGGCTCAGTGGAGCCGCGGTGACGGTCTCGTAGAATTGGGAGTCGCCCTGCACTTCTTTGATCTTGCCCGCCGCAGTCTTGATGTCCTCGACGTCGTCGTGCTGGTGAGTCGTGGCTTGCGCCATCTCTATGCCTTGGGAATCCTTCGCTTCGGCCATGATTCCTGCCGCTCCTCGAAGACTTATGAAGGGATTGTAGTTTAAAGAATGCCAACCATCATATATGTATGGGGGTAAGAGGATACGGCAAAGGTACAACGTAGATATACAGCAGAACTGATAAGCTGAATACCCCAGGTGACGCCAAGGCGTGAAATCGCATTCACTCGATATTCGTTTGCTCAAACCCCAACTCTACACAAACCAGGACAGTTCGAGGCAAGTTGCACCGACTGTGTGACTGGTTGGGGTCAAGTGTAAACAGACTTGAATGCACCAGACAACATCCTCATTAGCTCGAATAACGGCGGCTGTTGTCGCTGCCCCTCGTGATGGAAATAGCTCGACCGCCAGCCGATTTTCATGGTAAGATTGGCTGGCTGAGAAGCCATCGCATTCCCCTCCTTACTCCGCACTCCTTCGATAAGCAGGCTTGTCTCGTGACGGTGAAGATCAGCTCTGTACCGACTGACGGGCAGAGCTTATCATGCTTTGACAATCTGCATGGAACGTTCCCTTCTCGGCCCGAGCAGCTTAGGCACCGAAGGGCAAACCACAGGAGGATGCCCGTCCTTGGAGAGAAACGGGGAGCTCGGGTAATCGACAGATGAGAACCCGTATCCGGCGATGCTCGGCTCCTTTTAGGTCCTAAGCACGGCAGCCGGCTCGGGTTCCGTTTTGACCAAGAGCCGACTCACACAATGTGCAACCCTGCCCGCTGCCGTCCGACGACTCACGAGAAACGCGTGGCACAAGAACACAAGTTTAGTCGGCAGAGCTCCACTCATACACAAGCGCAGCCAGATAGATATGACCTGACTTCAGTAGGCTGATTAGGTTGACGACAAGTGAGAGAAGGACGAGATCGGGCCCGCTTTGGGCATACAACGGATGCTCTACCAATCACCAGTAAAATCGCAGCATCACGTAAGAAGCCATCACTATGAGGTACAAGCCGGCCGACTAGTATTGAAAAGGCGTGGTGGCGCGCCGGTGGGTGCCCGGCACGGGTGCGACTGATTCATGTTTCAACGCTCCGATCAGCGGCCGGTATCTCGGCCGTCTTGTCATCGTCCTGGCCCGGTTCTCAACACACCTCGGGCACCTATTTACTTGACAGAAACTTCCCAGCTCCATTTAATTTGCCAAATTTTGTTTCGTATCTGAAAGAAATTCCCTTTCAAATTCAAACATGGGTAGCTCGAGTCCTGACTGGCAGCTTCGGTTAGAACAAGACGGCTTCGTCGTTCTTCCTAACAGGATATCCGCCGAAGACTGCGCCGAGTTCCGTGAGGAGGCCCTCAGCTGGCTGGAAAAGTTTCCCCATGGCTTTAAGCGAAATGACCGGTCGACATGGACTTCAGAACACTTACCTTACAGCGTAACGTCAGTTAGCCCTTCTATCGCACACTGAAACCAACTTTTGAATTGATGATTGACGATACTGTTCAGGGGCGGATTGTATAACCGATATTCAATAGGCCATGAGGCGTTCGTATGGAAGATCAGATCGTGAGTTTGCATAGAAGCTCCTCTTTGGATGGTGGCTGACGTATTCGGTTGAAGTCAACCCAAGATAGTTGAGGCCTTCGCCCAGCTTTGGGGAACCGACGACCTCATCGCCAGTTTCGATGGGATAAACATCACATTGCCCATCAATGAGGAAACCGGCAGGACAGACCTCAAGCCAACAGGAGCCTGGCCACGTGAGCGCGCCTATGAGCATCCGAACCACCATCTCAGGTGTAGACACTGACAGCCATGCAAAAAAGACATGGACCAAAACCCACGAAAATACGACCATTTCGAACTATACCAAGGCATCGCCAACTTGGCCCCCAACGGGCCGGAAGACGGCGGCCTCTGCGTTCTCAAGGGCTCGCACCTGCTCCACGAGAACCACTTCGCTGCTATCGGCGGGTACCGGCCGGAGCAGGACGTGGGTGAAAAGGAAAACGGCTACAACTTCAGGCCCGACGACGCGGACTGGTACAAGGCACGGGGCTGCGAGGAAGTCAAGGTCTGCGCCGGCGAGGGCGACCTCATCCTGTGGGACTCGCGGCTCATCCACTGGAACGCCAGCCCCGTCGGCCGCTAGGTCCGCTTCGCCACCTATGTGTGCTACTGCCCGCGGTCGCTCATGCCCCAGTCGGAGCTGGCGCGCAAGCTGGAAATATTCAAGGCGCGGAAAAGCACTACCCACTGGCCGGTAAGCATACTCCGTTCAATCTTTGAGGCGTGAGTCGCTAGCGAATTTCTGCTGACTCGGTCTTGATCAGCAACAAAACGTGGTCCCCGTTGATCGCAAGGATAGCAACGCAGTCCCTCGCCGGCCGGATGGTACACCGGATCCGGCAAATCGGACGCGTCCGTTCCTGGAGCCGGAGGAAACACCGGCGGTTCTGAGGCTTGTCGGTGTGAGAGGCTGATGGCGCCCTCGGGTTTACGGCGTGTACATGAGTAAGGGAATCGTGATCAACTAGATTGTTAGATGATACAAGGGTAGAATAGAGAGACTGGCACCGGCATTGTCACATCGGCTCACGTCTTCAAGGCGCATAGACGAGGCTCTAGCAGTGTCTCGCTCAAGCTGTGTCCCGTCGTACCAGCTTCGTTGTAGGTAGTAAGTGCCGGTCTAGTCTGGAAAATCCAGGACCTGAATCACGACTCTACGATCACGGCAGCTGCCTGGGCCATGGATGTCTGGCATGTAAGCCCTAATTCTTCATCAACGATGAGACATGTCATCTGTCGATCGGCAAATCTGCCCTTCTGCATGGCGTTCGGATGAACCAGTTCATTAGTGCCACGACGAGATGGAGTGCAGTAGGGTCAGGCGGTGACTTGGTTCGGTCTTGGAAGGTTGCACACGCGCTTGGACGATTTCTTCGGTAGCGCCTCGTTTCCCCAGATTGTGGCACGAAACGGTGTGCGGGAATTACCAGCCATATTTCTTGTCTTATGCCGGCAGAGGCAGCGCCACGCCTCGGGATGCTCGGCAGGAACTAGCTCTAGGTCTTGGGGCCCAAAGAAAAGCTTGCGGGGCTGGGTGGGTGCATGCTTAGCAGACTTGTTTAATCAGACGACCTCACCTTGACAGTCAAAAGACGAAGCTCGAATCTCTAATGAGGGTGAAGGACCTCCTGAAAAAGGTAGAGGCGGCCATCCATGATAATAATGTGCTGTGGTATCTCGGCACGGACAGCTGCACGGATATTAGAGTTCAAAGGGGCTTAAATATAGAAAACGTGCAGGAGGCTGGATGCAGGAAAATCTTGGGTGGACCTCCGTTTGGGGAGTAGATGCATGATGCCCATGCCAGTATTGCTTGGAGACCGTCCATTTGACCTGGTCTTGAGAGCAGATCGATATTGGTTTTAATCTCGGATATCTTGTCCGCATAGTCACGAGAGGTCTTGGAACGCGAGTTCTGTACTCAACATGAGGTTCTGCATGCTCCATTAAACCTGATCGAAATCCTGCCCAGGCGGCAAACTCCACCAAGCACCCGCGAGGCGCGTTTTCTGGAGCCTGGACTTACGACTCTCTGCCATGGTTTGCGCGTCAGGGTCCCTTTAATTTCAGGTGGTTCCAGGACACACGAAGCGAAAACATCACTACGGCACCCCGCACCACTACAGAGGACCGCGCCAGATGAATTGGCCTCTAATGGTGCGGAACGTTGCAATGCAGGAGCACATCATTTCTTGGCAGCAGTCTGAACACAGGACCCTACGAGGATGACTGCATAAGCCGGCCATTAAATTGACATCATTGACGCGCTTTGTTTCTCACCAGCATTAAAACTTGTGGGCTTGTCCCGCATGGCTTGCCGGCTCGCCTCGCTGCCAATATTCCGAAGGCTATCCACTCTTCAAATGTCTCCACAGACTAAGACATTGTCTGAGTAATTCAGTCCGATGGGAGATGAGATGAGTTTCCCATACTACCACTCAAGCTCGGCCAAGGTGACGGCTGCAGGGATTTCCCGCATTTATATGGGCCTTCTATAGCTCGCTTCCCTTGGCATCTGGGTCAGGCCCAGTATTCATCCGTGCTATACGCTGGGGCTACCCCAGATATTCTCGGGAAGCCGGTGGGGGCGAGGATGGGGTTTGTAGCCGATGAGATGCACTTGTGTGGCTGGTCAGACCCAGGATGATTTGGAGATTGCTCTACCGGATCTCAAGGTGCTTTGCTTTCCCCTAGCAGAAAGGCTGATGTTATACGGGCTAGAATCCTAAGAAGAAGGCTCTTTCTTGTTTTTGAAACTCTGATTTCTCGGTTATGCATATGCAAGGAGACCAATGGCCATCATTCGACTCGTGGCGCAGACCTGCCTCGCCAAGGGCGTTCATCGGATCGGTCGTTTCCTCCGCAACAATGTCGTACGCACACGAGGTGATCGTCATCTACTTATCCACATCACCAGATGCAGCGTCGCTGCAGGTAATCACTAGACCAAGAACTTCTTGTCTGCCTGTCCATCGTGCCTGGAAGGATCCTGCCCTGCTGACATGTCCAAATGTCTCGAGCAAATGTGTTTTGATGCCTGATTGGAGCCCTCATTAAATTGTCCACTTGGCCCTGCTGCTGTTGTCTGCAAGTACCGGTATTCCTAGTCCTCCCCCATACCGAATCCGGAAAACAGTAACGCTCATCTTGGAACCAGCAGCAACGCGGCGGCGAGCGTACCACTCCTGTTACTCCAACACGCGACAGCTTCCAGCTCGTGCGAAGCTCGCTCTCCTCATGCAGGCCGTGCGCATATGGGCTAACAAGGAGGAGCCATTTTAGAGCCTACAGCTGTTTCTCCAGCGCTGATTTGCCGCCTGCCTCCAGCTCGTCCAGAGTCGCAAGCGTCATGCCAGCGTGATGCTGTCTGACCATGCGGCATTGTAGCCAAGGGCGACACAACCTTTCTGCCTTTCTGGGCGCAATCTACCAGCAAAGCTTCTCACTGTCACGATGATCCCGGCCAAGCTCCCAAGCTCCCAAGCTCCCCTGGTTCCTGCACGCGGGGCGCATCCTGGTAGTCAGGCGCAGCGGTCAGACTACCAGAGTGGCCCAGCCAGCCCAGCCCAGCCCCTCCTCCAAGCTCGTCGTCCCGACCCCAACCGCACATGCTGGTTGCAGATGGAGATTTCAACGTGCATCCCCAATGTAAACACACTTTTCGGCACCAGGGGCCGGGGCCGGCGAACGCTCCCTCACGGCTGTGTGCCCGCCACTATGGCTCGGCACGAAATATAGTCCACATATAAGTGCCCGGCAGACCCGCCCCCTTCTCGAGCTTGTCTAGATGGCCCCAGGCTCCTCGTGCTCTTTGTCTGCGTGCTCGCACTGTTGCTGCCCCTCCCCTCTTTCCTAGACGTGGTTGTTGAGTGTATAGTCGCGAAGGCAGCTCTAAGAACGACATTGATAGGCCCTTGACCTTCGTTTTGCCTTGGAAAGCACCAGGTCCACGCAGACCCTGCCCCTCCCACGTGAAGATGCGTTCCCGAGCCCTCCACCTCCTCTGGCCATTGGCCGTGGCCGCACAGAGCGCTCCCTTCGCCAACAGCAGCTGCGTCGGCTCGCCGTCCACGCCCGTGCCATACGAGCTCCAGGTGCCGCCGCTCGACACGCCCTGGACCGACCAGGTCGGGCTCGACCCATGGCCGGAGCACCCGCGGCCGCAACTGAAGCGCGAAAACTGGCAGTCCCTGAACGGCATTTGGACGTACCAGGGGGCCGGAAACGCCAGCAACGTGACCGATGTGCCGTGCGCGCCGCTCCAGTATGAGACGCTCATTCCGAGCTGCATCGAGAGTGCCATCTCGGGCTTGCAGGTGCTCGACACGTCTGCCATGTGGTTCGCGACGACGTTCCAGGTCCCGTCCGGCTGGGGCAGCCAGAGCGTGCTGCTTAACTTCGAGGCGGTCGACTATGAGTCGACTGTGTACGTCAATGGCCAGCAAGTGAGCTTCCACCGTGGTGGATACTTCAGGAACACCATTGATGTGACGTCGTATCTGAGCTCCAACGGGACCAATGAGCTGTAAGTGCCTCGTGAGGGACTCTCGCTAATCTTGGAGGGCAACCCTCCGTGTGTCACGAGGAAGACCGAGCCGCTGACCCTTGTGGAACTTCACAGGAAAGTATTCGTCTTCGACCCCACAGACCTGGATGGCTATGTCATTCCCATCGGCAAGCAGACCAAGAACCCGGAGCACATCTTCTACAGGCCCTGCAGCGGCATCTGGCAGACAGTGTGGCTCGAGAGTGCCCCAACGAACCGCATCACCCAGCTGGACGTCAAGGCCGCAGCGGACGGGTCCACCACCGTTAACGTGCACGCCTCGGGCAACAGCACGGGCCTGCCGGTAGAGGTCACGGTACTGGACCAGGATGGCAGCGTCCTGGGGACAGGAAGCGGAACCAGCGGCGCTGCGTTCGACTTCAACGTCCCGGGTGTCGATCCGTGGAGCCCTGATTCGCCGACCCTGTACAACCTGACGGTCACCATGGGCGACGACACAGTGTCGAGCTACACGGGTTTCCGCACGGTTGGCCGTGGTATCGTCGATGGTATAGAAAGGCCGCTGCTGAACGGCGAGTTCACCTTCGTGTGGGGGACGCTGGACCAGGGTTTCTGGCCCGACGGGCTTCATTTGGCGCCCAACTATGAAGCTCTGATATTCGACCTGAAGGAGCTGAAGAAGCTAGGCTTCAACGCGGTCCGCAAGCACGTGAGTACCCTACGAATGCTGTGAGCTTGGTGGTTGAAAAGAAATGTTGCTAACGATATACAACTCATCAGATCAAAGTGGAGCCCGATTTGTTTTACTATGCCACCGACTCTCTTGGTCTCATGGTCATCCAGGACATGCCGTCCATGTCTCCCCGTGTGCCTCTCCCCAACGCTGCACAGCAAGCAGAGTTTGAGCGTCAACTCGACATCCTGATCAACGAGCACGTCAGCTACACATCCATTGTGACCTGGGTAAGTGACACCATAACCACTAAGTGCTACTCACTGGAGGCCAATCACTGACGTCTTGTCCAGATTATTTACAACGAAGGCTGGGGCCAAATCAGGACGCCACCGTACCCCGAGTACGCCATCGCCGAACGCATCAGGTCCATTGACGGAACCAGATTGATCGATGCGACATCCGGCTGGTACGACCATGGCGCAGGTGACTTCTCCGACAACCACAAGTACGCCGCCCCTCAATGTGGCGCGCCCTTCTACTCGATCCAATCGTCCCCGTACGACAGCAGCCGAATTGGCATCCAGGGCGAGTTCGGAGGCATCGGCCACAACGTCTCCATCGACCAGTAAGTAATTCCTCCTGGCACAGCCCCAAGTGCATCGGTTGTGAACGACAGCTGACAAACCTCCTCACAGCCTTTGGAACGTGCAAGCGGCAATCGACACGATCAACCAGACATACGAGGTGAACATCGATCTCGAGGCGTACAACTACCGCGCTCACGTCATCTTTGACGAGTACCGGCAGCAGATCGAGATGTTTGCTTGCAGCGCTGGCATATGGACGCAGACGACCGACGTCGAGGGCGAGGTCAACGGCCTCCTGACCTACGACCGCCGCCTCGAGCGCGTCGATGTCCAGCAGTGGCAGGACGACATCCAGAGCCTGTTCGACGCGGCTGCTTCGCGGGGCGGCGCTGGGAACTCGACGGCTTCTATGCAGAAGTTGCGGATGTGAGCCTTTGGAAAGCGGTACATTTTCGCTTGGAGAAGGAGGTAATCTGATGCGTCTGGAATATTCTTTGTACATAGTTTATGGCCTGATGAATGCAATTCTTGCCCCAAACCGCCGCTGAAGAAGATCATTGAGAACATAAAAGTTCCCACTGCGTTGAACTAGTCTCCTATACATCCTCTTATCTTTTTACCTTGAGCTGCAAATTGGAGGCCCGGGTCATATGCTAGTCATGAAAGTTGCAACCTAAAAGGATGCTGGGATAGAAGGACAGTGTGCATCCACGACGATGCCAAAAAAGCCAGATGGTTCAAAAGACACATAAGCATGATTTGGTCCCAGGCAGAAGCATAGTTCGAAATAGTGAGTCGCATTTGCCTGTAGGGCAGCTTTAGGAAAACAGTAGTCTACCTCGGTGCACAACATCCCAAGACGCAGTGATCTTCCACGGGCGGAATGTGAGTGACGCTGCCACAAGGCTTCAAAGTAAATCCAAATAGCCACTGAGCTTTAGGTAGCCCAGAAGCTCAGAGCTTCAGACTCGCTAATCCAGGACAAACACTTGGCCAGTAACCCGAAATCCCCACCACTTTCACTCTGGCGCCAATGACCTAGATCGTAAGATGCCCACATACAATCTGCTGAACTTTCACATCTGGGATGGCTTAGTAGTCAGTCACTTGTCACTTGCAGGCTTATTCACTTTTCATGCACACAACACATCCCTCTTTTGACTTAAAAGCCAAGTCAAACTCAACTTCCTACCACGGTAGCAATTTCACGACAGAACTCTCTTTCCTGACACCAATCATCTTGACATCGTTTATTGCCCATGACACAATGGCTGGAGACATAGCTGTGTCTGATCAAGCCATGGACATTGACATGAATGTGCCCTCTGTTGGCTCTACTGTCGACACTTCCTCAGCCACGCCCGTCAATGGCCTTCCTGCTCGCCGCCGCCTTCCCAAGCAAACGGACAAGCGAGGATATCACAACAGCATCCAGAACCTTCCAAACGCCAAGGTACAGAAGCGCGCACCCAAGGCGAACATCAGTGTCCCAAGAGACTTGACTCGCACAGAAAGGCTGAAGCTCTCCAGTCGCCAGAAGAAGCAGAAGCAGCGCCTTCAGAAAGCCATCGCCGATGGCAGCTTCAAGATACAAATGCCTATACATGTTGGAAGTCTCCCTACGATGGAGCAAGGCAAGGTCGCGCATATCGAGAGACTGAACAAAGACCTCGTGACCCAAGCTCTCTACGCACCTACCCCTGGCTTGACCTTCGACACAGCGCAGCCTTCCCTGGGCAAGTTCGAGACGGGCGACCTGCTCCTGGCTCTGGAAGCCTACCAGATGTATCTCGCCGGGAAAGGCAGGATCATCTTGTCGCATAATGCACCGGTGTTGCTAAAGGCCTTCACCCGAGACGTGCTCTCGACGGCGCTGTCGCTGCCAAAGAAGCTTGACTACCAGGCTGGGATGGGCGACTTCTGGACCCAAGTTGCTGTGGAGTACCAGCAATCAAAGAGAATGAGACGGCTTGTGTCAAAAGTCATGACAATGCTAAAGGGGGTCCACCACGAGCCATTCCCGCCATGGGAAAAGGGAGCATCGGACGCAGCCCGCAGGGCGGCGATCCGTAGTGCTTTTGGGGCTCCGGGTGAGCATCCCTCTATCGACGAGGTATGTTGCTTTCGCCACACAGTAGGCTCCCGTATATTCTGGTACCATACTGACAGTGCGACTCTTCAGGCTATCGCGAGGGTGATGGAGGGTAAGAAGCCCCGTTTCGCCGTGGCCCAGCCGTCCACCATCCAAGCCATCATGAGCCATTTCGAGGCTGCACGCTCTCGATACCTGTCCAACCTCAATACGTCCAACAATTGGGCTAACCAGAGAGACCCTGGCTCCCACAAGCCCACGCCGCCCTTCGCGCTGCCGCCACGAAACCTTGACCTGGACGACTCCTCCGATGACGAGGACTGTGGTGTACGAGGCGGTGTGTCTGACGGTGACATCGAGGACAATGGGCAAGTAGAGGATGGAGAGCTCCGCGGACGGAGCCAGAGGTTCATCATGAAGCTTGATAAGTGGATGGCATTCAAGAATGGCCAGCAACAGGATAGTATTGATGCCGACATGCTCTCCGCTCTGGATCTTGGAAATGCGAAGTAGGCATGTTCAGAGCAGTGGAGAAAGGTGCTGGCATGGCCAAAGAAAGCGTGTTTTAGGGAATCTGGCCGGGAAAGGAGAGACATTAGAAAGTCCTCTTTATCCTGCAGGATTAGGTGACTCACCACCTCTCTTCACCACTGCAGCATAGGGCCATTGGAGTATGTCGTTCTGAGACTCCGAGGGCTTCTCGACTGGTGGGAGACGGCAGACTAGCCACAGATAGGAATGGTCTTACACCGCGTCTAATGATGAAAGCAGAGCCAGATTGAGCGACAAGGATTCTAGAGATTTTGATGAAAGTCATTGACCAATATTAATCAGGCTACCAGTCCTGACATTTCCATTGGGACTCTGGAAGTTGAGACATGGATGATACATGGGTGGAAGCCAAGCCTTCGCTTGTATCCTTTCCAGGACCAAAGCTGCTTTTTTCAGCACAAACACCAAGACCATCCTGTCCTTCAGGAACTCGGAGTGCTTTAGCCCGTGGTCGTCTTCACCATGTAACTATTAGATAATACTAGCTCCTGTTCTATCTGATAATTCCTCCGTCCCAAGGCCCCTTCGATCATGTGATAAATAATGGGTGTGTCTTTGGGGCCATCCCTTCAAGATCTGTGCAGACGATAATGGCACGACTTTCCCAGTCCTCCGATCATAGAAAAGCTTGGATCCATTTCCTTGCTTGCGGTTTCATTGTTGATTCTCTGTGGGCTTGCAACCTGGCATGTCACAATGGTGTCGAGGATCAGGCGAGTAGATACACGTGGGTGGGTCTCCATCCTAGTGGGTCGCTAAATGTGTCGGTGATGCTGCGCTGCGAGGCATCGCGAAACCCTGTAAAGAGGACACGATGCTACGGCCAACGACTAACTCAAGCGGCGATTTTGGCCCAGTTGCGACCTGTTGGGTTAGTTTGACGTTATTGCAGCCAGCGCGGCGCCAAATTAGCATGCCAAGGACACTGAGGCACCCTGGGTGACATCGCGACATTCACCATCATTAAATGTGCGGAGTTCGTCCGCCGGCGCGAGCGGAAGACTGGTCTGGATCAGCTGAGAAGGCCTCGAGGCCAGATAAAATAAAAGACGAGCCCCTCTCCCTTCCCAGCAGACGGACTTTTCTTTGTGCTCTAGATCTGGGCCGAATAATTCCAAGTGGCGAGACCCATCCATCGGTGAGCGCCAGGGACAATTTCCCCATGCGGAGGCACGATGTTGCCGCAAGTCAGCCACACCTCATCTATCACAAATGAAACCCTTTGGGCCCGAGGACCCTGAGACTAACTGCCAGTGGGTAGCTTAAATCAATTAAGGTTGAACCGGGGCCAGCCGAGTTCCCTGGGGACCTGGGAAAAGGCGGGTGAACTGGCCCACCAAAAATAGGCTGCGGTCTGGATCGACAAGCTTGGTCCCAGGGCGCCGGAGTTGCGGGTAGCAATTTGGATAAATGCAACCCAAGCTCGACGGCTTCACAGACTATCAATACTGTGGCGAGAACCTCTCTAAAGTGGAACCATGTGATCTCCAGAGTTGACACTGTTGTTCTCTGTCTATAAAAAAGAGGAGTCTCTTCCTGAAGGCAAATCATGGTTCCCCTGGGCATTGTCAGACAAGCCAGACGAGGATATATCCAAACTCTACATACAGAGATCGCCGGATATTTTGCACCACATTTTCCCTACTAATTGACAGTCATCCACCACTTGAAAGTAGTACACACCCGGCAATGCTGTCCAAACTCGTCACCGCCGCCTTACTCCCCCTCACCGCCTTCTCCTCCCCCTTCCAACACGCCGTCCTAAACACCCGCGATCTACCCGCCTCGGTCGGCAGCGTAACACAATTCCGCTACTCTGGCAATGGGTGCACCCAAGGGTCTAACTCTGTGACGCGGTCCGGCGGCTGGGTCACCCAGACCTACAAATTCTCCCAGTTCGAGGCCGACACCATCAGCACCACTACCCCGAGCACGGAAAACTGTGAGCTGCACTTCCAGGGCGCCGGCCTGACCCCCGGGTGGCAGGTCAGCCTCTCCGACGCGGAGGTCACGGGCAAGCTTGCGCTGGCGCCGGACGCCAAGGTCAACTATTACTGGCAGGTCTACTGGAGTGATGATGCCACCGACACGGTGAGTCTTGACCACGCTATTGCAGACGCCTCGGAAGAGAACAACATGAAGCTGACGCATTCCACACAGCTCACTCTACAAGGCGCGATAGATAATACCGGTGGCAAGAGCAAGATTACCAACAACAATTACACGATCAAGGCCAACGTGACGGACTCGTTGTGGTCTCAGTGCATCGGTGCCGACGGTAACCCGGGTATCCTCAATGTCAACTTCAGGGTCGCGGTTGTGGGCGATGCAAGCTCATTTGACGTTGACACAGAGACACTGAGGTATCAGTTCAGGAGATGCTGATAAAATTGACAAGTTCTGCGGTGGTCTCGGTTAAAGCGTATTGTTGATTTTGTTCTATGTCCAAATATGTGCATTACAAAGAAAAAGAATTCCCATTTCAGATTCAAAATATTCTAGCTCCGCATATGGTGTCTCCATTTGATCTGCTTCTGATCTCATGGGCCGTCTTGGATGTCAGAGGCTTTGCCGTCGAAGCTTTACCTCCAGCTCCTGGTTGGAGAAAACCCCTAGATATGGCTTCTACACACCCTCTTCAACAATTATTGGAACAGTATCACGAAGAGGACTGCACCAGCTATACAGCGTGATTTGTTCAAAAGTCATTTTTGCAGCTGTCGTCTATGCAGCCATGAAAGCCAGACCAGATTGGATGTTGACCTTAAGATCCTTTACTGCCACTTCCAACAGCTTCTTCTCGTCTTCCGACACAGCACCAAAGTCCAATGCTTGCTTAGCACCCTTGGGGCCCAGCTCGATCTTGACAGCAAAATAATCGACTCCAAGCCTCGCGGCAATCTCTTTGCCACCTGGCACACCGGGCAGGTAGACGTAGGCCTCCTCTGTGACGGGCGTGCCCGCCCTGGCCGCCAGAAGAGCCTTGACGAACCTGAATCCAGCGTAGGCCATGCAGGTTGTTGCGCTGCCAGCGACCTGCTTGCTTTGCACAATCTCGTCGCCACCAAACTGAACCCCTATGCTAGAGTCAGCATCCACAAACATCAGCCGTCGACGAGCTTCGGATTGGACATACTGTGGATAACCTTAGCCAACGTCTCAGCATCGACATCGACCTTGGGCTCCGATTGGCTGTAGAGCGGCAGGATGGTGCCACCGCTGTGGCCCCCGACGACGGGCACCTTGAAGTTCTTGGGATCGGCACCACCGCCCAGAGCGTGAGCGATGAAGGTCGAGGCTCGCACAACGTCGAGTGTCGTGACTCCGAAGAGGCGGGTTGGGTCAAAGGCACCTTCCTTCCGGAGGGCTTCGGCTGCCACGGGGACGGTCGAATTGACGGGGTTGGTGACGACGCAGCTAATCGCATGGGGGGACGTTCTGGCAATTTCGGTGAATATGTCGCGGATGATGCTTGCGTTGGTCTAGTGGCGTGTTAGTGCGTTGCTTGGATTAAGTTTATGTGGATGCAAGAAATACTAACCTTGAACAGGTCTAAATGGCATGTTCAGCATGTTTATTTATGATGTTGTATTGGTTTCGATACTGAGCCAGGTAGAGACCTAAAGGAGAGCACACTTACCATCCCTAGTCATGCCAGGCTTACGCGCGATACCGGCTGTGACAACAATGAAATCGGCCCCTTGCAACGCCTTCTTCAGTCCATCGCCTTCGACAAGGTAGCCAGAGACCACGGCCCTGGTGTCGATGTGGTTCAGATCCGTTGCAATACCGGGGGCATGAACGAGATCGTAGAGGGAGATCTCGTCAAAAAGGTCACTCTTCCAGGGTGCCGTGTCAGTCAACGACTATCTCGGCTGTACTGCTACCTCATCAGGACATTGCGACTCACAGTTTTGCATAGCAAGCTCAGTGGTGTGCCTATCTGGCCCGCGGCACCGATGAGTGCGATCTTAGTCATCTTCGAGGCTGGCGTGGGGCTGCTTATGGATCTATATCTTGAAGTTCCAATGCGGCAAGCCTGATAATCGAACCCATATCACTTATGTACGCAAAGACTCCAGAGTGTGGTGAGGTTTAAAGGGCAGAGCTTCCCCGTCTCAGGCTCCACAGTATGTATTACCGAGGACGGCACCGGAGGCGGCACGACTTGGGCGGCTAAAACTTTAGCCATCTTCATGGCTCCGCCATCGCGAGACATGGTTCTTCATGCAGCATAGAGCAGACACGCGGCCGTGGTTCCAATGGTGCAGGGTGCAATAGTGTGAATGGCTACTAGCGACCGCCCCGGGCCAATTTGTTGATGCAAATAAACTGATTTGGCAATCATTACCGGTGTCTACCATTTGCTCGCAGTTCCGTAGGAGCCTCGCCCCTGGTCAAGCAGGTGAAATTCGCGTCAAAACGTCATCACTACTGAGCATCGTGTGATTGAAGCTAGGTCTGATTTGCGAGACGAATTACACTGGTTACCTATTCAACCGCCCAAAGACTATGAGGTAGCGCCACGAACCAACATGGACGGAACCAATGAGGACTGACTGACTGTCTAAGTATTTCGTTCCGACCGCACAAAATAGGCAGTCTACAATAACCAGCTCACAACAAGTAAATCTTATCTTGACATCTGTAGCTTGACGACCTGAAAGGCAACATATCGCAAGCATAGTCTGATGGCAAACTCGTAGTGCTTAATCTGTGATCCTCATCGAGAACGCATGGATTGGTCAAACAAGGAGGCCTGTGAAGTGCACTACAGCCTATACCTACCAGGGGGAGGGGGGGTTTTTGATTGGGTCACGCAATGCACACGTTCTCGCAACGATGTTGACATTAAATCAAAAATTTAAAAATGATAACGAAATGCTTACAAAAGACTAAGAAATACTTGTCAAATGAAAATGGAATCAAAAGGTTGTGTCATATCAATATAATGTCAAGGTTGATATCATGTCAGCGCATGTCAAGATCGATATCATGTCAGCGCATGTCCGTTGAATTGAATGTTATAAGATTTAAATCCGGTCCTATTTTTAGATATTTCCGTAGATCCGTAGACCCTCCCATAGTATATAGTCAAGCTTAAAGATACCTGATAAGTAGTTGGGTGGGTGACGAGTGATATATCATTTTTTTGGTTTTGATGTTGTGGTTGACATGGTGTGACATGATGTCGTGGTTGACATGCTATCAACCACGACATCATAAAGACAGAAAATCTTTTTATAATCATATCAATTGATTGATTTGATTTCAATACTATTGCGACATGCTATTGCAATGCTTTTGTAATACATTCAGAAACCCCCCTTCCCCCTGGTAGGTATTTCTATCTGATGTTCTAGACATGTAGCGCAAGGAGGGACACACTGCCCATGACTTCAATTCAAGATCTTGCTCTACGCTGATCCGTTTGTCTGTTTTGACTGCAACTTGACGTGTTCAGGAACCGGAGACAGAAGTGGTTCGCCGAGGACGGCCCTTCTGGCGTTCTCCATCGCCCACGCCTCCATCTTGGCCAGCGTCTCGGTTGTGTGCGTGCCCAGATGTGGCACCATCAGTGCCCGTTCTTGCCTCAGCAACTTCTCGTTGATGATGGGCTCACGCTCGTAGACATCGAGGCCGGCCGCAGCGACTTTGCCGCTCTCCAGGGCGTCGGCCAGGGCGGCTTCGTCGATGATAGCGCCTCTGGCTGTGTTGACGATGACTACGCCGTCCTTCATCCTGGCGATCTCGTCTGCCCCGATCAAGTGCTTGGTGCCGGCATTCAGCGGCACGTTAACACTGATGATGTCGCTCTCGGCCAGAAGCTTCTCAAACGACACGTACTCGGCGCCGGCGGCCTCCTCTTCCGACACTGGCCGGCGGTTGTGATAGCGCGTGACCAGTCCAAAGGGGTCGCTACGCTTCTTTATTGCGCGTCCGATGCGGCCCATACCCAGGATCCCAAGCACCTTGCCCTGCGGATCGTGGCCAAAGTCTATGCCCTTCTTGAAATTGCCAGCTCTCAATGACGCTAGTGATGGGTTGAGCTGCCGCAGCGCTCCCAGCAGGAGCCAAATGGCCAAGTCGGCCGTGGCTTCGGTGACGGCATCCGGGGCGTAGGTAAGCGTGATCCCCTTCCTGAGACAGGCATCTGGGTCGATCTGGTCGTAGCCCGCGCCATTGTGGCAGATGTGTTTGCAGCTTTCGGGCAGGTGCTGAATGAACTCCTCGTCAAACTTACCGGCAACCTGGTTTGCACTCTGGTTAGAACTGCACATCTGCCTTTCTTGGGGATAAGGACATTGCATACAGCGCCACTGGCCGAAGTTCTATATATGACGGATATGTCCTTGTATTTGCCCTCGAGGTCCTTGAAGAACTCATCTCTCGACTTGCTCGTGACCACTTCTGTTCGCGCAACGTCTTGCAAGCTCTCGTAGTAGGCTTTCGCATGCCTGACGGGATTGAAGAAGAGGATAAAGGGCTTGGAGGACGACATGGTGCTGATCTGGCGGATGTGAGGTCTTACTACTGCCCTGTATAGCATATGTTTTGGGCTGGAAGATGATGCGCATCACCGGCTATTTGGGGTTTCCCTTTGCCTTGGCTTCTTTTCTCCTTTCGACGGTGATATGCCTCCGCGCATGTGATGAAATAGGACTCAATGGACTACCGTTGTCGGTTCTTCGCCCGCTCTATCAGCCTCCGATTGTTCCTATGTGAAAATCGTCCGGTTCGGGCCAACGTTGAGGGGATCTCGCCGAATCGGTTACGGCCGGCGGCTAAGGTTTCTGCCGGACCTCAGCTAAGATCATCAGCAGCGGGGAAACACCTGACCGTTGTCTCAGCCCAGGCCCCTGGCAGTGCTGATATAATTGGGGTTTTGTTGTTTCTCAGAGCAGAAGGGGAGGTCTGCCTCAATCCTGCAAGTCACACCAACAGTAAGTATCAACACAGTAAGACATGGCTCTTGCAACAAATATTTCTCATTTTCACGACAAAAGTAGTTTCTAAGGAGTAAGATAATGCTGAAATATTCATTAATATGGATTGTTTTGAACCACAGTAGACAGATGTAATTTATCTTCAAGCCTCTTGTTTTATCCAACGCATATTGACTTGCATCAGCACTTGTATTCTCTTCTTCAGATTCTATGAGAAGAGATCAATCAATCTATACAGGCCCATCTCTACCCCAAATTCAAAGTAGCGGGTAGGACATCAGGCCATCCAGCGCCACACAGCCCACCCCATCAATGTAGAGACCCGGGAATTCTTGCTGTGAGATGAGGACTTTCACTTTCCCCGGAACCAGGAAGCTGCCCATACCATCACGGGCTCCACGACACAGGTGGGGCAGTCTGGGGTAGATAGCCAGGTCGTGCTGGATCAGATTCAGCTTGACCCAGCGAGAATGCGACCCTTCCCCGTGGGGAAGCACCATACGAATCCGGGGGTGACCACTTGTCAGACCAGTCAGACGAATTCAGTTGGGGGTACCATGGATTCTTGCTGTTCCATCAACTGGAGAAGATAGCAGACTGCAAGCTTGACTCCCGCATAACGTATATAATCGACTCGAGGACTTTGGCTGTGCCTGTGGCCCTTCTCTTGTTTGTACGATCCTCCAACGAGGGTCTTTTGACGAGTTAGAGCCCTCACCATCTGTCCTCGTTAAGGATTACATTGAATTTCGCTGTGTCGTTGTGCATCATCCTTCTAGTCTTGTTCTTTTGAGAAACATCCGAGCAACGTTGGCAGCCAAGCGCCATGGCTATCTTTGGCTTGACAGGCGAGACACTCGCCATTGTCCGCATTTTCCTCGTGGTCGTCCCTGCATTCTGGCTCTTTGGATACAACCAATCCAACCTTGGCGGCGTGCTGGCCTATCCTTCGTTCACAAAATACTTTCCTGAAATCGACTCTACCAACACTGAGGGTGCCCAGGAAGCCCAGAATGCCAAGTTGGAAGGTGAGAAACGCCTTGGTTCCTGCGTCGAACTCAACTAGAATCTGTATTGTTGACTTTTGACGAATAGGGACCGTCGTAGCGGTCTACACCCTCGGCTGCCTCATCGGCGCTCTTGGCATTGCCCCGATCGGAAACCACCTCGGCCGTCGCAAGAGTCTTATGGTCGCCGCCGTGGTGGCCTCGATCGGCCTCATCTTACAAGCGTCAGCCCATAGCCTTGCCCAGCTGGTGGTGGGCAGAATAATTTCCGGCGTCGGCAACGGCGGCGTCAACTCGGTGGTCCCAGTCTGGCAGAGCGAGTGCACTAAGCCAAAGAATCGAGGAAAGAACGTTGTGGTTGTGGGTATCTTCATCACCAGCGGTATCGCCCTCGGCGGCTGGGTCAACGTTGGCCTGTCGCACGTTCAGGAGCAGGAGATTGCCTGGAGGCTGCCCCTAGCGCTGCCGCTCATCTTCACCTCCATGCTGCTTGCCTTCACTCTGTGCTTCCCTGAGTCGCCCCGATGGCTCATCAGCAAGGGCAGGATTGAAGAGGCACGCCAGAGCATGAGCGAGCTGAACAGCGGCAAGCACGCCGAGCCCGAGTCGATCGACGCCGAGATCAGCCTCGTCCTCAGCGTCGTCCAGCAAGACAGCGCTCAGTCCGAGCTCGGCTTCCGCGACTTCTTCAAGCGTGGGCCTCAGCGCCTCTTCTACCGGCTCTGCCTCGCCATCGCCGTCAACTTTTGTGCCCAGATGACAGGGGCCAATGTAATTTCATACTATGGGACTAGGATCTTTAAGCAGTCTCTCCACATGCCCGCCTCCAAAGCCGCCCTGCTCAACGCCGGTGTCCTCACCTGGAAGATTGTCGCCGCTACCTCGGCATTCTTGACTGTGGACCGCCTCGGCCGCAAGCCCCTCTTCATGATCGCCTGCGGAGGCATGTCCCTGTCCATGGCCGGGCTGGCAGGCACCGCCTGGGCCATCGACAACGCCCACAAGTTCGGGGCGAGCGTGGGAGCCACCTTCTTCCTCTTCCTCTACATGGCCTTCTTCCCCCTCGGCTTCGTTGGCGCCAACTTCCTGTACAGCGCCGAGATTGCACCTCAGGGCCTGCGCATCCACCTCGCCTCTGTCGGCACCGCCACTCACTGGCTGTTCAACTTTGTCATTGCCGAGATTACCCCCGTCGCCTTTGTCACCATCACTTGGCGCTATTACATCGTCTATGCTGTCATTGGCGCCTTCTCAGTGCCCCTCGTCTACTTCTTGTTCCCCGAGACCAAAGGCTTGTCACTCGAGGATATGGACCGCCTCTTCTCGGACCCGGCTCACTTCTGGGAGGTCCCGTCGTACGCCAGGAAGCTCAAATCAAGCTCGGCGGCTCAGATCGAGAACGAGGGCAAGGTCGTCGAGACTGTGGAATAAGTCGAGATGGCCTCGTACGACCGGAAGTAGGTGTTATGCAATGTGATCCGAGACCACAGCCCCATTTTTCTGTGTTGTGGCCAGCCTGGAGCTATGTTGTGTCCGGAGAAGCAAGTATTAAAAAAGAGTTGTCAGGATGCTTATATATAGATTGTGTACTACCAGGTTTTCAGATCAGTTAGGTAGTTTCATGGCTTGCAGGAAGGCGCGCTGGGAGATTTGTCCTGCGAAGTCACCACGCTCTGGCATTTCGCTCGTGAGGTTTATTTCTAGGATTCTTCTCAAGACAAACTATGAGACTTTTGTTGTTGCGTCGAAAATCTCGACAGCCTTTTCCAATCGAAATTACTACTATCGACTTCACTGGCCACAGTGGTCTTCATGATCTGCTTCTCACCATAAAAACTCCTTCTGGAAATCTGCAGGGAGAAATGTGCTCGTGACCGGACTCGGCTGGTCTGTCCTGGCCCCCGAATGATGCGGCGCGTGACTGTCTCTACATCCCACCTCGCCAGATGTTGGTTGGACATTGGTAGCGTGATGTTCGACCTGGAAGGTGCGCTCCCTTGTATCAGGGGCTGCGGTCACTTCTCGGACCGGACATGGGGACTGATTGCTCTGGCCAGACATACCGCCACACTGGGACGGCAGACTGTCATCTTCGACAGGGGCGTCTTCCTCTGGGCCATGTGCGCTCGGCGGCCCAGGCAGCTCGGGTACCGCCGTGCGAGACTGCCATGCTCGTACATCCTCGAGGGTCGTCAGGGGATAGAGCTGCCAGACGTCAGGGTCGGCATTTTCTTTATCCTGTGAGCTCTCCGGCGTGACCAGTGGGGTTACGCCACGGACCGATGACTCCAGCTGCTCGTCTGATACATAGCTGAGGACGCTACGCAGCAAGGTCTCGGTGTGCCGCAGCCTCGACTCAAGCTTCCTTATGAAATGCTTTGGGAGTCCTCTGCAAAGATTGACCCGCCTGATTAGCGCACTGTTCCAGTAGGGTGGCCGGGGGAAGGGGAGAGGAGTGTGGAGGGGATGATTTTGTTGAAATATGCCTACCGTTTCTGTTGCCTGGGCCATTCGCAACGGAGCTTGGAGTGTCTGCATTGGCCACAAATCGGTCTTGCTTGGAATATCAAGCACTCAGCGATTGCCCTGCTGAAACGCTACAGTACGGGGTTTTTTCTTTAGAACTCACTTCTCACCACTGCACTGTACTCACGGGTAAGTAAGATATTCGTACTACTGGCAGCAAGGAACATGCTATCCATCTGCCCCTTTCGATGAAGTAGATGAAACCAGGCGAATGAAGGCACTCATGTGGGGTGAATGTACGCAGGGGCGAGGCGTACCTTTCGCTTTTTGGCGCGGCACACGAAGCAAGCTCCGCCGATCCGAACCACGGGGCTCTGGCTAGGAGTAGTTGGCGTCCTATCCATTCGGTCGCCTCGGGAGATCTTGCTTGTGGAACGAGATGATGACAACAACAGGCGGGAATAACTAGCCGTACTGAAGCGAAAGAATCAGGATCACGGCTTGGTCTTGCCGACAGGAAGTGGTGGCGACGGGATATGAAAGGTGGGGGACAGGGCGCAACCCGCTACGGCTAAATCATTTGCCGCTCTGGGACCGGCGAGTCAACCGCCGCATTGACGGGCCCCTGGACTGAGCTACAGTTCCACACCTGGCTGGCAGCAATAGCGCATCAAGCGCATCAAGCGCATCGTGCAGCCAGTCCAGCCCCAGTTGATGAACGCCGACTGACAGCTATCACAAGACCTCCAGATAAATCCAAAAAGGCGACGACGATTGTCCACCATGACCACGAACAAGACCCTTGTTGGCACTGTGGCTGACCAAGGACGTTGGTTGTCCTCAGCTTGATGGTCCTCACAAGCGTGCCGTCTGTCCTGCTGGACCCGGCTGTCTCCAGCTGCATGACCGGGCTAGAAGACGTCGGCTCCTGGCGCCAAAGCGCTGGTGGGAGTGTGGTATGGCTGGGGCTGGGGCCGGGGGGGGGGGGGGGGGTTATGGTGTGAATCCAACACCCCCGTATGGCTTGCAAGAAGCCACCCGCCTCCTCGGCTCTGGTATCGCGCGAGTTGTTGAGGCAGAGGGCATTCCTCGCAGCAAGCCTTGACGGTAATTCAGCGGCATGTCTCGAGGCTATCAACGCGCCTTGTAGCCAGTTGAGGATGTTAGGATCACAGTCCACACCGACTGCAATAACTGCAGATACTCGTAGCTAAGTGTGTGACTACAATTAGAGAAATCCGCCGCGCCAGGCGAGATTGTCCTGGTTAACGACATGGAGTAGCGACTCCCAGGTGACGCCACCGAGTATATCTGGCATTCCGCCATCCCAGTTGCCCGCGGCAGGTCCTCCCATCCAGCCGTTTTCATCGCTTTCAAAACCCGGGGTAGAGAATCCCATCACATCCAAACCCCGAGCGTTCGGCGTGACAGCGATTGGAACATCGTGGGGAGGTAATGGAATCTGCTGTTGTTGGTGCAAAGGCGGCTGGTTGAGAGCTACAGCCTCGGCCGATTGCCCGTCAGAAAGGAATACCGAGTCGAGTCTGCCGGCAGGATCGTTGACGACAGAGCCTAGGGCAGCCGCCTCGCCAGGCCCCGGGGCGCTGGTCTGGTCGGCATGTCGCCTGTTATCATGCTGGCGCCCATTTGGCTGTGGTTGGAGATCGCCCGGGTAGAAACCGGACGGATCACCCGCCTGTGCATCCGGGTCTATCCGTCTCCTCTTCGAACTTCTTCTTTGATCGGGAGTTTGTTGCCCAACCGCTGGTGAAACATGTCGGCCGATGGCCTGGAAGCTACTTCTCGGCGTAGAGGTCGGTGCTCTATGGGACGGACTGTGGAGGAGCGTGTGCCTGTTCAACCGGACAGTTTGTTGGAGATCAGACAGGACAATATGACAGTTCCTCGCCAAGGGCCAGCGGCTCGACATGCTAGACAGTACGTCCAGGCAGAGAGCGATTTCCCTAATGTCCTGTCAGCGTGTGCTGTTGCCCGGTCGGTGAGCTTTTCTACTTACCCTTGGCCCTTGTCCGGAGGGTAGAGTTGCAGGTGACAGGCAAACGCAAGTATGATGCCGGCCATCCAAGCTGCGGACAAATGCCCCGGCCAGAAGAGCGCATACCCTGCGCTGCGCTGCTTTCTCATATTCAGGATAATGTCGCGCGATGAGCCAATGCATATCTGCAGTGCAGACTGAAACTCGGCAGAAGACGGCTCCAGAGACAGCCACGGACGGTGTATCAGGAGACGCAGCTGGTGATGCAGGAGATTGAAGAAGGCCGACGCGCTGAAGAGCTGGCTCTGCTCATCTGACGGCTTATCCGTCTCCGCGACGAAGCCAAAGTCCTGCAGCTCGGACGGCAGCGAGTTCCACCACGCGTTCATATCAGTCCGCAGGGAAAGCACCGTGCTAGGGTCTATGGAGCGGATGTGGATGGACTTGTGGAAGAGCTCCAAAGCCCTGCCTAGGAGGCGAGAGTACTCGACCTGGCAGAAGAGAATCAGATGGCGGCCACACTGTTGGCTCGGTCCGTCGAGGGCTGACCCTCCAGTTTCCTGGTCGCCTGCTGGGGTCGAGGAAGCGTCTTGGCTAGGCTGGCCGTTTGACGCCGCTACATGTGAGTTTTCTGGCGGGTCATGGGGCGGGAAGTGTCGATGATGAAGCTCAGGCCCGGCGAGGGAGCAGACATCGATATCAGAGTCCTGAATCCCCAAGGGGTGCCCGAGAGCCTGCGAAAGGAATCTATCGAGGACGTAGATGCTCCAGAACAGCCTCTTGCGTATGTCGCAGTCGTCGGCCGAGAGCTCTCGATATCGGACGGGACAGCGGTGGAGACCCGCCAAGAAGATGGCGCGTGAGAGTAGGCCGGCGACGACCACGGCGGTGCGGAGGGACATGCGAGCCACGAGAAGGAGCTCGGCTGCGAAGAGAGCTTGGATGGAGATGATATCGCCCTTGGCAGCGAGGCCCAGGAGATAAGGGAGAACTCGAGAGGGCTTGCCGATCCGTGACGCAGCCGGCAGCTCCACGTCGCTATGGAGGCTCGCCAGATTGAACAGGCACTGTAGGATGATGACACGGGCAAGGGGCAACACCAGCCCGTTTGGAGCATCCTGTGTGACGGCCGAATACGACGGCTCCTCGTCTGACGACGAGTACAGCAACTCGAGGTCCTTGCCCAAGGTGGGGCCATGGAGGAAGGGAAAGAATCGGTGCCAGGTCTGGAAGTAGATCATGAACAGCTTCCTCGCGACATCGCGCGGCGGAGGTCGGCCCAGATCCACCGGGATGCCGGAGCCATGCGGACTGGCGGCGCCCGGCCGAGGACTTGGCGCCCGTGATGGTGCCGTGCTGGCCTCGCCGGGCCTCCTTGTTGTGGAGCGGCCGTCGTCTTCGTCCGCAACAATGCAATCCTCCGGGGACGGGTTGTCCTTGTCCTGAAAGACAGACGAAAGGCGCACGTCGGCGTCGGCAAAGGCCCGTCGCACCGTGTTCACAAAGTAGACGCCGCTAGAGCTGCCGATGAATTGGCTCCGGCCGTCGCCAGAGGTCCGCAAAGAGCCGCGCTCCTGCACTTGCGGCGACAACGACTCGTCACTGGTAGAGTACACCGACTTCCCCGTCATTGGTCTCCTGGAATGTCAAAACACTCCCAATTCTTATCAAGTTCCTTTCATGCATGGAGACGCTTCGTCAGAAGGTTCGTGTGCGTCAATCTAGGTTGCAGTTGGTGAGGTTGCATCGTCGTCCGCTTGATGTTTCCCCACCTCCCTAGCGGGATTTACTGCACTGCCAGGGTCTATTTTTTTTTCGAAGAGAAAAGAGTTATCATTACTGGCCTACCGCGTGTCCGTTACAAGCCGATCATTACCGACTTGGCACAGCGATTGTTCACTAGCGCATAGGTGTGAACTTTTCAGTGACACAGACTTAAAGGGAGACACGACCAGTCTTCACCCTCATGAACACAAACATGCGGCCGTCCGTTGGACACACCCGTTGAGTACACTCTACCATGCTCAGAAAAACTGACATAATTAGTGCTCCAGTGACGTAGTAGTCCGACCCTTAATTCATGCCGAGCCTCAACATTGAGCTGATTTTAACCGCCAATGGTCTGGGCTGAGGGCGGAGGCGGGCATTTCTTCTACCGGAAACCTATTCACCCCGAACCGACCGAGTGGCCACGGGTACCTGGGCGCTAACTTATTTACCTCAACGCAAAGCAAGATCAGAAGACTAAAGCTGCGCTGAATTTCGTGACAATTGTGTGTAATACCTGTGACACGGTCTGCGATGCCGCTTTCGTGATTGGCCATGTCAGCCGCGCCGCAGTGACAGCCTCGTAGGTCCTGGGAGGTACCTGGTAGGAGAGCCCTATGGTACTTTTCCCAACTGCCGGACTTCAGATAATTGATGCCTATCCCAAGTACATCGTCGACGCATCGTACTTGGTGACATTTCCGTCCCAGCCTCCCCTTCTATCTGGAATCCACTCTTGTTCATCAGTTTGCCTGGCTTGTGTCCCCCCCGTAACAGTTGACGTGTTGCCTTCCGATTGATGCATCTTAGACTCAGGTGTTGCTTTAGCCTGAGCTAATTTGCTCGCTTCAGCCTCACTCTGAATACTCTCTGTAGTTTTTGCAGCTGGTTCAGGCTCTTCGAGTGGCTGTGGTGGGGGCTTGTTGTCGAAGTGTTCAAGTTGTGAATGTGTGACAGTTCGGAATTGGCATGGTGTGCCGTAATGGATGCGTCTGGCCGTCATCCTGATGGTTGTGTATACCTGGGTAGGTATGGATGAAAGTATTTTGGCTTGTAGGAGGGATGATGATTTGTGTTTGATTTGTGGCGGGTGAAGTATTGGTGGATGAAGTCTTGGTAGATGGTCGCAAATTGAACTGTGGGGAAACTTCGGGACGGATGCTGGGGGAGGAGAACTATATTTAAATGCGAAGTCAAGTCCACCATGCTAAAGAGGAAGAGGTTCCAAGGCTAGAGGGAGCTAGCAAAAGCTCCGGGACTGGTAGACTTAGCATTTCCAGGTGGCTGTCAAGGTGCAACTCAGAATCATTCAGGACTCTAGGAATTCGGATTAATGAGCTAGTGAATCATAATTAGTTATTGTTGGTGGCAAGCTAGAGATCAACAGCAATTTCATTTACCGCTCTTGATGCTTATTCTCCTCAGCGTTGCCACTATTCCAATCAAAGGGACTGGAGCCAACTTCTGAAGACAGTCATCCTTCACCTGCAGCACTCCGGACTCTAAGCAAAGTGATTCTACGATGTTGACAGGTACCACTTCCACATGTACCACGAGATTTGCGATCAGAGAGCGTAACAGTGTGATTCAGAAACAAAAGTTTCCTGCTTGGTGAACATGTTACGGGACTGTTTGATAGAACAAGCGACCGAGCTACATGACTAGCGCTGCTTTATCTGGAGGACAGAGCTCCACGATTTAGTGTTAATTAAGACATTTGAAGCCACCGTCATCGTCATTTAGCTACGACGTGGGTGCAGATAATCTTTTTGGATGCTCCTATCTCCAAATGCTGTTATTGATGAGCGACTTGGCTCTGCCCCCCAGCTGCCGTTATGTCCTCGCTCGAGATCTCCATCGCCTTCCCAGGTTCCGAGAAAAATACGACCCATTTCTTATCATCCCGGGGAATGAGCTCCACCTTGACATCTTGTTTAGGCAAACGAAACGCAGCATTGGCCTCCTTGTATCCCGCAGTTCCCCAGCCACTGCTACCCACCGGCTTGATATCGAAGCGTAGAAGTATAACGCTGGCGAAGGCAAGGATCTCCGTGGAGGCGAAATGGCGGCCAGGGCAGAGCGTAGCTCCGCCACCAAATGCTCGGAACGCCACTGGATTGTGTTTCTTGGTCTTGGTTGGCTCTTTCACAAATCGCTTATAGTAAAATTCATGCACATTATCACCCCAAGCAGGTAATGAGCTGTGTTGAACAGTGCTCGGGATGAGGACCGTGTTTCCCCTGTATGCGTTAGTAAAACTGAGGTCTCCCGCAAGGCTTTATGTTGGCTTAAGCACCACGAGCATAGACTCCTTAGTCGTGTTAAGAAGATACTGTGACTTACTTTTTGAGAAGATACTTTCCGCCAAGCACGTGGTCTTCCACGACTGCGCGGGCAGACATGCCTATGCTATGGAATCGAAAGGCTTCTTGCATCGTCGAAGCGAGAATAGGACATGAAATTTTGATATATGCAAGATCCAGACGGATCTCCCCGTCCTTCTCACTTGCAGCCTTAGACAACTCTCGACGGCAGTCGTCCAGTGCAACTGGGTCGGAAAGCAAGTGGTAGAGGGTCCAAAATGTTGCCGGCATCGTGTTACTGACAAGTCCAATTGAGCCCCCTGCTTCCATTCTTGCGACATCTCTCATTGGTATGCCAAGCTTGGAAGGGTACTCGTATCTGTTGCGCGCGTAGACCGATGAGCCCTCATCGAGACCGCCTTCAGTGTAGTACTTTACAAAGGCCTCAGTCAGGACATCACGCGATCGGAGGCTATCCCTGGCTAACAATGAAGGCATAAAGCCTGTGATGAGTGTAATCAAGCCAGCCTCAAATTTGCTGCACTAATCAGCACATCTAGTCATGAATGATATTGATCGACCAATGAATTCACGTACTAATAAGCGTCCCGGACGGCGGGGTTCTTGAACGGGTTGAGAGGTCCGTAGACCGCATTTGTCGTAGCCAACATAATCTCCTGTGAAGCCCATGCGAACAGGTCAACAGTGGTGGGCTCCTTTCTGACACATAATGCCTCCAGAGACTTGTTGAGGATTTGCACTGCTTTGGCATTTAACTCGTCAAGATTGGGTCCGGGAGTTAGACCTTTGCTGGTCTCTACCGTGATTTGATGCACAAACCCGTGGTTCTCAACAGGATCTTGGCCCATGATGTCAAGAGCCTTGCCACTGATGCCCATGAAATGCGAAAACACCCTGACCATGATTGGAGAAATGGACAGCGTCCGGACTTGACGCTGCAAGACAGGGATGAGAGCTGTGTCATTGATGACATAAAGACGTGATCCTGGAAGTCGTAGTGTGTATATGGGCAGTTGATATTTGTTTCTGATGGGAGTCAGTGAGCTTATCCAAGTACATCTGTAGAGTCCTCATCTCTCAAGACCTTACCTCAAATGACTGTGAAAACTCGATGCTTTGCTGATCATGCCGGCTATTGGAGTAAGGAAGGGGAAAACGTCCTCTACTGAAGGCGGCTCCCTTGCATCTTGGGTGAAGCGCAGCAGAGCCCAGAGAAAGAAGTAACCTCCAAAGAGACCTGCCACCACGACTGTCAGATTGGAAATCATTTCAATACTTGCGCGGTGTCCCGGTGGATCTTCAGCAAGAAGAAACCAATTGAACGCAATCGTGTTATCAAAGGAACGACCGAGACGAATGCCGGAGAAGTTTAATAGGTGGGCGAATTTTGGAGGGTCTCTAAAAGATGTTGTGCGAAGTCAGGAAAGGAGAGAAACAACCAGCCTTTGTCCTGCCAATACTGCCCCGATCAAATGTCGGATTCGCTATGTCTGTGGACTATGTAACGCTGGCGGGAGGGGTCTGCGCCACCAATCATTGCAAATCTTTTTGTATCTTACCAGAATCACCAGCGTCCAAGTCCCCTGTTCACCAATCCGTGCCGCGTTGGCGGTATCTTTCCGAGGCCCAGACCTGGAAAGTAGAATGACGCTTTGAGTGGGTCCGGCTAGCATTATGTAGCGGCCAACAGGAGCAGCTAGTCCACTGATGTAAAGGAAATCTCGTAATGATCTGGCTGTTGGCTCGAATAGCTGAAGATTAACCCACATCCAAATGCTTGCGACCGAGTCATTCGCTACCGGCGACGTTCAAGTCTAACTGGAGGGGCGCGTTGGGAGGCACACATGTGGCACAGCATGCTCTTAGCCGCGCAAGTTAAATCACAGCACAGACAGTGAATGATGATATCTTGATAGCCGACTCCTGTAGTACATTTTGCATCGTGCATTGTGCGCCATAGCGCCTACATGGGTCACCGGCATGGAATACTTCACGATATAGTGTTTCATAGCATCGTGGTATCTTGCGGCAGATCAAATAGATGGAAGTTTTCACTAAGTAATGTTTTGAGTTTAGTATCTTTTGTGGAGTTCTTGATGATAACAGTAGATAAATGCTCTCGTTCGATGCTTACGCACATTTTCCAATTTCTTCATCTTCAACACAAGACATTTCCGGTGACACAATATTGCCCATATTCCTCACTTACGCTATAGCGGCGATATCACAACCTCTAAATGAACTCCATGGACTTGCATGAAGTCCCAGCCATGGAGCCGCCCGCTGGGGGTTGTGCCAAACTTCATCAACCGAGTGTCACTTGCCCTGATCTGTCTGAATGTTATTGTCCCCATTTTGCTTTTGATGTTGTTATGTTTTCTCTGGAGATATCCCGGTGCTCTTAAAAACTCTATCAAAAAGGCGAATCAGATGCTATCACATTTCGTCTAATTCTGCAAAAGTAAAGTTTGATAACTTTCCCAGGCGAGGAAATGCCTGAGCTAGGGAACACGATAGTCCTCTCTACAATTATCGAAGTCATGGATCAAAATGCCAAGGGTCTTGTGCTGAGACTAATTGGTGATCACGGAATGTGCGCTTTCCACTCCGAACCGCGAGGTTTGGGAAACATCACATACCGCAATAGGAAATCTCCGTATTGCTTAGCGATCCCAGGAGCGTCTGCTAAGTTACGTGTTGCTAGGCTGATTATGCTAGTGGCTGGCCTGGGCTGACGTGGCTGACTGGGCTGACTGGTAGCGACCGTAGCAGTAAGTATCTCCTAAGTATCTCGTCTTAGCGGGTGCCCTGAAGTAGTCGGGACAGTCAGGCAGAATAGCTCACTACCTGATTTGGAAATACGGGCTGGGTGCATGGCTACGTTTCACAGCATCCTCAAATTCGTCAAGCCGAATTGACGATAACACCTCAGCCACCAGCGACATTAAAAGAATGTACGTCCCCTCGTCATATGATTTATGTCCTTCTATAAGTATGATCAAAGTGCCCCTGTTCTCAGCTAGAAAATCAGTTGCAGCATTCTGGCGATTACTTGGTCTGATCCAACAACATCATGTTCCTGCCACTGCAGTTGCTTTTGGCCTTCCAGGCTCGCGCGCACATTGTTCCTCCCACTTCTGCAAACACATCTCCTGTTGGCATTGTCTCTAAAGACATCGCAGGCGCCGATGCGCTCGACGAAGTTGTGGCTGCCATGGGTGGTGTGGAAGCCTTGAATAAGATCGACTCCTTCACCTACCACGCAAATGAGTGAGTCAAGCAGTACAAGCCTCATCGAGCCAAGTTACTAATGCATTCCCTAGTATTTACCGAAGCGCAACTTTGACTCAGACATACAATCTTTACTCGTTGGATCAGTCCGTTGCCTCTGCAGGCTCCCAAATTATATCATTTGAGGGCAATGGCACAATGCTCAAGTCGCGCATCGATCGCGCATACATATACAACGAGTATTGGACCTGGGCATTTCCTGATCTACAACCAGGAGTGAACATGTCGCTCATTGTGCGTGACGATGCCGACCAGTACGCCTGCTTTGTTCAGGGCCAGAACAACTTCTTTTCACCGAATCTTACATTCGCCCAAGGTTATGCTGACGCATACCTGACCGACTACCTCATCCACCAGACTCATCAATTTGCGATACCGTGGATGGTACAAAGATTCATGTCTGATAAAGCAAAAGTTCAAGCATACGAAGTTTGGGATCCCTACAGCTCCGCCATGTACATCGCCATTACGCATGGCCAGCTCAACCTTACCATCCTCGTCGATAATACGACGAACCTACCACACGCTATCAGATCGACCGAGGACCATCAAATTTACGGCCCGTCGACGAGCGACCTGGTCCTCACGGGATATTCAAACGTATCTATCGGCGATGACGCGTACTTTGCTCTCCCCCATCGCTTGCAGACCATCTACAACTCTCGATACGTCCTTGAGGATATCCTTGTAGACACCATCACAATTAATGATCGATATCCGGACTCATTTTTTGATGGTCGTGCACCACTTCCCAACCCGGAGGACCAATCTCAGAGCGGAGGTATGACACCAGCCAAGCCTATACAGAGCCCTGAGTATCCTCGTTCGGAAGTCCACGAGTTCTTCGAGACTGGTCTCTGGGGTGGACCATTTGGCGATTTTTTCAATGCCACCGATGTTGTCGTAGAGTATCCGGACCCTACATTCACAAAGATTATGTACATCTATGTGGGCTTTCCGGACTATGTTCAGCTCCTCGTTGAGCATACCGATGGGTTCATCATTACGGACGCCCCAGCTCATAGATCGACGATCATTCTGGAGTGGTTGCAACAGTTCAGACCGGATAAAATCATTACGCACGTCGTTCCGAGTCATCATCATCGCGACCATGCCGGTGGTGTCGGCGATTATGTCGGGGCTGGCGCGACGCTGGTCGTACCAAAGGTCGCGAAGGACTTCTACAACCAGACTGGTCAGCAACTTAAGATAGCACTTTACGATGCCGAAAACCCATTCGTGCTTCGTGACGATGAAGTGGAATTCCGTTCTTTCTGGAAGGAAAACAATCCGCACGCGGAGGACTGGTCTTTCGCTGTTGCAACAAGAGCGCAGCCAAAAGACGGCGACGTGTTCGCCCTCTTCAACGCCGACGTTGTAAATCCAGGAACAGAAGCCCTGCGATGGGATACTGGGTCAGCAAGGGATTTCTTGATCGAGGCTGTTCGCGCAAACGTTCCTCGGTCAGCCATTCTCGTGGGCGCCCACGGTTCCACCAACAATGCCACAAGCACTTGTCAGGCGCTCGTTGAAATAGCTCGGATTGTGGGCTTTGATTATCCATCTTTGAATTCAGCAGACTGGGTGAGAGCACAATGACCGCAATTTTGACATTTTGGTTATTTAAACGTTCGTTGGATAAAATGGGAATGGTGATAAAGTCAACATGCCCTCGTAGACAGCAAGTATAGAATCGATCGTAGTTAGAAAGCGGGCACGGGTTAGTGATTGATTCCACTGCGGACAATTCTCCACTCGTCCAACTCACCAGCTCTGAAATCAAGTATACCACGAACATATAGACTCGATAGATCTGCGGACGGACCCGCACAGGCTCCCGTAACCACGGTTTCAGACGATCGACGAATAGACCTTCGTTTGCCGGTCGGAGTGCTGGAAGATATGAGAAAACGAGAGACATCGAAATAAACAGTTGGGAAAAGAGAAAGGAAGAATGCGGTCCTCGAACGACTCGTTCCATACACACAACAGCTTCAATTTAGGAAGACTACATGGTAGATAGCGATCATAATTTAATAAACTAGTACACATAACCTTACCCTGGCGCACGCTGCACCAGTGAGTTTCATTGTCCCGTTCCCTTAGGCTCCCTCCACAGCTGCCTTGCCAATAGTCCTTCGCATTATAAATTCAGATGCCTGAGCCGCTCTGAGAACCGTCCTCAAGGCGTGTCGCTGGAGCAGACCTGTCGAGCTGGCGCTCTCTGCATTGCGCCTAGATAATGCGACCGCCGCATTTGCATACTCGCGCATTCGGTGTTCATAGAAGCTGATTGCATCCTCCATAGACTGATCGCGTTGAACACATTTTGACAAAACTTTTGTCAGCAGCTCCGCATCGCGTAATGCAGTATTGGCACCCACGTCAGCCATCGGAGTCATGCTGTGTATAGAGTCGCCAATGAGGGTAACGTTGTCTGCTTTCCAGTGCCCGAGATGAGGAGCCGAGCGCAGGTCTATTCGAGTGACCGTTTCAGGTTCGGTATTCTCAATAATGTGTGCCACTTTTGGTGACCACTTCTGAGTACCGTCTTTGGCGCTTGCGAGCAACTGACCTGCTGAGAGCTGTCTCAACGAGTCGTTCGTGCCCGACTTTGGGACCACATACGCCCAGACCACTGACTTTTGCCGTTTTTGATCATTGTTGCGGGCGCTCTGGTCCTGTTGGGCCTCCCATGACGATACGAACATCCAACCCTTTCCTGCAGGGACGATGTTGTTCAGTGAGCCGTCTGTGAAAGCTTTGGGCAGCCGTGGAAGCTCGTCGTGCCCTGGCATGTACCGGCCAGCAATGGCGTTGATCCCCAGATCAACGCGATTCACAGAGGGAAGCCGCTGCTCTCTGACTTTGGATCGGCATCCGTCGGCACCAACAAGTAAATCACCGTCCACAAAGCTACCACCCGTGAAGTGTACCCGAATGCTGCAATCATCTTGATGTTCATATCGAGCAAATTCCCTGTCCCATTGGATGATATTCTTGTCCGAGGCTGATAGCCCATCCAGAAGAATGTCACGGAGCTCGATGCGTCCAATCCCACGCCGCTCAATCTTGTCCGACGCCTTCCCATTCAACAAGGCATCATCACGCTCTGCGAGAAGACCAAGGCTCTCGTCTCGGAAAAACATCTTGGTGCCCGCAGTGGTGCTCAATTTCTGAAAGTGCTCCCACTGTGCTCTAGGTAGACAACTCTGAAGAGCTATCCTGCCCGGACCGTTGATATGGATACCGTATCCGCTCAGACCTTCCTCAGGAGACAATTGCTTCTCGAAAACGAGTATCTCGATATCAGACTTGCATAGACCATTTGCAAGACAGAGACCGCCGAGGCCGCCGCCAATGATGAGGACCCTCATGCTGGACTGAGGTACACAATAGTTTCAGTTGCTTCGGATGTACTGATAAGCGACTGCTCTAATTCTTGTCGAGAGACTTTATGCCAAATCGTGTGGAATGGCCAACTGGACGTCGTGTTATCTTGGGTGATGACCTTTTATACTCAGTACGTTGGGGATGTTCGAGACCCATGTGTTGCCTCGAGTCACAGAATCGATTATGACCGAGAGCGAGGACAGGAGCCTGGTCGGCCTTCGGGGATTTGATAGTATGAGCGAGAGTTCGTCTAGACAGTACACAACTTTGAAAGATGAACAGTAGTTAACAAAGTATCGTTCCCTTCTCCATATTCAGCAGTACTTTGTAGGTACATCTCCAAAATAGCAAGCCCACTAAAGCAGTCAGCCGTCAAAACCGGCTAGGCCACTCAGACATCCTTGTATACGGGTGTTTCCTCAAATGGCGCGCTACTGCAGAAGGTGCGCGGCGCTTCAGAAAGAAAGCTGCGTCAAATGACATCAACACGATGCGTGAGAAAACATAAATGTATTCAGAGCCTTGTTTTGTTTTGTTGAAAGTATGGAAAACCTTGAACTACTAGACGGTAAGTAAACTGATCACCGGGGAACATATGACTTCAGAAGTGATTTGGACTACCAGGTAGAAGAGCCGTTCACTGCGCACTGAAGTAGGGCAAAAGGAGGAAGCTAGCTAGCCTCAGCTAGGCCCATTGTGGGCAAACTGAAATGCTGACTGTAACTGCGGCTGATTGGATCGTGTTGGTTCGCACCATAATGTTGCGGCTGAGCAACTTCAAGCACATCCCGCAATTACGTTTACGCACTTCAAACCTCTCGTGAAACTTTCCGACAACAGCATTCACACTTAGTGCTAACGATGCAATCCGTCTTCAAGGTTGACTTGGGCCGGCGGCGGGAGCGCCCCTTCTTTACCAGACGAGCGCACAGAAAATCCCGCGGCGGCTGCGTGGAATGCAAGAGGACAAGGTACAAGGTATGTGTTTTCGTGACGCACTTACTCTATTGAAAACCGTTGTATTTCCGCGGATGCTCATAAACGGTAGTGTGATGAGTCAAAGCCGAGCTGTGGAAGGTGTTTACGCAGTAATCGTCTTTGCGTCTATGCCGAAGCCCAAGCATGCATCCCTGCCAGGAATTCTTTGCAGCCTACTATACGCCCCGAGCACAGCGACATGGTTGTGCAACAAATTCAAACCAGTATGAGTATAACTCTTGGTTATTCCAACGAAGAGAGCCCACCTGGCATGCAAAACGATGCCAGTTTCCGGGCCTTGCAGTACTTCCACGCTGCTACCGCCCGCACGCTTGGTGGTAGTGCCATAGCACAGGTGATCGAAGCAATTGTCCGAAAGACTGCGGGAACTACACCTTATCTTCTACACATGGTTCTTGCCGTCTCGACAGCTCATTTCAGACGCCTGACATCAGCACATAGAAGTTCGAAGAATTTGCGGTGCCTTAGAATCACAGAAGCAGTGCACTGGCAGAAGGGGCTGCAGCTCTACCAGAAGAGACTCTCTCTCGCCGCATTCGGCCACGAATTCGACTCGATAGTCGCGACAACATTTCTTGCCATTCTCTTCACATTCGCAATGGATGACGAGGTGCCTTCCGATGCCTATACCGCATCCGATGCCAGGTCCCGATCCCTTTCATTCGGCCCATGGGTAGCCATCACAGGGTTTCGGGCTCTGAATTGCGTTCGTGGAGCACTGAGCCCAGAATCTGCGTTCTCACCAATAGTAAATTGGACTCATGATGTCAATGAGACTCTTGAGACCGTCTCGGGTGTCGAAGGCATACCAGCGGCGTTTACGGAGCTTTGTGAGCTCACTCCATCTTCAAACGAGTCGAACAACCCCTATTGCAGAATTTTACATCTTCTCGCACCATTGCTGCAGATAGAAAACAAGGCTGAGAACACGACGAAATTGCTGGCATTCATCGGTCGAACATGGGTGAACCTGCGACCCTTGCTGGCGCAGAAGGACACTCGGGCGCTGCTCCTGCTGTCATGGTGGCTGGTATTACTGGAACATGTAAATCAGTGGTGGGTGGTCACAAGGGCTAGGACGGAACGCAAAGCAATCGTGGAACACTTGTCGACGTGTTCGGACCCAAGGGTACAAGCCCTACTAGTGTGGCCAGCTTCTCATGGCTCTGTCGATTGCTCTTGGATCTGGACATAATACTGGTAACATAGCAACACCAACCAATGCACAGAATTAAAGAAAACTTATATTTTCGATTGCAAGCAGCCGACAATCATGGAAAACATCACAAGTAAACTACACAGAATCTCCGCCAGGACATCTTCTAACAATTAAGCGCATCCAAGTCGAGTTCCTCTTTCCGTCGCCTCATCAAAAGCTTCCCGCTGGGATCGGGGATCAAAGACATACCAATGGCGAGGATCTTCGGGTCATCACCTTTGGGCAGCTTCCAATCGTATTTCAGCAGGAGGTGACACAACGCGATCTTGATCTCGTTGGCAGCAAAGAACCTCCCGGGACAGGCGTGCTGCCCATGCCCAAAACCGAGATGCTGCTCACTTGTGCTGACCAGATGCGCCATCTTGTCTTTTCCAGGAACGTCCCTCATGCCCAGAAATCTGTAGCCATCAAACCTATTGGGTTCATCGTAGTACTGTGACTCTTGCATGTGGGCACTCGAAACCAATATTCTTGTGCCCTTACGGACGACATAGCCATTCGACAATTTGACATCCTTGAGTGCCTTTCGTCGCCAGGTTGCTTCGTAGTGAGAAATTAGTGGTCAGCTGCCTCGTCAAACCTTCCTTATAGTCGATACACGGAGCTGTGGGTCCTGTAACGTACCCAAGAGAACAGGCTTCATGCGCTGCGCCTCTTTGATGACACTATCCATCAACTTGAGGTCGTATAATGCCTGTTTGGTGAGACCATGCGATCCGAGTACTTGGATGACCTCCTCACGGAGCGGTGTAAATAGTTCTGGGTGACGAGCGACCGAGTACATAGTCATCTGTAATAAGTCGCTTGTGGTGTGGATGGCGACAATGGAGAGTGTAATTTGCGCAACCGCCGGATCGTACGCGGTCGTGTATTCCTGCTCAAACCATTCAAGCGAATCATTGTATACTGGTGGCCTTCTCCCTTGCGCCATAGCCTCGGCTTTTCGCGTTTGGCGCTGCTCAAGTAGTGGTTTGAGGGCTCGGCGTGCTGAATCGAGTTTCTCGCGGACCTCTTTAGCCTCTGGCATAAACCAATGAACCAGAGGACGAAGAGAGCGCGGCCAAGCTCTCAAATTATCGCCGTATGTAAATGCCGCGGTTGTATACTCTGATGATGCTTTGATCCATTCTTCGTTGCGGCAAAGCTCTTCGCCTATAAACACCCGCGAGGACAGGCGAGCGATGAGGCTCAAAATATCGCGCGAAGGAAGAATCTCATGCCATTCTATTGACATTAATCACCAATGTCAGGTTAAAAGCGTATGTCACTGGGTGTCCGATAATGCCATAATTACGTACCAGTCGAGTCAGTCAAACCCTGCTGAAGTGCTACAGTTGCTTCTTTCGACAGAGGCATCGTAAGCTTAGCTGTTGTCTCCGATAATCAGTGCTCGCAATCCTTGAGAAGATTTCAATCGGGTTTTAGGTTAGTGACTTGCTAAGAGCTTTTGTCAGGTTCTTCATCACAACGGTTGTAATTTTATCGTCCGACTTGAAAGGTTCCCATCCAGGTACATAAGCATGAGAATCCTGTGAAAGTGTTAATATTCTAGCCAGGAAGCTCACTCAAGTGGTGTCTCATCAAAGGTCTCGACAGATCTACTTACGTCTTGGGCGACCTTCATGAAGTCCAGGTCGGGATGACTCTTCAGTTCGTTCACAAACTCTGGAGGCAAGACTAGTGCCTCACCCCAATCAGTGTAAACCCTGTACGGTGTCTCGGGATACATTGATCTGCCTTTGGTCATGACCTCTTTGCTACCTGTCATGAACCTGTTCACGGAACTCAGATGAGAAAGCTCCCCACGCTTTTTGGGATTCAGAATGGGTGCCGCATGGCTGCTTTGCTTGTTAAAGTGATATAACACCATGATAAACAGCAACAAAGGAGCCACGTATGACACATGGTGCTCGAAAGGCGTTGTAATGGACACAGGTCCAATGCCTTCCTCGAACTGCCACCGAAAGGGCATGATGGGTAAACAGCTGGACACAGGAAAGAAGAGGAAAGAGCAGGATTTGTAAAGGACGAATTCCAGTAGTAAGGCGTCGGCGTTGACAGGCAGAACATCGTCCAAGTGTTAGAGAAGGGGTGAGCCTCTATATATACCTACTCAGTCTACATTGCTGGGACAAGTCAAAACACGGCCTTTGACGGTCTTTGACAGCAAATACATCTATTACCTCACTGGAAATTCAGAGCCGTTGCGGTGAGCCAATATTCCAACAGCCACCCAATTGCTGACCACATCTGAGTCCCGTTACAGTGGGTCGTTATTCACCGGGACCGTCTCGGCGCCGTGTCGTAATCGTAACCGTGTCTCGGAGTCTCCAGAATCGGGGTCTCACTGCAGCCCGCGGCCCTTTCCGGTTGGTGCTCTGCGCTATAATGTTGAAGCCAAGCTGTATTTCACGGTATTATCTGCGACGATCACGTCTGACCCAATTGAGAAGTTGAGGAGTGGTCAAGGCCAAGCCTACCTCATGATGTTCTCTTGCAGAATGTTCCGCACAGGCCATGATTGTCAATGTCTACTTTCCACCATTGTCTGTACATGTGCTTCGGAATCCGAGTGACATATGCCGAGCACACCAAATTCAGAATGAAGAACCTACGTCATTGGAACATGGTAGTCCATTGATGAAACGCATTTAATCTAATTACATTGACCTGTCACGTATCGTTAAGCAATTGTTTTTCACTCGCTGGTTCTGGGACGGGCTGCCCTTTCTAGATTATCGTGTCCTGTCAGTGATGATGGGCGGACTCTCCATTCTTGTGGATGGCTGGGCTGCCAGAAACCTGGCTGATCCCAAAAGACACCTTGCCAGTTCGCAGAATGTGTGACATAACCCTGACAGCGATGATAATATAGAATCAAACAAGAACATAGAGCCGAATGTCCAGCTAGAGATAGCACCGGCAATGCACCGGCAATACGACATTGAAGCTGCCGCTTACATAAACCACTATATCTGCAAGCTCGCATACTGACAGCAACGTTGCAGGATTCCTACTCTCGATGCTTCACCTACCGTACTGCAATTCAGATCCACCATGAGGCAGGTAGAACTAATAGCAGCCAGCGGAGTGACCACCGCAGATTCTCCCGCAGTTCTCAACGTAAGCGACCACGCGTTCTCAGACATCGATGGAAACTGGACTGGTTTCCCAAAACAGTCAGGCCAATCTTTATCGTACTGGCTACAGGGTGTTCGATGTGATCCTTTGCTCGACCACAGATCGACACCAGATCTACCCACGTCTGCAGACATAGTCGTCATCGGATCCGGCGTGAGTTGCTTCTTGATTCGATGCGTCCTCGGGCTCGACTGGGGATGACACACCTGAGTAGGATATTTGTCCTTCTAACGAATGCAGATAACGGGAACGCTAGTTGCGAAGCACTGCCTTGAGACATGGCCTGAAAAGAGCGTCGTCGTTCTTGAGGCTCGCGAGTTCTGCAGCGGTGCTACTGGAAGAAATGCCGGCCATTGCAAGCCAGACCAGTGTGAGTTAGGGATGCCATGACAGTCATTCCTCTAATTGACGGACAATTGTAGGGCGAGGTTTCGGCAAGTATGAGAAAGCGTTCGGCACAAAACAGGCCCTGTCTGTAGGTGTTTCCTCCCGCCGTTCTCTTTGGCAATTAGTTGACAGCACAAAACAGATACTGCAAAACGAGCAGGAGACATGGGAAAACCTTGTACGATAGTCAGTATAACCCCTTTCTCGCATGGTTGCGTACCTGTCTTGCATGAAGGCCTTCCAAAACGTATCGCTTCGGGCTCTGTAGCAGGCAACTAACATATAATAGCGTCCGCAAGAATGATGTTGACTGTGATCTCTGGGTGGGAGATACCCTCGACGTCGCCATGACTCCGGAGGTCGCAACACTAGCCAAGGACGTTTTCGAGCGATGTCAAGCCGCAGGAGGAAAGGTCGATCACATCAAAATCACACTTGACCCAGGCGAGGCCAAAAGAATCTCCCGCCTCAAGGGAGCACAGGCGTGTTTTGCGTGGCCTGCGTCGACCTTGCAACCGTGGAAACTAGTGGCTCACATCATGCAGAGGAATGTCGCACAAGAGCCCCGTTTCAACCTACAGACATATACTGTCGTTCGGAAGGTCACAGCGAGTAACAAGCCTGGAAATTGGATCGTACATTCTGACAGGGGCGAGATCGAATGCTCTCGCGTCGTCCACGCCACAAACGCGTACGGCGCGGCAGTTGAGCCCTCCCTACGAGGTCTAGTCATCCCCACACCGCACATGTGTAACAAGGTCGTTCCACCGACGAGTCATGCCGGTTCGAAGGCATTGAAGAATTCGTATGGGGTGTTGTTGCCCGACGGGGCCCTCTTTAGCGTCAACCCACGACCGACCTCCGATGGGGTCATAATGTTTGGAGGATCAAACCCCGGACAAAAGAAGTTTCAAGAATGGCTGAAGGAACATCCTGAAAGGTGGACTGACGATGGCCTGTCCGAATTTCCGGAGATAACGGAAGCTGTCAAGGCACTCGCTGAGGAGCACCTCGAAGGCTGGGCAGCCGCGGTGCCGGGGCCTGGAACGCTGTATGACTACAGCTGGAGTGGGATCATCGGTAACACAACTGATGGTGTGCCCTTCATAGGTGAGCTACCGGGGCTCCCGGGGCAATGGATATGCGGGGGTCATAATGGGCATGGAATGGCGAGGACATTTACAGCCGCTCCTGGGCTTGTGAAGCTGATGAATGGTGCGTCGTGGGAGGAGGTTCGTTTACCTGACCCCTACCAGATCACAGCAGGAAGGTTGGCGAGGTTGAGACAATCGTCGAAAAAGGATGTTATTGCTATCTGACCTGGCTTAGAAGCAAACATGCCTAAGAGCTGCTTTTCTCAGCCAGGGTGGCGCGCAGCGCTACACATATATGCACGAAAACGCATGTTCAGAGGCGCTGTTGAGTACATCGTATAAAGCCTCTTTACTCTTGTCACTAGGGCCGTTCGAAGTGCTAGATTGGTGACATTTACCCCAGGTGTCAAGGTATCCAGCCTACAACTATAGAATACCTGCGACAGCAATGAAAATGCTGACGCAATAAACTAGACGATTCTCGATTATCGTCAGCTCATCTATTTCGAATACTGAATCCAGAGTCCCAAATATTTACCATCTTGGTTGAAGAAGTTGAGGGCCACCATGATGGATACAGCTGTTCAGGAGTAGTAACAGGCCGTGAAAGGGTAAGGGTAGTCTGGCAAGCACTCAGAACTGAGATACACACAGTCACTGATAGAATGGTTACGGATTTTCGGATATACGTTTGGGCACGGGTAACCGGGCAGTCTTTTCGGCTGTAATCCTTGTTGAACGAATGAAAGTGTTTAGTACTATAACAATGCTAGACACATGCCGGTCTGTCGTATTGGTGCAGGTAACGTTGCTCTACTGCTTCTTGTCACAGGATATGATTACTTGGACAAGCTTTGATGATTTAATTGCTCTCTGCCACACTTTCCAGCAAACTTCTCCGCGAGTACGAAATGATATTAATCCTGGGAAAATATCGGTTACACAACGCGGCAAGATCCAAAACCCTGGAATTGTGTGGACCTCGACAGTTCATATGAACACCTGATATAGAAACGACGGCAGGCCATGTCACTCACTCCACAAGGTCAAATATTTATCACATCACGCATTAAGTGTGCAAGCTGTTGGGCAGCTACAGTACCACCCAAGGTGCAGTCGCCAAGCAGGCCCCTCAAATTCCATACATGGTCAATCATTTCTGGACTCCACCTAGGGCCCAAATAGTCCGAATGGGAGCCACATCCTGGCCCATTGCTACTGCATCTGGACATAAACTCGATCACAATTTCATCACTTCAGCTCATGCATGGACGGTCAACACCCCACAACTACCGGCATCCTACAGCAGCCGATGAGCCAAATAAGCAATGAATTATGCAACTTGCGTCGCGTCTTCGGCTGTAGCAAACCCTATTACCCCTACCCACCATACCGCTCCGTAATCAGGGCGTTTCCGAACCACGGCTACTGCGGAAGCATCACGCGTCACCGCAATACAAAATTTGTGCAGCCCCGATCCAGAGTTATGTGGGTAAGATCCTCAGATTTATCGCCTTCTCTCAATCGACTACTAAGCAGCACACATTCTCATCAGAAAATTATGACGCCGGCCGTTCTTTCCATTCAGAGTGCCACACTTGTCAAAAGTGACCCATGCAATCACTACAATGATTTCCTCATCGAGAAGCTTCATTTCGACGTTCCCCTACGACACGATCGATATAACGCTGAACGATTGCTGCTGGTTGCTCACATGGTGTATGGAGAGGCGCTCTCCGACAAGCTGGATGCTTGTGACGGAAAAAAGCTCACCGATCCCAGCACGCGATTTAGCCTCCAGGACCGGCCAATTATTCTCTATCTTTGTGGAGGACCAGGCGCCGACAATCCCCCTTGCCGTGTGCCAGATATGAATCGATGGCTACTAAATAGGGGCTACCAGATACTCTATGTGGACTACCGTGGCTGTGGGGAGAGCAGCCCGGTAAATGCTAGGATTCTGAAGAAGCGAGGAATGAGTGACATGGAGATGGCGAATTATATCAAACAATTCTGTCAAGACAATATTGTCCGCGATCTCGAGGCGATTCGGCTTTGTCTCTCAGTCAATGCCAAGAGCATTGAAGGCGAAGACAGCTCCTCGATCAAATGGACAGTTCTCGGCCAATCATACGGCGGTTATATCAGCCTGACATATCTTTCCACACATCCCGAGGGCTTGTTGGAAGTTTTCATCACAGGAGGCTTGCCTCCATGCGGAATGGACATAAAAGACTATTTCAAGGTCGAGTATACGAACATCGTCGCTCAAAACAAAACATTTTACGCAATGTACCCGGATGCCGCTCGTCTGGTCAGAAGCATCCTTCAATTGATTGCACAAATTGGGCCACGAAACATCCATATGACTGGCAGAGGGTACATGACTGGTCAGAAACTCTTGACTTTGGGACGACAGTTTGGTTCCAAGGTTGGGTTCCCAGAAGTGTATAACTTGCTTCAAAGGATGCACACCAACCTGTCGACAACAGGAAAGTTGTCTCCAGAAACGATCAGAGAGTTCGAGGGAGTCCTTCATGTCGATGAACGGCCGCTGTACCCTATTCTTCTCGAGCAAACATGGTGCAGTGAAGGGGCTACGAGGTGGGCGGCTGAGAGAGTAGCATCAAAGCTAAAAGGTTTCGAGTATCTGAGGATGGATTCCGACGGGAACTATCCTGATCCTGCACAGACGCCACACGGTCTGCCAATTTATTTCACGGCCAACACCTATTGCAAGTTCCACTACGACACGCACGAAGAATTGATAGACCTAAAGGGCGCAGCCCAGATCCTTGCAGAGCATCCATGGGAGTGCTCTTACGACTTTGAGCGGCTCGCCGAAAACCAACTTAGTGTACCAGTATATGCTATGAGCTTTGTCCAGGACATGCACCTTGATCTTGGCGTTGCTGAGGATACGGCAGCCAAGGTGGGCGGCCTAATTCTTGTGGAAGATGCAGGGTGGCATCAGGACATTCGTCACAAGCCTTCTGCGGTGTTGGAGAAATTGTTTGGAGCTCGCGACACTATCAATGAAGCATCGGGCAAAGCTCAGTCCGGGTAAGTCGCTCGTGACGGCAAAGAGGGAAGGGAAAGCCTGTTGCGTAGTCAGGTTTGAAGAAGCACACATAGGGGTCTGCCTGGTCTGCACTTTCTCAGCTCTCAGAACTATATTTCACAGTGTTTACCGAATCTCACCATTCGAATTGTAATCCTGGCCAGCAACTTATTCACTTCGAACTTTCTGCCTCTTAGGGGATCTGATTGGGAACCTTCGAATGTTTGCCCTAGCCATGGTCATTCACTTCATGCAATGCGGTCATTGCTCAAGTGACAGCAGTTGAGAGCCCATTTGAATTGCCAGGCCCACTTCTTGCAAACGCCCACCTCAACACCAACATTGAATGGAGCGCCGACAGCAGGGCGCATTCACTTTGTCTCCCTCGATTTAAAGGTGTTTCCTTCCACATCAACATTTTTTCCATCCCGCCCAACTTCCTTCCACTACTCCACAAAGCGCAATTCTTCTTCCACTTGGATCACTTTGTAATCTTTCAACACCGCCCACCATGCCCACCCCGGACCCAATGGCCTCAATCTCTGGCCCTCCAGCCTATCCCGAAGGCTTGGCGTCGAGCAATGAGAACTACTACACCGAGGCGGACATGAGCGATTCCAGCTTTGTCACGGCGCCTGAACAAGCGGCCTGTAGTGAGAATGGTGAAAACGACCACACGATTGACGGAGTCAATGAAGATACAGTGAGTCTAAGTGCCAGCCAGGCATATCCTTCCTTTGCATGTCTCACTCTTTGATTTAGGAGGTTACGATCGAATCCCCAACGTCTCGAGCATTATTGTCCCTCGGCGATCACGTTGGACATCATGTCGGCTCAATAGATCAGTACTATTCTTTTCCTACCGAGGGATACGACGGAGACGACGAGCATGTCGACGAACAAGAAAATACGGCAGACGAAGATTTGACTAGAGATTCTTGCGCCAACCTCACAATCAGCGACACGGCCAATGACGACTTCTCTGGCGCGTCCCAGCATTTGATGAGTGTCCTGTCCTGGGAAGTGACCCCATCAGACATCGAAATGTTGGAGAACGACAACTTGAAAGACCAGCGGAGAACCCGCAACCCGTGGCGAACTCTCGCACGCTTTCGCACATCGAAGAAGACCACACGGTGCCGCTCGCACCGGGAATTCCCAATCCAGCGTCTTCCAGCCGAATTAATTATAGCCATCTCGCAGCACTTGCCTATCGAATCGACCGCCTGCCTGGCGTTGGCATGTAAGGTAACCTACTCGGCCCTGGGGACGAGCTCGTTCAAGATGCCGAAGTCCAACCGATGGAAATTTCTCCTCCTCATCGAACACGAGAAGCAGAATTCCTTCGCCTGCTTCGCATGCCTCAAGCTCCATCGACCTTCTCGTTCGACTGCAGACTTATTCTGCAAGTGTGCATCACTCTCTAGATTCATGTCAATTCTGTGCGTGCCTCAGACTATTTCAACTGGTCTAGTCAAGTTGATTGGGCGCAAGTACCTTGAGGATCCAGAATCTTGTCACGAATACCTTTCTTGGGCTACGTTGGCAAAAAAGTCGACGAATCGATATATGAAGGCTGCGTCGCATGTCATCCCCAGAATGGTGGACGGAAATTTGTTGATTCGACAGGAGATTTACATGCATCCCTTCCACAAAGGCAAGATTACGGTACGTTCTCTGATGGAGCTGAAGGAGTTGCTATCAGCAAATTCCTCCATTTTCTTCGCTAAATTCCCACCACTATGTCTCCATCGGACATGGACATCCCTCATCACGAATTTTAGTGTGCTGGATGAATGCGCCAACCCGACCAAATGCGTTTATTGCGCACATTATAGACACATACCACGGTGTTATAGCAATGAGGTTGTGCCGGAGACAGCACGGAACGGTCTTTTACCGCCTATGAAGGCTTGCTTCCTCTTTCATGACCAGCCCTGCGAGGCCTGCACGCCAAATTCGGAAGGCATCTGTGGAGGCAATATCGAGGGCTGCAGAAAATGTAGCACGGATTTCTGCATTTCGTCCCGTGATGTCCTTGGGGTCGGGCATTGCCTGGTACTCTCGTGCTGGAAGGACATTGGCGGCGTTGGGCCAGGCCAGGCTGCTAAATGGGACGACTTTGTCGTGCCGAGCCGCAAGCGGTGGATAGAACCTGATTGCATGGAAGACCGTCGACCACAGAGCGAGGTGGGCCAGGTATACAAGGCTTTTGAGAATATCGTCGGTGGCAAAGCTGGAAGTGGTGGAGAAACGAGCCCATACCGCCCGCAGCCGGACTGGAAGATGGTTCGTGACCTGACCCGCCGAGTACGCAAGACCTTTGATTACGACGGCACTACTCACAGCAGGGAGGTGACGGAACTTGAGGAAGATGACAGTGATAGTCTGGGATCCAGTACAGATTTCTGATTGGGGAAGGTGGTGCATTCGACGAGGTAAGGTGCAAGGCACGAATTGTCTATGGTGGACTGAGATTTTGTGTGTTTCGGCTAGGAAATGCACGGCGTAAGCTGGGAGCAGGCTTTGCATGACCTTGGTCAGCCGTAAAGAAATAGCAATTCGACTAGACCTGTCTGGTGCTCCTACAAAAGTCATGAATGAGTGTGCAAAGTCCTCGTCATCATTGTGAAGTCGTATTCCGTTTCCTGTAGACAAGTATCGGCGCTGTTTAAGGTATGGTCCGCAAAGGAAGAGGTCTTGATAGACCATCGTGTTGATTAATCAAGATTGCGGTGGTGAATTGATGCTTTTCTTGTGTCAGAGGCACAATTGGATGCGGGAGATCATGAGCGCGTGGCATCTGAATGGCCGAGGAGTGTTGATGTCAATGAACGGTCGCCGTCAATTTGTCGGTATAGGCTAAATTAGATCATTGAAGCTGTCTCTAGCCTTGTTGCAGTCCTCGTTCGGAAGAGGGAACTGTGGGAGGCTCTTGCAAAGACGGCGAGCAGGCTAACCCTCAAGGTACGTCGTTGAAAGCCGACATGCACAATTAATCATGGCCAACTTAGCGCCTTGCCTTTTCCTCGCCCTTGTGACGTCCTAGTTTATTGCACAAACTCGGGGAAAGACTAGTAAATAAAATACTTACCTCTAAGTTCTCAAGTAAGTTTTTATCGACGCAAAAACCAGTAGAAAACTGACGCATTAGTGAGTACCTCAATGTCATCTGTTTTCATCTATTTAAGAAAACGGACCTCCCCCTTTTTAAGAACTCTTCTTGCTCTTAGATATGTTCGAGTACCTAGCTATAAGACTAGTCTCACTTGGACATCATTTTTTGACCAAGGCGATCTACACACATTTAAAGTCGAGTCATCCCGCAAAACTCTCACCAAATTGCACCCCAAAAAATCAACTTGCAACAAACAGACACACCAACACAAGAACACAAAAAAAACACAAAAAAACACAAAAAAGGAGTTGAAAAAATAATCCTACAGTCATTACTCCACCCGACCATTCCGCCACTATTGCCACCGACTAAACCCCGGATCCTAACCGCACAAGCACACAAAATGTTGACAGGCAAAGGAAAGCAAGTCGCCGCCAAGCCGGATTGGAAGGAACAACTTGCAATGCTAGATCAAGACGTGGGCTGGGACGCGCCATCAGGCTTGGACTGGGCGGAAAGTGGCAACCCGGAGAAACAAGAAGTATTTACCCCGAGTCCACACCCGAGCAGGCACGACCATAACGGACTTACTCACGATCCGCAGTCAAAAGAAAATGACCACCATGTCTTCCTGGCAGAAGCCGAAAGTGGAGATGCTTCAACAACGATGATGACCGACTACGCTTACGCCGCTTATTGCAGTGACTTCGCAGCCTGCTACAATGACTACGCTGTCTACGACGATACATCACAATACCTCGATAGCGACAAATACTTCGATGCATGGGGATGTATCCTGGAAGATGACCCAATAACATCGCTAGAGGTGCAGCAGAGCATTTGGGAGGCAGCTGTGGGGGAGTCACGCGGCGCAGAGAAGGGCCAGCACCACCACACCAGCACCCGCAGCACAGACGACGGACGCCAAACACATTTCTGCTCACAAGCCAAACAAGCACAAGAACAATGTGTCCAGCCAAAGAGCCAGCTAGTGGCCTACCTCTACCACCGCTTTGGAGAGGACATTCGTTACGAGAACCGGTGTTGCTGCCACGAGTGGCTGTACGACTGCGTCGAGGAGGACAGGAAGGCTACCAGAACGGAGTACTCCCTAACGGGCGGGGGCCTGCCGAAGGACGATTGCGTGTTGCTGCCATACCCGCAAGAGGAGATGCCGGGGACGGAGCACGCCGACAAGCCGGTGCTGATGGTGACGACGCCAGAGGGGGAAGCATTGTTCCCTCACGACATGGGGGACTACCCGGAACCAACAATCTCGAGCGAACGGCCGATTGGAGGGGAGATGGTGGCTCAGGTTCGAGACTACGTAACGCCGTATGAGGACGAAGACGGTGCGGACATTTGAGAACACTGGAAGACGTCGGGCATTTCAGCAACGTGCATGAGACGCAGGGTGGTGGGCATCTGGATATAAAGGCCTAGAATAGAGAGAACTCGACACATGAACGAGCTTGATGAAATTAACAAGAGCATTTCATCAAAATGGCACTCTCCCAATTGATTCTCGATTGTGCAAACCTTGCCGCCCTCAAGGTTCATCCCTAGCTCGGTGCTTGTGTGCACATATGCGGATCACGAGATCACTGAGGAAAGACACTAATAATTATCGCCACGAAATCTTCAGGCCACATATGATTCATTGATAGGGGTTATGGGGGCTAAGCAGTCTGTATTCCTGGTGTTGTGTAGGAGCTGTCTTGTTGCCTTCCTTCGTGTCGTTCGCTCAAAAGTCAGGACTCCAGGAGATTCCGTAGATGTCTGAATGACCGTTTCCTCCAACTGAAATATCCCCATGTGATCTCCTCCTCCACAATCTAAAGGTCAGAATCTTCGTCGGGCAGCGGTGTCTTGACGGCGCTCTTGAATGTTCGGGCGAACGTCAGCCACCAGTTGAGGTCCTTGTCCTGAAGGTAATTGTTGCTGGTCTGGAGTGCCGCAGTGCCAGAAGACATGCCATCTCCTGATTTGCTCGTCGGCTGCGATGCTTGTGAGGGATTTCCCTGCGACTGGGAGGTGGAAGTGCCGAAAGGGCCGGATCCTGAGAATGACGACATCTTGTGCTCGTCGTCGCGCAGAATGACGGTTGTATGGTGTTTTGTTGTGGACTGTAATTCGGCAGGGATCGAGGTGGTGTGGTCTGTGAACAGCCGGATCGAGGTTAGCTTGCGAACAACAAAAGGCCTTATAAATGAGGTTGGATTTACCTGTGTGCCGGGGAGGGGGCCACTCTTGACTGGGCCTCAAAAATTCAGTCGGTCATGTACTTAGGGACCGTTTTATGGTCAAAGGCGAGAGTCGTGGTGCTCAGGATGTGGACATGGCGTTGCGTAGCAGGCAACCGTCAAAACGGGGGACAGAAATGGCTGCCTGGGGTTGACGGACGCACGACAGCTGTGGGCGGCGAGTCTTGGTGGCTAAGGAAAGCTCCAACAAGAAATAATTATTGGCTACAGCCAATTCAAGGCGACCTGCCTCCAAGCACCAGGTCCAGAGATGCTGCCGGCCGCCTGGATCCTTGGCCAGGTCGAACATTCAGGCATGTGGCCCGCAAGCGGGCGTCGGTCTTCGTGATTACATATCCGAACGTCGAAGACTCTAAGCCCTAGGTTCTGGGCGCAGGGCAATCCAAGTGCAGGACGAGTATGAATTCAAACATGGTATCCCCCCCCTCCCCAACCCCCCCCCCCCCGAGTAATTGAATGGCTGATCAAGTCTCAAGAATCTGTACTCATGTAATGATCACGACAAACTTTTACAGGGTCTGGTAGTGGTCTGTAGGGTTCATATTAGCAGTGACGCTATCGAAGTAATTAATACTCAGATACTTGGACTAACGACTGAAAGGCAGGTATGAAAGCTGTCCACTGGTAACGATCGTGTTCCGTATGTATTAAGCTCTTTAGTTCTTTTCTTCTTGGACCGCTAGTGTCGCTGCATGTGGGCGGTCACTGCAGTCCACCCTCATGTAAAATATCCTGCCGAGGCCCTATTGGTGCGACGGCGCTGCGGGCAGGCTCAGTGACTGTAGTTGGGCCACAGCGCACAGACCACTTGCAGCCCCAAGGCCCTCTGCTTCTAAGGCCTGAATACAATCGGAGACAACCTTTCCTCCTATTCTTTTCATCTAATAAGTCAAGATCTTACTCAGAATTCTACAATAATGAGCAGGACTTGAGATTATAGCCTCTTCCATGTCACTCTTGTGATAATCGATGACCTATTGCTGATTAATCGCAGGTTGGATGGCTTAGACCCTAAATTGGACCACCCCTTCACGTACAGCTGTCTCCTACTAAAAAAGCCTGAATACTTACCCACTTTATGTACTTTTATGAGAATTGGAGTAATATATTAATTGCATAGAATCTCTTTTTTAATTGAATGACGCTCTATAGGTCGTATTAAGATTGCTTAAAGAAAATAAATAAAACGTTTTTACTAATTTAAATAAAATATAATTTTATTACTAATGTATTTATTCGATTTTGTTTTTGAAATATTGTATATATAAATCTTACATGGAAGAAAAATCATCGCGGTTTTGATTATTTAATTGGAAAAGTTTCTGTTAGCTGGGTTACGTATTCGAATATAATACGCGTTTAGGGATATTAATATTTATTTAGGTATAAGTTGCTTATTTAGTTATAGAAAGCAGCTAAAGGCTACATTCCTTTAAAGCTTACTTATAGTTATAAGCTTAATAAATTAATTAGCTTATTATAAATGCTAATACTATAATTTATATATTAATAGTTTTTTATTAAATATATATATATATTTATAAGTATTAAAAACCCTTTTAAAAACTATTTTTTATATAATTTAAATTTAAAACTTTAATAATTAAAATAATTACTTATATACTTTAATTAAATGCTTAAATAATTTAAATATTTAATTTCCTTAAATTTATTTAAAAGTTTTTAAAATAAGCAGGTTTACTAAATTTAAATAAAAGTTACTATAATACTTTTATTATTAAAATTATTTTTTAAATTAAGATTTAATAATTACTTTTACTTTATAAATAACCTTATTTTAAAATAATTTATAAACTTATAATTTTACTATTTAAAAAATAAATAAATAAAAATAAACCTTTAAATTAAGCTAATACTAATTAGCTTAATTAATAATACTAATATAACCTTATTTTAAATATTAAATAATAATAAAATAAAAAAAAATAAAAAAAAAAATATAATTAGCAAATTTAATAAACTTAATAAATTTAGTAAATAATAATAAATAATAAAAATATAAAATTAATTAATTAATTAATTAATTCTTAATATATAAATATTAATATTATAAAATTTAATTAAAAATATTTATTAAATACTAAATAGTATTTAACCTATAAAATAATAATAACCCTTATTATTTAAACCTTTAATATATAAGCTATATTATAAAAACTTATTATAAAATATATTTTTAAAATAAATTTAAAAAAATATAGCTTAAAAGTATAAATTATTAATTAATATAAACTAATTTAAAAGCAATAAAACTAATTTAAAATTTTACTATTTAAATTTAATATACTTTATTATTATAAATTAATTCTACTTTTAATAATCTTTTTTTTTACTAAATTAATTAATCCTAATTTATATAACCTTTAATTTTAATAGTTAATTTATTAATAATTATAAGCTATTTAAATATTTTATTTAAATTAACTTTAATAAATATATTTATTAAATTATTATTACTATTAATTTAATATAGCTTATAAATCTTTTATTACTTATATAACTATTAAAATATTATTATATTTATTATTAATTGCTTTTTTTTAATAATTTTTAATTTAATAAAATACTTATAAAAAAAGTATAAATTTATATAAATTATTAATAATATTATAAAAATATTAAAGTAAGCTATAATTTATTAAAAAATTATAATAAATATAATTTTTATATTAAAACTATTAACTATACTATAAATTTTTAAAATAAATATATTTTATATAATTTTTTTATATTTAATTAAAAATTAATATAAAATATTACTAATTATTTTTTATTTTATAAAATTAATACTTTTTTTTTATTAATTAAAATAATTAAAAGGCTAATTTAAAAGCTAAAATCTTAATTATTTATAAAAAAATTATTTATAAAAACTATAAATTTAATTAAAATAAAGTTAATAAAAATATATTATAATTTATAGCTAAAGTTTTATATTTATTATTAAAACTAATAATTAAATTTAATATATATAATATTATTTAAATTTTAAATTTAAATAGCTATAAATAAATTAAAAGCTATTTTTAATTAATATATAAATATTAAATATATTTTATAAATATATTATTTAAAATATTTTTAAATATAATTTAAAAATTTAATATTAATTAAATTAATTTTTATATTTTAACTTTTTTAAATAAAATTAATAAATTTATTAAAATTTATAATAATTTTTATATTATTAAAGTTAAAAAGGTTATTAATTATAAATTTAATCTTTAGTTTATAATAAATTTATTTTTTTTAAATTTATTTTTTTTTTAATATTAAAAAAGTAAAAATAATTATTAAAAAGATATTATTTATTTATATAGCTATAATATTAAAATAATTTTAATTATAAATAAAAATTAAAAAATATAAATTATAAATAAATATTTTTATATTTAATTTATTATAATAATAGTAATAATATATTATTTATTAATAAATATTTACTTTAGTAATATTATAAAATAATTTAATAACTTTTATAATAATATTTGTTAAATATTTATTTTAAATTTTTAATAATAAGCTTATAAAAAATGTATATTTTAATACTATTTTAAATTATAAATAAGTTTAAATAATATTTTAAAACTTAATAATTATATTTATTTTTAATAAAAATAATATTAAAATTATAATTAAATATTAGTTAATTCTTTATATAGTTAATAATTATATTAAAATATCTTTTTTTTTTTATTATTATATTTTTATATAATAAATTATAACTTTTTATATAGCTTTTTAATTTTATTTTTAATTTTTTAAATTATATAAAACTTAAAAAATTTAAATATATTATATTTATTAAAATAATAAAGTTTAAATTAAAAAATATTATATTTAATTAAATTTAATATTTTTTAAATATTAAATTTTTTAAAAAAATTATTAAAAATAATAATTATTTTATTATAATAAAACTTAAATATAAGCTTATAATTATCTTTTTTTTACTAAATAAATAAAGTTTTAATTAATTTAAACTTATTTTTAAATCTATAAAATTATCTTTATTATTAAAACTAAAAAAGCTTAAAAAATAGTTAATATTAATCTAAATTAAATTTAATTTATAGTAAAACTTATTATTATAATTTAATACTAGCAACTACTATTATATTATTTTTTAAATCTATATTATCACCACAATAATATAATTAAACTAAAATTAACTAAAAAATAATTAAATTATTAAATAAATTAAAAATTATATCATAACTATTAATAGCTAAAAGCTTATACAAGCCCTACCAGCCCTCCTTCTCTCTCCAAACTTAAACATTACTCTACAAAAAAAGTACTAAAATATCTAATATTACTAGTCCATTCCAAATATTTAAAGCTATATTAACTTACTATTTAATAATTAACTTCCTTAACACTTTTATAGCTTTCTAAATTACCTTAACTTTTTTTAAAATAAATAATATAAATAAAAAGTTAAATATTATCTAAAAATAAACTTTAAAAATAAAAAATATAAATATAAATTTATTTAAACTAGCTATATTATTAATAGCTTTAAAAGCTATTTAAAATATAAACTTTATAAAAAACATATTTAAAAGCTTAATATATAAAATCTTATATACTTATTAAATAAAAGTATAATATTACTTAACCTTTTTAATAAACTAATAAACTTTAATAAATACTTATTTATAAATAATTTTTATAATTTTAATAATACTTTTAAACTCTATAAAAATAAAGTTAATATTAATATTATAAATAATATAGTTAAAAGGTTTAAAATAAATATTAATTTATATTAAATATAAAGCTTTTTATATATTTTTTATTAATAAAAATAAAAAAAAATGCTTAACTTAAAATAAAATTACTAAATTAATTATATATAAAACTAATTTATTACTTAAATATATAATATTAATAATAAGCTTATAATTAAAATTTAAATTATTTTTAAAATTAAATTTAAACTTTTTTAAAATTAAATTATAAAGTTAATAATAATAATAAAATTTAAAAATTATTTTTAAAATAAAAAGTTTAATAATATACTTAATATTAATTAATAAATAAATTAATTACTTAATAAATAAATATCTAAAATAACAGTATAATTATTTAAGTTTAAATTTAATTAAAAATATATTTTTAACTTAGTTTTTAATAAAAATAAAAAACTATAAATATTTTTATTTCTACATAATAAAAAAAGTTTTTTTTTACTATCCTAGCTTATATTAAACTATTTTATTTATAGTATTTTAAAAAAAAATAAAAAGTTAGCTTATATTTTAA